GATTTTGATTTCAAGTACAAGCGTGGATCTGATAACATTGTTCCAGATGCACTTTCGAGACGACCAGATCACCAAGATCCGCCATCCATTTCTGTCAAGTCACTCGCGATCGAACTGGAGCCAAGCCTAAAGCAACGTCTGATTGACAGCTATGCTGACGATCCAAAACTAGCACTGATATACAGAGGCTGCCTTGAAAAACGCCCTCCGCCTCGCTACTCGCTTCATGATGGCCTTCTATGTGTCTTACGCCGCGGAACAAATGTTGTCTGTATCCCACAAAAGTCTGATATTCGCCTTGCACTCCTCCATGATGCTCATGACTCTGCCATAGCTGGCCATCTTGGCTTTGACAAAACCTATGATACTCTCCGCCGCTATGTGTTCTGGCCTAGGATTGCTCGTGATACTCGTACCTATGTCCAAACCTGTGAAAGCTGCCAACGCAACAAGGCCAGCCATCAGCACCCCGCAGGCCTACTCAACCCTCTCTCTATCCCAAAAGAACGCTGGGAAACCGTGACAATGGATTTTATAGTCAAGCTCCCCAAGACCCCCAGAGGTTTCGACGCCATCACAGTGTTCGTTGATAAACTTTCCAAGCAAGTACACTTTGTTGCCAGCACCACCAAGGACAAGGCCTCGGACGTGGCAAGGATCTTCTTTGACAACGTATTCAGGCTCCATGGTATGCCCACTACCATTGTCTCGGATCGTGATACAAAATTTACTAGTAAGTTCTGGCAAGAACTACACCGTCTCATGGGTTGCAAACTTGCCCTTCTACAGCATTTCATCCGTAGACTGATGGTCAGACAGAGCGAGCCAATCAGACCTTGGAGTCGATCCTCCGTGCCTTTGTCGACCAGCGACAAACCCATTGGGACTTATTGCTTTCCGATGCAGAATTTGCCTACACCAACTCGGTCAACGCATCAACTGGATTTTCTCCTTTTTTCTTGAATGCCGGATTCAACCCGCGCGTTCCAGCATCTTTACTACAGTCTACTCTGCACCCCTCATCAAACCCTTGTGTCAAAGACTTTGTAGAATCTCAGAGCGAGGCGCTTATATTGGCAAAGGAGGCCCTGGAAGAAGCAAGGGAGAGACAGGCAAAAGAGCAAACGCTCGCAGGAGTGACCACTCATTCGCAGTTGGAGACCAAGTACTACTCAACACAGACGATATTACCAATGATGCTGAGAAAAACAGGCCGACACAAAAGCTCCGAGCTTTATTCGCTGGACCTCATACCATCGTTGAACAAATCTCGCCTGTATCATTCCGATTGGAGCTTCCAAGCACGATGAAGATTCATGATGTGTTCCATGTAGACCGTTTTAAAAAATTTATCCCATCACCAGAGGCCTTAGGGCCTAGAGTACCAGCACGGCCGTCTCCTGAGATCATCGAGGATGAAGAAGAATACGAGGTAGAAGCCATTTTAGATCATCGAATCAGCAACAACCGCCAGGAATTCCTCATCAAGTGGAAGGGCTATCCCAGAGAAGACTCTACTTGGCAACCACAAAGTACTCTTACCAACTGCACCATGATGCTTAAGAAGTACAAGAAAGCACATAGACTATAATTTTTTTAAAATGGGAAGGTGTAACAGTATATAGCCTTAAGCCTATAAAAAGGCTTCTTTTAATATTTATAATAAAATCACCTTTTGTCTTCACTACCTATTACAGTCTCTCGCAGCCTACTATAACCAGTGCTCCTTATTCGAACCATTCGAATCGAATACCACTGGTTGTCGGGAACCTAGGCTTAGGGCAAGGCAGAATAACCTTTTCCAGACTAGGCAGAGGCAGTGCTCCTATTCAAACTGAAATTTTGTCAATTATGATGATTCAGATTAAAAAAATAAATATCAATTGACAAAATTTCAGTTCGAATAGGAGCACTGGGCAGAGGAATAGGTAGAGGAATAGGCGATATAGGAACAGGATCAAGGGTCAAGGAAAGCTTAGGAGTTATACACTATCATGCAAAACTGAATAAATAACTCATTCCCATGTGCATTTCTTTTTTTCATTCCTAGAAACCGTATATGCATACACCACTCATACTTTGCTTTAATAAAGCTCCCATCTTCTTCTACGTCGTAGTTATGCGTTGTGACATTAGCTTGTCTCATTTAGAAAGTTTATGAGTTTTTTATTCATGCAGGTCACTTTTTCAGTTTTGCATGTGGTCTAAAATGTTGCCCATGACAACTGCTGGACGTCGTTTAATGCAAGTAAAAGAAGGACTTTTCTCTCTTTCCTTTATGAACACTGGCTTAACTCTCTCTTAACTCTATCTTCACAGAATATGAGACCCACTCCACAAAGGAAAGCCAACGAAGCCATGAGGTTAATTATGGGAGGCATGTCTACTAGAGAAGCTGCTGCTAGTGTCGGTATATCACAATGGACGGCCAACAAGATCTATGCAAAGAATAAGGAGTACATGCCAGTCAATAAAGGCGGTCGACCAAGGAAAGTAGTTAGAGACAGTGCTCCTATTCGAACTGAAATTTTGTCAATTGATATTTATTTTTTTAATCTGAAACATCATAATTGACAAAATGTCAGTTCGAATAGGAGCACTGGTTAGAGATATCATTCAGTATCTTAAGGTGAACATGAAGCGAGGTACACTAAGTCTACAGTTGAGGCCACCGTCAGAGCCAATCAGCTCATACCAGCGGCTGTTTCTGAGACCACCGTTAGACGAGGGCTCAAGGAGTTGGGATTGACAGCAAAGAGGCGTGTACGTAAGCTGTCAAGGACTGACAAAGGGTTTGCAAGGAAAGGTAAGTGAATGAATAACAAGAATGATAATGAGCTGAGAACTAGAATGGATTCACGAATAGTTTTATTGCAGACTGAGGTTTACTATGTTACAAATCTATCATATTTATACTTGTTTGACTGAAGCGGAGACGCGCTTCAAGAACTCTAAATAAAGCTTACTCAAATATTTCCTAAGGACTTTTACCATATGCGGAACTTCAAGTGTTGAGTTAACTTAATACACAGGATCCGAGGAAGATATCTGGTGCAATCTTATTTCAAGGTTCCTTGGCACTATAAGCCTTGGTTATTGGTTTATAGCTCTTCTAGAATCCTTGGAGCTATTCACGGAGCTAGAAAACTAGGAGACGCGACTTGGCTTGACAGGCAAACTATGCATGGAGGAATGAGTGAAGGAAATGAGCGGAACAAATTAATCAAGCACACGTGATCTTTTTCAGATTCGAATCAGACAAAAGTCATTCATCAATTCATGAGCTAGACATTGCTTGCTGTTCGTGACATAAGCCAGCTTTACGTCGACGACATATTAAAGCCCGTTTGCATTTTCTCAACAAGTATAAGGAATGGACTCTGGAAGATTGGAAAAAGGTTATTTGGTCAGATGAATCGAAAATAAACCGAATCTGCTCTGATGGCGTGCAGTGGTTCTGCGACGACAATCCGGGACGCCTCACTCGCAGGGCGGTGCAAGACACTGTCAAATTTGGGGGTGGTAACGTTAAAGTGTGGTCATGCTTCTCATGGTACGGACCTGGATACATTGCAAAGATTGACAATAATATGGGCGCACAACTTTACATCAAACTACTCCAGGAGGATCTACAGATGTCGCTTGATGACTGGGACCTAACTAAAAGCGATATCGTCTTTCAGCACGACAATGACTCGAAGCACACGGCGAAGATTGTTAGGAAGTATTTGGAGTCAGTACATCTGACAGAAGAGGAAGGTACACTTCTAGAGTGGCCAGCACAATCCCCTGACCTCAACCCTATTGAACACATGTGGGCAGAATTGGATAGGCGGCTCTCTAGGTATCCGGAGCGAGCTAAGAGTTGTGATGAACTATGGGAGCGAATATCTGTTGAATGGTATAGAATCCCAGTGGACTTCTGCCGCAAAATCATCATAGGTATTCATAAGAGACTCCAAGCTGTCAGTGACGCCCATGGTTGGAATACTATCTATTGATGTAAAGATATGGCTTACAAAAGAATAAAGATCTTCGGCCATCGAATGAGCACATGCAAAACTGAAAGAGAGACCTGCATGAACAAAAAAGTCATTAACTTTCTAAATGAGACAGGCTAATGCCACAGCGCATAACTATGACGTAGAAGAAGACGGGAGCTTTATTAAACCAAAGTGTGAGTGGTGTATGCATATACGGTTTTTAGGAATGAGAAAAAAATGGACATGGGAATGAATTATACTTTCAGTTTTGCATGATAGTGTATGACGTTGTGGACGAGATGGTGTGAGGGGTCACCGCCACACCTCTAATCATTAAGGTTTACCACTATTTTCTACGTGTCAATCTTGAAGCTAAAGTATTATACAAACCGTTATGAGGTGATATAAAAGCATGAAATATGAATTAAAAAGAAAAGAAAAGATGGTGATGCAGCAATCATTATATTTTTACATAATTGATCACCTACTTTTTGAAATAAAGGGAAAAAAACAAATAAAAAAAAATCGTTATTAATTTAAATTTTATTGGTGTTGCTATTGATTCTTTGTTGAACAAAATAGAAACTATTTTCAGAAGACACTGTTTTCAGTGTTGTCAATGCTATGCCTTTGTTTTTTCCTTGATGATGCTTGTTCATTGATTTCATCCTTGATTTGTTCCTGGATTTTGCTGAACAGCCAAATCAATTTCCGACAATGTAAATCCACTCTATTTTCGAAGCTTGTGTAGGTAGGCATGATCCTCCAGGGTGATACGCGCTACTCGATATGCTACACTCTCATCTTCTTGCATGGTGCATTCTAGAAAATGCCGATGCCTTCCATCAGTCACAATACCGTATGATCGGAGTTTTTTATTTGATCTGCTTATCCCCACAGATTCCTGACCCTTATCATCATCTAATTCATCCGAGATCCTCTTCCTTTTTTTCTCCCAAAGCGCTGATTCGATTTAAACAATATTTTGAGCGAATCCTTGGTGTATGTTTTCATGTTTCACCTCGGTGACTCCCAAAGTATACTCATTGGTGTGGTAAGATTTCCTGGCATGTACTGAGTAGTCGACTGGACCATGGCCGCGACGTCCTTGTATTTCTTGCTCTAAATCAAGCACTAGATCATCATTAAACTATTCTGTAACAGCAATCAAAGAGGATCTTACGATAAGAGAACGAGACGCCTCATTGGCATAAATATCCTTCATGGTATTTGGTCGTTTCTTGAGCTCTTGGATGAGTTCGTCCTTGAGTGGCATGGCTTTTTCAGATTCTAGAGGAGCTGCCTCAATACCTACGAAATAAGGTAGATCTGCTATTGTCGGCTTACTGCTGTCACATAGGTTGTACTCTGCACATACTTCGTCAAATGTCCTTGATGAGTAGCATTTGGACGGACACGCTAACGAAATATAAAGATTGCAATTTCGCTTCTTTGTAAGTATCAATGTTGTTTGCAAATAATCGCCATCCAGAATTATTTGGTACTTTGATGTCGATAAAGGCCCATCGTAACTATAAATCAGTAAATATGGGTTGTTCCGATGCGATGGTGCAAGTTGTAGTAATACTTCTTTGAATTTGTTGAGAGTAGCAGATTGAATGTTACAGTTCCAAGGCGAGCTTTTTTGATGTCTCTAAAAAAGATCAAGAACCCTATTCATCAAATTATCCAGCTATAAAATTAGAAAGTGGCACTTTATAAAAATCACTTATACTGGTGAAATGGTTGCATATGACTTACTGGTGGGACCATCAAGGAAGCAAGTCAAGTCAGAGAGCATCTTTCGAAGTACGGCAACCTCTGGCATCACTGACACTACTAAGTAATAAAATAAGAAATTTAAAACAAATGTATGAGAATCCAACTTAATCATTACGAGAAAAAAAAAAAAAAAAAAAAAAAAAAAAACAATTAAAAAGGGTCCGCTTGTACAATACCTGGCCGTTCAACAATGACGTTGATAGTCTCCTCAGGCAGAGGTGATGTGCCAAATACCTTTAACATGTTGCTTGTTGGACGAAGCTTTTTTGCATTTGGGTGTTTTGAAAGTGTAATAGTTTTCCCGTCCTCATCATCTGTGATTACGATGGCAGCATGCCAGATATTCAATTTGTCGGCATCATTTTCTTTTTTCTTTTTGATTGCTTCTTTGAGATCACCAACTGTATCACTTGACAAAACAACAACTGAAAAGGGTGTTGAATCACCTTCAAGGATACAAAATAGTTTGAGCATGGCAGGATTGGAAAAAGAGAAGTTGATGTGGAGATTTATTTGCAGGAGGTGAGTATATATTGAAAGTGGCTACTAATGTACCGATTTCATCACTGATATTTGTTTTGTGCTGTACATCAACCTCGTATGAGTATTGGATTATCAAATATGGAGAGCAGTTTCTGAGCAGACATGCAGAATTCTACGGTTCATATCACAAACAGCCTGAAGGTTCAGCGAATAGTTCCCATGGCAATCATCGTAAAAGTCGCCCATATACTCTGGACGACGGGAAAGAGGGAGCGTCGTCCCATCGATAAAGCCTATGCATTCATGAAAACCTTTTTTCGCCATCTCCTTAGTGTGCATCGCTCGTCGCCCAGCTGTAGACCACAGGAGATACTGGGGTTTCAGAGAGTTGAGCACCTTCAACATCCTATCGAAGGACTGAGTACATCTCCTTTCTGACATATTCCAGTAATCTGTCCATCGACTATGCTATGCCCGCTCCTTTTGTATACTCACCTATCCAATGTCACGACCAATGTCACGACCAATTGCACACCCACAGGTGGTTGGGCCTCTGAAAACTCAGAAAATCCCTCGATCTTCTCCATAAGGCAATAGAACACTTCCTTATGCATCCTCAGTATAGCCATCCACTGGCGACCAGAGAAACTGCTGAGCTCTCGCGAACAGAGCGCCTCTGTCTTTTCACATTCCACTCTTTCCGCTCATTCGTTCCTTTTAGGTGGACCGCTAACTCATTCAGCAAATCCCCTAAATCTTCTGTTCCAAAAATGAACCCCACTGCTATCTCATCAAAGAAATCAATTTCAGTGTTGTCAAGGTTATTCTCTAAGTCATCCACTTCCATGGGATCTATGTCCGTAAAGCTCACAAAATCCTCAGAAGCTCACAAAATCCTCAGATGCGTCCCACTTGGATTGTGGCTTTCTGGCAGCCTTATTAAAACATTGTAGCCAGCTTCCTAGAAATTTGCTTGACACGATTTTGACCGCTTAAAAAGAATTAATTAGACAAATTAGAGGACAGGAAGAAAGTGAGAATAAAAATGCCATGTCCATGGGTATTTATTCATAAATAAATCCATACGTTATCCTTATACTCAATCTGATATGAAGACAAAAGAGCGCAAATGCCTCTCAAAAAATCAATGGTCAAAATTAAAGTTTAAAATAAGGTTTTAAGGTTAAAGCTTATGACGTTGACAAATCTATGGACCAGTGCCCTCTTGCTCATCTTCTTGTTACTCTTCAAGGACCTGCTTTTCTGGACGCTTCAATGGGTTGATAAATTGATCGTGCGCTTTCAGAAACATGCATGAGAAACTACTTTTGTCCAACTTAGCTGCCACCTACTTTAGTCCTCACTATTGCCGATCGCTTGTTTACCGTTCTGAATACAGTGGCAATGCGATATTCCATATGGCGGATAAACAATCGCCATTCCGATAAAACCTTTTCTATATAATTTTGTTGCGCAACTCAGGATCATGCGCTATAGGGATGACGGCGGGAGAAGGATGATGGTATCTGCTCTACATCACAAGTACGTGTTGAGAGTGGATTCTAGCTTGATTTTGATCCTAACGTGGGCTGATCTAAATAAAAGCAAGGAATGGAGGATCCTTAATGGCGATGAATGATGAAATGTTTTTGTTGGATGCGACAATTTAAAGCGATTTTTTGTGAAAAATGCCATTTAGTTACTCGTTTTCGAAGATAGGTGCCGATTGCTAAACTTCAAAAAGAACAATAGTTTGATCGAGTGTACGAAGAATATCGCTTTCCTTGTTGTAATTTTTTAATGAATTATTAAACAGCTTGCTGACCCAATCTGGCATTTTCACCATCGACTATAGCCTTAGTTCTAACCTTGCTAAAGGCAACACCTGCCAGATCAGCTCCTTTCTTAAGACTTTCGCTGTTTGCAAGCGTAAAGAGACTGTAGGACTGCATCATATGACTGAATGAGGGGTATCATACTCTAAATACATAATAAGTAATGGGTTAATGGGCTCAATAATTTATTGGCTGATGAGCTTCGTCAAGTATTGCAATGTCCATTGCTTTCTGAAGAGAGCCCAGGCTAAGGAGTTATCCTTAGGTCGAAGGGGCTATTGTCATTTTTCAGCATGAATGACACGCTAATACCTCCTAATGACGACGGCTCCCTAATTCCAAGGCGCATAGTAGAGATGAACAATGTATTGTACGTCTCGAAGTTATTCATCATATTTTGACATCATTATCAATAGCCACGCTCCTTGGGAACCTGGAATCAATTTTTGCGAGGTTTTCCCTTGCGTTATCAGTCTAAGCTTTCATAGTCGTGGAAAAGGAGTGAGTGTGATGAATGCAGCGATTGTTAAATAGCAGTAGAAAACACGTTCGGTGGTCAAGCACTCATCATGAAGACGAAAATATTGCATGTAATTGATATATATTTTTTTAATCTGAAACATCATAATTGACAAAGTTTCAGTTCGAATAGAAGCACTGCATACAGATTTTTTAAATTTAATGTCTCTACCATCTTCCTCGGATTGCTATCCATAACATTCTTAGAGTTGATGATCCCATCTCCTTCACTATTCCTATTCGACCCAGTTTCTGCAGACTGGTCCTCTTAAACCTTGCACTGAAAGAGGATTCACCGCAGTAGATTTTACATCCTTGAAAAAATAAAAACAGGTTGATAACAACTTTTGAATTTATGATAGCTTTCGTGCAAAAAAAGTGTCAGAAACCCACTTTTTTTTTTTTTTTTTTTTTTTTTTTTGGATTTGGATTTGGATTTGGATTTGGATTTGGCGGTTACCTCAATTTATTTATTTATACACATTAAATCATTTGAACAGGATAGGAATAAAAATACAAATTTAGCCCCGTCCCCGAGAATAGCTCTGAAAGAGAATTGGGGAGGTCTCATACTTGGCAACAACCGTGTTTAGAGTGGGGTGAATCAACTCGAATAAAAAGACAAATCCAGGATCTTGTACCTCCACAGGTGCATTATCCTTAACCACCGATTCTGACGTTGATGACGCAGCCATAGCCGCACGCTTGGCCATTTCACGCTGGATGAGATGATGCACACTTGAGCAATTAACACGAGCCTTCACATCTAGAACCCCATGATGAAGTTCCATCACATTAGCATCATAGGTGGAATTTCCTGATGTACTCGATTGAGGGGTGGGAACCGCTGGTGCGGGGACGCTGAACTGAAGTATAGGGTAGGCCGTCGGATCCTCAAGTGAAAGTCGAGCAGCTGAGACCTGAACGTATTTCGAGCAAGCCCGGCATACACCGCCAAGTGGAATGCCATCGCCTTGATTGGATGATGACGACTGAGCATGATCTTTGCTGCTGTTACCGAGCTCGATCGACAGTCTAAGGATATATGTCATATCATTAAATATCGATACTGGAGGCCCATTGACCCGCTTAACCATTTCCTGTGGAAAACGTACTCCTAGAAACTCTTTCGGCAATGGGATTGCTAGAGACTGCGATCCTGGGACCGGCTCTGTCCAAAGATGTATTTGTATATTGAATGGGTCCCCTGTCCTAAATCGGTTTTCTGATGTGCCAACTGCAGGGAAAGAAGCAGAGACAGATGATGTCGACTTCTCTTGGCTGACAGCTTTACTAAATGTAATCGACATTTTCAAGCCTTCTGAGGGCAACGATGCATGGCTCAAAAGCTTTAGCCGATCTTGAACTTCAGAGTAAACACCGGAATGATATCCTGATTCTTCATTATCCGTGGTAATGGCTCCCTCGATGGTCTCCTCACCTACAATTCCTCGGCTAATCTCATCTCCTCTGAGAACCTTTTTGTTGATAGTGACGGAGCCATCTGATTCAAGAACGTGCATTGGTGGCAAGTCCTGCTGATGCAAAGGTGGCATATCGTGAGTCATATGGACAGCACGAAGAGTACGCTCCAAATGAGCCAGTTCGTCCTGTGCCGAAAGAGCTCTCACTATTAACTTGTCCTCGGCAGGCGCAGTCTCCAAAATAGTCGGGATAACAATCCGTTCATCATTTGATGTTTCGGAAACAACATGAGTGTTGTTACTCTCAGCCTCATGATCTGCATATTCTGATTCATCTTCAGATGCCTCCAAGGCTTCGTTGTATTTAACCTCAACCATTTCCAGTTTTCTATGATTATTGCCCGGTACAAGCGTACGAGAAATATTGGAGTATCGAGAACAGCTGACTGAGAGGTATCCAATCACAGCTTCGGTAGGGACAACAGGGCGAGGCAAGAATGTGTAGAATTCCATGGGAGTTTTGGCGCCCGAGGAGGAGGCGCCAGCCAGAACATGAGAGCGAATAATAGACTCATTGGCCATAATGACAGCGTACATGAGAGGCGTCATGCCCCATCCATCCGGAGTCTCAAGATCGCATCCATCCTCAATAAGACGAAGTGTAAGTTTGTCAAACTTCAGTAGCACACTAAGATGAAGCAATGTGCCTTGGTCGTCCATAGGCATCGAAATATCGATGTTTGATGGTAATTGGTCTAGAGTCTTTAAAATACCCTCTTCCACCTGCTCTCGCGTCTGAAGCGGAATATCATCTATATTAGCCGTATTCACCACGGAATTTACGTCATTATCAGCTGGAGAATGGCCGGATCGAGGCGATGTTGATGAAAATCCAGGAAGATCTTTCAAAATATCATGAGCATTTCCTTTCTGGCCAGTCGCCTGACTGTGCAGGTACTCGAGAGCACGGTGTGCTAGACGAAGTTGGAGCTGCAGAATTAGGAGCTCGGTTTCGGAGTCGTCAGTGTATGTAAACTGGCCAAGATTTGAGAAAATCGTGCCAACGCTGTCGTAAATGGTAATAGGGACGGTTCCTGGTATCGGCGAATCAGGTGCTTTACAGATGATGAGGTTGGAGGTCTCGACAATAATATCTTGAGCAGGAAAACAGCCAAAATAAGGGATCATGCCGTCTTTGAAGAATAAACCCCGAAGTACAACATCTGTTGTTTTCCGAACAGGTCCATGATCGGGTCTGACCTCGAATATACGCGGAGGCTGCGATTGAGGCTGCCATAATTCTGAAGGGTTTTCGGGACTCAAAAGTGGCCGATTACCGATAAGATTGACCCCGGTATCAAAGTCACTAGACTGGTCGTCACCAAAATTGGATATGGCAGAAGTACTCCTGCCATTGTCCTGCATGAAGGACAGTGGTGAGGGGTAGTTTGAGTTGCTTGAGACAGATCCAGCACGGGGGAAATCGTCCGACTGATTCGCGAACAGTTGGGATGTCTGGGTTGATTCCACAGTATTGGGAACGCTCTTGCGATGTTGAATAACTTTTATCTTGGGACTTGGTCCATCTTTGGTAACCTTGGAGGGTCGCTGAGATGGATAGACCCTCTTTGCCTTATGGTGGCCAGAGCACATAATAGGTGCGGTATAACAACTTGCGATGATGTCACTATCATCCTCCCTTGAGTCCGTACTCAGAGGATTGGCGTTCATTTTAGACATACCATTGATCATACTACTTGTGCGCTTGAGTCTAAATTCAAATAGATACCGGTCCTTGTTGCCGCGTTCTCCGTGATCAGTGGAAGAACAAATCACTTTGGCAAGGAGTGTCACTGACCCAGTGGAGGTATCAATATGAGCGAAGGAGGAGGAGTCCGTTACTGAGGGCGACAAAGGATCAAGCAAAACCAATATAGGAGAGGAAGGCCCATACTAGTAGTTGTGTTCAAATGTAGTCAGAAAATTTCTAAAATACCTGTAGTCTCGTCATGAAAATAATCCATTCTTTACCTTATGGCAGCACTTGGCACAGGCCCCTTTCCTGATTTGGCCACTCTTCGCAAGGTGCACTATGATCTGTAATGTTAATGGCTCGATATCGGAGCGAGGCTCGCCAGCAGTGTTGATAGCTTTATGTCGATCAACCCGCATGGTAGGGAACTTGTCAGCTGACGTAAGCGAACCCTGCTTGGAAAGTTGCAACTTTATTAGAAATTGTTGGCCTGTTCGGACCTCTTCCACAGCGGGTGCTTGAATAATCTCTCCAGAAGGAGAGATCTCCTCCATCTGATCCTTTTTTTGGATGATTCGTGCGTCGAGGGAGAAACCTGCCAACTGGGTATTCATATGCGAATTATTAATAGAAAAGTTATATATTGCGCTTTATTTTTGCTATTGCATACTCGCACAAAAGGTCTCTTCAAAAAAAAAAAAAAAAAAAAAAAAAAGTACCTCATGCGTTAACCCTTGGAGCCTAGTAGTCATGTCACTTCCGCTACTTGAATGAGAAAGCCGACGCAAGATATCGTTATCTGGTACAAAATAGGATTCAATCATTAAACGTAGAAATAGGAAGTAATGCAGACATTAATAACCAATAGAAAATTTATAAATCAATGCGATGATATATCGGTCTAACAACGGACGACTTACGAGGATTGGCTCCAAGTAAGGACGAATCTCCATTTAGTGCGCTATCAGGCCGTGCCCACTCGCTAGGTTGGTAACCGTTTATGCCGTTAAGACCATTGATGGTTAGTGTAGAGGAAGCAACAGCTGCAAGACTAGATGTCATTGAAATGCCCGTTGTCATATTAGTGGCCATTTGAGGACTTTGTTCCTGGTTGGATTCATATTTTAACGGATGATAAAGCGGATAATTATTACTATTGCCATTAAAAAGCTGTTGCTGTGGGGAGAAAGGAGGAAGTTGTTGTTGTTGTTGTTGTTGTTGTTGCTGCTGCTGCTGCTGCTGTTGTTGTTGTTGTTGCTGTTGTTGCTGTTGTTGCTGTTGTTGCTGTTGATCTTGTATTGACATATTAGCCATTTGCTGTTGTACAGGATTTTGAATGATGGAAGGATTTGTGGTTATGGGGTGATGCTGATGCATTGGGAACGGGGCGATGGCCAAGATATCCATTGAGGCTATTGTGGGTACTGAGGCAGAAAGGAGGTTTGGCGGACGATTTTTACTGTTATTTATACCTAGGAAAGGATGCACAAACGACTGATAAGACAGTAAGGTATTGGGTGTCCTTGTGGAAGAAGAGGTGTCTACGTTGGCTACGAAATCTTCGGTAGTAGAGGAGAGAGATGATGAACTTGATCTGTGCTGATAGAGTCGCTGCTGCTGAAGTTGTCGATCTAGTTCGTCTTGTAGGGCTTTTTTCTGGTTCTCTTGAATTTTTTGAAGTTGGATCTGTGCCAGCCGTTGGTGTTCTGCGAGGAGAGTTCTCTGTTGCAGCTGTTCTTGTGAAAGAGACTGTAAGTGATTCGGATACTGCTGTGGGGGCTGCTGGTGTAGTAATGGATATTGTTCTGGTTGTGAATGCTGTTGGTAATAAAGGGAAGGTTCACTAGGAGAGGAATCAGTGAGAGGGAAGTGTGAAGGGGAGAGTGTTGGGGATGAGGAAGATGGAGAAGAGATGGAAGCCGCGAATGAAGGCGGAGAGATGGCGTGCTTTTGAGGATACATGGCCATGCGCAAGGATGAAAAGTGGGTGATCGAAAATAAGCACGGTAAATAAATTAGCGAGATGGCGACGATTGGCAGGAGAGAGGGAAACAAGAAAGAGTAAGAGCAGCGAGAGAAGAGGCGAAGAGAGTAGACAAAGGAGAGGTGTTGTTTTTGCGAGTTTGGAATTGTGCGCTTAAGAGAGCCTGTCAAATACAAAAAACTAAATCTGTAATCGCACAGTCGCAAAAACCATTACGTGATTTTAATATTTGATCCAAAAAGAGCAAGCTTGTGAGGTCTGCTTCAAATGTATAAGACATGGTCCACTCTCTCGTCAAGTCTCTCCTCCTCCAAGTTGGACTCGATTGCCTTCTTGGCAGAAAATTGGATCAAATCTTGATCACCAATCAACGATGCTAACGAGGCTGCCATACTTCCGATAATAGCCTAGTGAAACGGAACCTCACATTAACATAATGCCTTTTTTTTTTTTTTTTTTTTTAAAAAAAAAAAAAAAAAAAAAAAGACTCATTATCAGCTTACCTCTAACTCTTTTAGGCTGACCCCTTTTCTGGCGGGATGTAACAGGGTTGTGGACGGGATGTTGATAAAATTGAATAGAGTTAAGAACGTATTCAGGATGTGATCACCCAAAGCAAGCTCCTTGGAAACCTGGGGAATAGATGAGGTTCCTCCTTGGAAAAAAAAAAAAAAAAAAAAAAAAAAAAAAAAAAAAACCGTCAAACTAGCATCTATACAATGATATCTTCCTCATGACGGCCTTTTATCAGAAGACTCCTTACGATCATGTATCTCCACCAGATACGTGTGATTCTCTTTCGGTACAAAATTCGTTGCTGCAACCAAAATTATTCTACTCGTCTTCGAGGCTAATGCCTGGCTCACAATAGCTTCACAAAGGTAAGAACACTGCTCAATAGTTGGAGGTGACACCGTAATGGATAGCATGCTCACCCTCTCATCAACTGAAGCAAAAGTGGTGTGATAGATATTTTTGTTGACAGTAGATAATTTCTTTGTGGTTGCTGAACTTGAGTAAAAGTGAGACCAAGCTTGAATGGGTGTAACAGATGTTCCAGCTTGAGAGGCCGAAAGGAGAATTCGTGGACCTGCTAGAAGTACATCTGGCAATCCTATAACAAGTGTTGCCTCGAACATCGGAATCATTGATTGGTGGGTCATCTTTCCTTCGTCCTGAATACTAATCAAGATGCAAAGAAAGAAGCGCAAGATTGTGACGCGTGGCTTTCACTTCATATACTCAAAAGAAATGAATTAGAGACAGACTTTACACAAAGCTTTGCGCTAGTAGCTGCCACCTGCTCTTCAAGACTAGCGAACTTTATTTACAATCATGCATCAAACCCACGACGCATCTTTCTCGATGATCATTATTTCTATGCCTTGAGTTCAACCACGTCTGCCATACTCTCTAGAGTCACTGAACGATTATCCAGGTTCAAAGCAAAGAACTCCATCAATGGTCTCCATCCAGACTAATAGTAAGGACACGGATGATGGAGGTTAAAACACAAACCCGAACATAAAATTCACCAACGCTTTTATGACTACTATAATAATCTATTCATCTCAATCTTACCTCACTGCTTGGCATACCGTGGCCCATACCCTCAATAATTTTTTGATCCACATTGGCCTTTCCAAACACTCTCTGGACGTACTTGAAGCGATCCTTTGCAGCTTTTATCGATCTCAAGTCATCTCTGTCCCCCTGCATAATCAGAACCTTTGTACTTAATTTGGTGGCTGGAACAGCATTTTGGGATTCTTCCATCAAATATCCCGCAATGCTTATCACTGCCCGTAGATTGAAGCCACCAAAAGCCGCCAAATCTAGCGCAATTTCTCCTCCTTGTGAGAATCCAAAGAGTGTTATTTTGGAAGGACTATATCCAGAGTGATCAATACAATGCTGTATAAACTTGACCAGCTGTGGTCTTACAGTCTGCTGCACTTGAAGCATTCTCTCGGGACTATCTGGTCCAAGAACTAAAGTAGTGCTGTGAGTAAAGAAGACGAATTCTTCGCATAAAATCCAAAAGACAATCAGTGCTAGATGTGTATGTAAAGAATGTAAACCATTTACGTTCTCCTGTCAAGACATTAAACGATGGAAACCATTGCCATCCTTCCTCTTCCAAGTATGGAACCGGGGTAGGTGCCTGGATGCAGCATGTTGCAGTTTGCGGCAACTGTAGACTTTGAGCCAACTTTACAAAATTCGGCTTGATCTTGTCACCCAGTCCATGAAAAAAAATAACCAAGTTTTCATCCACACCATCTGGAGCAGGCTGATACACGAACTTCAGTGTTGTACTCAACTCCTGTGGGGGCGCTTTATGATTCCGTAATGATCCTGGTGATCCTGATGATTCTGTTGATCCTGATGGCCCTGCTGATCCAGATGATTCCAATGGTCTTGATGGACCTGTTGGTACTGAAGTTACTTTGGGATCTACCGAATGTGAGTCATGAATTGTGTTTGACACTGTTCCACTAGCGGAAGGCTGTGACGCCGCAGGTGTGCATGCAATCTTATGCGAAGGCCAATCTTTACGCTGGCATCGGGGAGAGCAATAATGTGCTATTCTACAGCAGGAGCAACGAGTAGCTGCGGGTGTCTTGCAGACGACACAAGGCGGTTTGTTGGTCATTTCAAGATGGATTGTCTGATTAAAAGTCCATTTGCAAAAATAAAAATTCATGTAGATTTTTGGTAGCGCCAAAGTAATACAAAGTCGTATAGAGTTCGAATTTTCATTAATTCATGGGTAGGAAACCTACTGTTCGCGATCGCCTTGTACAATATATACGACGAGACGGCCGCACCAGGTTAGCGCTTTGCCTCGTGAGGCTCATTTACTTGGTTGAGTGCCAACGCTTGAAGGCATTCATCTTAGGTAAGATGCCCGCAAGCAATAAAAGCACACATAACAATATCCCTTGGGGATGAGAAGAATGGTATTGCTCAACCATACGGAAACTATCTTACAAATTTGTAAAAGGAGAATCGATCTCCCAGTCATTGTTATCCCAAGTCCTTAACTGCCACCATTCTCCTGGGCTTAAACTCCTCAGATCGCATTTGGAATGACATTTGCGCGAGCCACATCCCACCAATACTTCTAGCACCAATCGCATCACGATCAGATATACCATGCATCTACGGCAGTATTTAACCATGGTGGGACTGATGCTAGGGGACTGATGCTAGGGGACTGATGCTAGGGGACTGATGCTAGGGGACTGATGCTAGGGGTCTGATGCTAGGGGAATGATGCGGTTGGCGTGGTAACAACGTGCACTGGTGGAATATCTATGAACGCCACCTAGCAGCTTAGCTTGATACTGTTGTTGTTAGAGGCAAAGACTTGAGCATGCAATCATTGATTTTTTATAGTCTCAAATGACAACCATTTTTAAACCAATATGGAGATTCGATAGCATACATCTGGCGAAAAGGAAGCGAAAAGGAGTATTGTTTTCTTTAAGCTGAAGAAGGAATAAAAAATGGTAAACGTTGCTGGATGCGCTAAAAGAGTGGAAGAAAGTAAATGGTGGACATAGTGATATAGCTTAATATATGGTTTTTGCTGAGTGATTTTTACTGCTGATTATTTCTCATTCCTTGGCATGCAACAGACACTTGTTTTCTACTAGCAGGAGGCACAGAGTTGGTGAAAGCTAAATGGGGGTCTCGGCCTTGGCGCTGGCTCGTGTTTCTTTTTTTGGAGCGCACAGACGGAATGAGCTAGTGTATCAACACTGCCCGTAAAAAAGACCGTGCATGGCATGGACCTTGTCTCATTTCCCCACGCTCATATTCTCGGTCGAATGGATCCACATAAGAAGCGCAATCAATCAGCTAAGCACGGCGAGTCTAGCCAGTGGCATGGCGGGGCATATTTATTCCGTATTTATCCACTCTTCTATACTGTCACTTCTTTTCCCAGGAAAGATTTCTTTATCATGCTATAGTTGTATCCCTATTGCAATAAAGTGCAGCCATCATCTGTCCTGTCGTGTGGTGACATCGCCCTCTGGATGACCATAGAAGTTAACAGCATTAAGCTTCCTATGAGCTGCTCTTCGTCACAAATGAGCGCATAGGACTGATGTGGCCAGTAAGGACTGTCATCACAATGTTTAGTTCCTATCTAGTGCCTGTATTCACAACCATTGCGAATATCAGTCTATCAAGATCCCAGACATGGGCCGTAGAGTTACTACATTTTGACTTGAACCTTTATATTTATTTTTAATGATTGTAATGCTACTGTTTCTGAACTACATACACCTTGATCCAACGAGAACTGGGCTCCTAATCGAAGCATTTGGTTCTGTATTTTAGAAGTTGGTATGATCGGTCAATGTAAATGACTTGGCTGCTTTTGAGGCATTTTTTTTTAATGCCTTACTTGATTGGCCTTGATAACCTTCAGTTGGCTAAATCCCTCAAGTAGTCTTTGATTGACTTTGACATTGGAAGTCTTTGGCTGGCTTTGGGTAAGGAAGCCGCTGTTGTTTTGGTTTGGTTGTTGCCGCTATTGGTGGTAGCTGTCGTTTGTATTTAGTATATTTTGAGTGTGTGCTCTTTTATTTTTGTATCTGTTTGTTAATTTTTTTTTGCTTCGTCCTTTGTTTTGGCCCTTGAGGCGACTCTTGGGTCGTTCGAGGCGGTTCTTCGAGGGGATTCTTCGGCATGGTTCTGCGGGACGGTACTTCTTTAAGACAGCTCTTCTTCGGAGCGGTCCTTCGAGATGGTTGTTCGGCTCTTCAGTACGGGGCGTCTCTAGCGCAGCTTAGCTCCTAGGAACATCTAAGGATGATAAGTTAGCGTTAATAAGCATTCGTTAGAACCATATCTCTGTGTTACTGGAAGAACCCCTCTGAATACAGAGAACAAGGAGCAAAAGTTATTATGCTCTTTAAAATAAATAAAAACTTTTTTTTTTTTTTTTTTTTTTTTTTTTTTTTTACCAGAGGCGTTGCCAAGCTGTAGTTCTTCTTTTTCGCTCAAAAGTGGTCTTGACAATACCTTACGTCTGTCCTGTTTCTGATCCTGACCTAATTCTGCTCCTAGAGGCAGAACATCCTAATTGTTAATCCTCATATTGGATTTGGTATATTTATTAGCATGAAGGCCGTACAAATAAGATATGTGCGGGGAGGTGTATATAATTTTGTCTCTTAGAATGTTGAACGGGGAATTTCATTTATGTAACTATCATCTTCTCATGGACATGCCAGTTTCGATTTTCTTCGATGTTCCGACCCACTTATACAGTAGTCAAAATGAAGTTTAATCCATTTGTTTCCAACCCTAATGAGCGTCCTTGGTTCCCTCACTTAGGCACGTGCGCACTAGCAAAAAAAAATGATATACACGAACGCAAAATTGAGTCATTCACTTAGGAGCTATCTTTGCAGACGCAGCATCATAAAAGAGCCTTAAAGAATGTCCTGTTCTTGCGGTTGCGTCCATTCAATGGAAAGAAAGAGATGTAATATGGTTTTCATTTGAATTGCCAATAGAGGTAGCAGTAACCGCTTAATTGGCCCCAAGGAGCGACGGTTGTGGTGAGATTTTGGGGAGGATTCATTTTGATTATCGAGTTTCTGTTAGTTGATTGTTGTTGTTTTTTTTTTTTTTTTTTTTTTTTTTTTTTTTGATGTAGTTAGCAGACATATTTTTATTTAGATGCATATTGGACCCTTTCGGTATCATGAAAAGTTCTGCAGGGTGCACACCGTCAGCAGAACTGCCTTTTTTTTTTTGCATGATTTCTAGGCTTTTTTAGTTTATGCATGTCTGTAATAGCACATTTTATGAAAAAAGAGGTCTTGACTCTACTTCATACAACTTTGAGGGTTGAAGGCAGCATTGAAGGAGCAAGTTCGTTAGCACGGATATAATCACTGCATCCTGTTGGGAAAAAAAAAAAAAAAAAAATTAAGTTTCTAGTTTACGCGTTCTCGCGTAAATATTCCATAGTCGACAGTCACACACGGAATAATTGTTTACGTGCGTATGAATGACATTCTCCATTGCAAACCAACTCCATCAACATTCAGACATTAAAGCGATGTCAGCTCGTCGATTCGCAGATGCAAGGGCACTGGCTGCCGTCGGAGCTAATGTCTCACGGAGATTCCTTGACTTAGAGCTAAGGCAGCTTAAGGTATATGCTGCAACTTCAAGCCTTTGGCGGAAAAACACGGAATCCACCACCACCACCACTACTACAGCCCAGTCTGCTACTCAAGAACAACAACTGCAACAGCAGAAAAAACTTTATAACCTCAGAGGACACTCAACAGCTGCTCAGCATCAGGATGTGCACAGCTCCATTCATACCAAACCAATAGGAACAGAAGCAGTAACTACAGCTGCATCCAGTGAATCAGTGTCATGGGTTGATCAAATTTTTAAGTCTCCCACACCATTGAAGACGGTATCCACGCCTATAGCCACCGTGGATGAACCCTCGCTAATGGACCCTAGCTTTTTGGCTACCCCTGCTGCTCATGGATATCAGAGGCCAACTATTACTACGACAACTCCACTGTATCCTTCAGTTCCAAGCACGGATGCTCCTACACCAACAGCTACATCATCAACATTTGGAGACTCACATTCGCCAGCTGGGAAGAGAGTACAAGTAAATAAGGACTCATTGGAGACATTGCGTCGAGAATCCAAATGGTTGGATGCTATGCCAGCAGAAGACACCACTATGCTGAACAAAGGCGCAGCGGAGCAGACATCATTATGGGCTCAAAGGCAACGCTTGGGCCCGAGAATGATGGTGTACGAGCCCCTGACTGAGACCATTGAGGATATTCTCGAAGAAGAAGAGGATTTTGTGATAGAACCTGATGGTGCCGTGATAACGAAAACAACTACACCAGAAATACATAACAGCTCATTTAAAGCAGATACAGCTACTTCATCTCCGCCATCGCCATCGCCTTCCGATGTTATACCAAAGCCGCTTAGACCCATGCCTGAAGCAGAGAAATTGAAAACGGTATCCGTATCAAAACCGACAGAACCAACCATATCGACCTTCTCTGCAACTTTGTCTGATACAATTCCCACAGAAGCAATTGCAGCTATGGATTCAACAAATACCTTAAAATTAGAGCAGGAAACCAAATACGAACCTCCCAAAAAGATTCTCACGGAGGCTTCAATGCCGACATCACGTGTGGGTCGACTTTTTCATTATGGAGGTAAACTACTTCAAAGCATTACAAATACAGAGTTAAGTCAGACAACAATAATAATAGTAATATATAAGGGTTTCATACTGACAAGGTTCTTGATTTGTTTATACCCTGTGTTGGTGTTAGGCTTGGCTGCATCATTGGGTGCAGGGGCAATCACAGAAACTGTTCGTCGAACTATAGGACGTGGGACCACACCAGAGCAGTCACCCACGTTCTTGACACCAGCTAACATGGATCGGCTCGTCAGCAAACTCACAAAGATGCGTGGTGCTGCATTAAAGCTTGGTCAAATGCTAAGTATTCAAGGTACGATCAGTGGATATTTTTTTCCCACACCTTTTTTATTATAACCATGAAAGAAAAAAATTAAGATATTCATAGTCTTTTATGTTTTATTGTTTAGATAATAAAATGTTGCCACCAGAATTGGAAGAAGTTCTGTCGCGTGTCCAGAACAGTGCCAACTTTATGCCTGAAAAGCAGATGCGTGTAAGAAGCCAAATACCTTTTTTTTTTTTTTTTTTTTGAGTGAAAGACAGCGGCATTTGCACTTGGTCAAGTAACTGAAGAACTCTAAACTGCGTAATTGACATAATAGAAAGTCATGAGTCAGACGATGGGATCTAACTGGGAATCTGAGTTTACAGAATTTAATATGGTGCCTATCGCTGCTGCATCGATAGGCCAAGTCCACAAGGCAATTCACAGAGCTACAGGAATGCCAGTTGCAGTCAAGGTTCAGTATCCAGGAGTAGCTGCATCCATCGACTCTGATTTATCCAACTTGAAAACATTGGTTCTTATGTCCAGTATCTTGCCTCGAGGAATGTACCTTGATAACACCATTAAGGTTGCGCAACGCGAGTTGGGTTGGGAAACAGATTACTTGCGCGAAGCAGAATGTATCGAAGAATTTGGCCGATTGCTCAAGGACGATCCAGACTACCATGTACCCAAGCTTGTCCGAGAGGCATCAGGCCCCATGGTGTTGACGATGGAATGGATGGATGGTGAGACGATGACTCAAGTAATACAGAGTCGCGACCAAACCGTCAGAGATCGAATCGGCACTAACATCCTGAGACTGTGCCTGAGAGAGCTATTTGAGTTTCAATACATGCAAACAGATCCAAACTGGACCAACTTTTTGTATAGTCCTCTATCTACTAAATTGGAGTTACTGGATTTCGGGGCCACTCGAGGGTTTGATTCAAGGTTCACGACCCTTTACTTGAAGACTATCCTGGCGGGAGCTGCAGGAGATCGTGATGGCTGCTTAAAGCACTCTAGAGAGCTTGGATTCTTGACGGGCGAGGAGACAACGATTATGGAGGAGGCACACATCAATTCGCTGTTGACATTGTCAGAGCCCTTCCAAGAGTCTGCGCCGGATGTGTATGATTTCAAGTATCAGACGATCACACAGCGCGTCAAGGACCAGATCCCAACCATGCTCAAGTATAGGTTGACCCCTCCTCCAGATGAGACGTACTCGATGCATCGCAAGATGGCAGGTGCATTCCTGCTGTGCTCGAAACTGGGTGCACGTGTGGAATGCAAAAAGCTTTTTAGAGATATCACAAGCCGGTATAGAGAAGAAAACGTTAATGAGCGGCGAGGCATGAACTTTGGGCGCGGAGCTTAATATAGAGGAAAGAACGATTTAATAAACAGTATCCATTCCTGCAAGCCTCGAGATCATGGCCTGGTGGCGTCAACATAATGTTACACACTTTATTTTTTATTTTTTAGTCAGGCATGATCCCTTCATCTCTTCATGCCCAGCACTCAGACCAGAGCAAAGGCATGAAGACAACGTTGGCAGTCCATAAGATGCCAATTGCCCTAAATATTAACAGTGGAAACTCTGCAACAGATTCAGCGTCATGAAAGAGCAACCAGATTGTGTGGAATGCGACTCGATAAAAATGAGAGATCAACATTGAACGGCTGCGGTTAACACCGGACAAGAGTCCTACGGGCCCCGAGATACACTCTCCGCCCATCTGGAAGTAGCTGAAGCAGCCACGACGAAGAGCCAAAAGATTCTTGTCTAATTTGAGGTTGAATGATCATTTTCGTTTAGTGAAAATCCCTCAAGAGCAATTGCGAGTGGGAAAAAAAAAAAAAAAAATTACCTGTTCCTGAAAATAATGTGTATAATGCCTCGGCGAGAATGTTAATGACCGCACTCAACTCTTTCCTCTTCCAGAAAAATAGTTCCATCTGCACCATTGTCACCTCCTGATCCTTCAGGACCCCATCAGCCTTTAAGAAATCTCTCAGATAGAGGACATCATTCAATGCCACGGTCATGCCACCTCCTGTGAGGGGATGTCTCATGTTCATGGCATCCCCCAGAACAATGATGCCCAGTTCAGAACTCGTGGAAGGTGGAAGAAAACTGTTGGGCATGGATCGTAAGCGTTCTGACTTTAAAGCCTGAAGAAATGCCTTTTGGATTGTTTTAGGTAGCTGTGGAGTGATTATGGTTTCAATATAGGAACGAAGCGCGCCTGAAGAAGCCGATGGTAATTTTGTATCTGGAATATCAATGAGTATCCGAGTTTCGGTTTTAGAAATCTGGTACATCAGGATTGGGGATGGAGTTGCCAAGATGACATTGCCATGGTTTGGGAAGGGGAGAGTGATATCTTTAACGATCAAGCTAAACAGAGCGTTAGAATAGAGAACAGATAATAATCAATGAGACAGTCAAAAAAAAAAAAAAAAAAAAAAAAAGAAAAAGAAAAAAGAAATTGAAAGTAGGGGACGTTACCCTACAAAATGTGAAGTTGTCTTCACTTCCTTGTTGATATATTGCTTGCGGAACTTTGAAAAGCATCCATCTGCAATGACAACGATTGGAGATTTGTACTTCGTGGTGATGGTCGATGCTGGTATACCTTTGGGCGATAGATCAATGCTGTTTGCTCTCATTGTGCAGCTAACGCCAGTTGCTCGTACACCATCCTCATCATAAAGGATCTCATTCACTGTTGCCTCCACAATTGATACGCTAAAAAGAAAAAAAAAATAATCAGAAAAGCCTTTCATTTAACTATAGAGCAAAGAGTGCAGAGATACACACATACTTGGGTGTCTGTGCAGCTGCAGTTCTGAGCTTTTGAATGAATCTATCATGATGGAATGCGCGGCCTTGTACAGGTTTGCCCGTGGTAGGATCATTCGTATAAGGAATATGAACTGTATCTGTACCGCAGATGATCCCATAGCCATTTGTTGGTTTGGCATCAATGTCCTCCAAGCAGTCTGTCATATATCAGATAGGTATTGAAACTTTTAGCCGATGAATGGTTCAAAAAGGCGGATCAAAGCGGATGAGTATCATTCATTGAAGTATTACTAGTAAGTCCAAGTTCTTTTAGCGCATCGTATCCGCCGGGTTGGAGCAATTCGCCGACAATGCGGTCAGGTTCGCTCAGGTCACGCTCTTGGAGAAAGAAAAAGAGTTTAGTATCAATCTTCGGCTTTTACACGCTCCTCCTTTATTGAAGATTGACTTTATTCACATACCTATCATCAAAACACGTCTTCCTTGTTTACCAAATGTTGTCGAAAAGGCCGTTCCTAATACGCCTCCACCAACGACAATGATGTCAAAGGATGACCCTGTCTCTGGTTTGGGCTGAGTAGCCAATGATGGAGTAAGTGCGTTTCCAGGCATTTTTACCGCTATAAATGATGGTTTGCTCAGTGGCAGGAAAAAAGGGGGATTGATTTGAAGATGCAAATGGAAAAGATGGGGTCGAAGGTATTCCTGCAACTCTTTTTATATTATTTATCAGCATGTGTGAGAGTAGTAGGTGGGGTCAATCAGGCCACAAAGTGAGTGTAACAGTGAATGAAAAAGCCCGAGACAAGTACAGTTCAACAGCCTAGATCGTATTAGAGGAAGGCGGATCCTTGTCAAGGAATACAACCGACCAAGAAAACATGGCATGATCTTTGTCAATTACTCTATTTAGTTAATTATAAAATGTACTGCAATTAAACGCGAAGTTGGGAAGAAAAGGACCACAACATCCGATATACATACTTTATCCTATGGTTGGAATCTCCAGAACTTTTTTTTTTTTTTTTCTTTATCCGAAACAAAGCAACGGAAAGAACGAAGGGGAGGACAATTGTATCAATTGTTACAGGTGCTCACTTTTTATTTTCATTTCAATCTAGTCAGGTTTAATATTCGGATGTTGCTTCTTTTGGGTTTTCTCTGCAGTGCCCTGCGGAACAGCGACCCAGCTGGACCACAGACTAGTCCAAATGAAGGGTTTTTTTCCCAGAGAAGTGATATGTTTTGTCCTGAAATATCACTTTGTTCTGGTAAAGATGGTTGACGTGCATTTGATATTCTTGGGAGCATCAACACTCCTTAAAATACATGAACCATGCCTTAAGAAAGTGAGAACATTCTCCCTTTCCATTGGTTCTCGTTAGATCGTAACGAACTCTTCATTCCTTGCCAATCGAGGCCATTTCACTTTCATTGGCCCTAGTCACGTCCATTTTTACTCAATAGCATCGTATATTTTCAAGAAAGTGTATTGTACAATAGACTCATTCGTCCAACACGTGTTCATTCTCAGAGTCAGATCCCTTAGGCTACATCGTTGTTGAGTGAATGAGTCTCATAGTAAAAACGTTCAGGCCGCGAGAAATTTATTGGCCAGGCTAAGTCTTCGTCGCCTTGATTGCTTTCTTTCACCGATATCACTTGAGCAAGAACAGATCGATTATATTCAATTGAATATAGCTCAAACATTGCCAAGGGCTCCTGCCAATTTCAGGATGTGGCGTCATCATTTTGATGACGCACACCCCGCCACTGTACTGTATTCCCAAGAGAGCATCAAGCTTGGAGTAATTGCCTTGTGCAAGCATGAATTGTGTAGGATTATTTGATGAATGAAAACGATCTTATTTACTCAATGTCTCAGTCTCCTTTTTGTTGCAACGATTGATCAGATCCAACTGTCATGACGACTCAAGTGACCATGAATAGAGCTAGATGAGCCCCTATTGACCAGCAGCAGGCCACGTTGTTAAGAGGAGGAGAGTAAGAGTGGGTAGAGAACACAGAAGAGTGTCGCCACTTATTGGTTTAAAGATCGGACATTTTGAATACAAAATACATGAAAAAGGGAGAAGGGGGAGGATGTATTTTTCCTCTCCTCTCCTTCCTCTACTTCCCCCCACACACATTAGAAGCGGGAAGGGTGCTCCATCGTATGGACTATTCATGTCGTTGAATCATAATCTTTTTTTACCATTGCATGTCTTTTTTTTTTTTTTTTTTTTTTTTAGTTTTAGTTTTTAGTATTTCACAAATAGACAACAACGATTTTTTATTTTTTTATTTTTTATTCCTATTATTTTTTATTTTCTTTTTTTCCAATCATCAGTCTTTTCTTTCCTTCATCCCCAGGCAGACAAACAGACACAGTCCATTCCAAACACAGCACATTTTTATTTATTTTTCTTTCATTTTCCTTTCTCTTTCGAGTGCGAGAGTTAGACAACGGGACACTCCGTGGCGTTTCGTGTGTCACACAAACGACTCTCAGCCCTCCATAAAAACATTCGAGTCTCAGGAATGCCTATAGGTCCAATGGATGACCACTTTCTACAAAGTCATCATCCCTCCTCCTCTTCCTCCAACAGTAACAATAACAACGCCGGAACCATGTCTCATCTTGACGCTAGTAACGGACTCACCCAAGACTTTCTTCAAGGCACGTTTCATCAACCCTCAACGATGAATCAACCACAAGGACAGGTAAGATGAGAGGGAAAAAAAAAAAAAAAAAAAAAAAAAAAAAAGAAAGCAGCAATTATATCGCCTCAATGACAATCCTTCAGCTTTGAACTGCAGGCTATAGAACTACATGTCGTACACCAATATCATGTTGCGATCACGCTTATTAGCCATATTGAGTGTCACAGCACTGATGGGTTCTATATTTTGTTCATCTTTATCCTAGCATCAGCTAGCGGCTCTCTTACGTAGCAAGCTTAATGATTATGGGAGTGGGATTCCTGGCAACAATGGCTTGGACATTTCGCGTTCTAGCTCTGCACCTCCAAACCAAGTTCAGTCGCGCTTCGGACCAGGACCTGCTTTCGAGTCGCAGACTTCATCTGATCTCCACTCAGATAGCGATTACAATAACTTTTACATTTCACCTTCGAGACAGGATCCTCGTGTTGGAGCCTCCTCCACCATGTACTCGCCTGGACTTTCCTGGCAGATGTGGTCAACTTCAGTGACAGGAGGGCTAGGAGGCGGATCAGAAGATCTTATAGGAGCAGGGGGCTCAGATACTGGCAGCCGTCTAGGGAAGGGTAAGCAGGGAAAGAAGTGCGTGCCTGCCACGTACATTTTTTTATTTTTTTATTTTATTTTTTTTATTTTTTATCCCGATCCTTTCTTGCATGTATTGTCCAAATGCTATCCAATTATTAGTTGGATTGGACCATGCCAATGCTCAGAAGCATGCAGCTGACGCTAACGTTTATGAACCTATCACCTGCTCTCTTTTTTTGCCTTGCATGTAACTCTGTTACATATTTTTTATTCACCATAGATCACGGGCTAGCAAACGACGACCACTCGACAGCCACTTCTTCATCCCTTTATCCCAAAACAGCAGATCCCTCGTTGCTGTGGCGACAGGACTTAAAGGCTCCAGAAGTTACCCGTAGCGAATCGCATTCACCGATGCTATCCAGATATGGTCTTGACCCAGCACGTAGCGTAGCCTCAATGCCTAGTTCGCCTTTATTTAGTGCCCATTCGACTGATCATATGAGCCATATCTGGGCACCTACGGTGACTTCCCCAGCCCACGAGTTTCCTCGCTCACCCTCCCCTCTTCTCAACATGTCCCATCACACTCATTTGTCCGCCCAACAGCAATCTCACCATCTTTTAAGCCAAGGATTATCGCCTGCCCAGGCTATGCGATCACCCTTATCTCAGTCATCGACGCTACGACATGATAGCTCTCCAGATCTGGATGAGCAGCTGCAAGAGACAGGGCTTAACCCCGATGATTTAGATGAGCGATCCTCTCAGCTCAAGTCAGTGCTGAACGCGGCTTTGGATGGAGGAGACGAAGAGCGGTTACCGTCGATCCTTAATGCACGCCCCCCTCTATTCCAGAGCAAATTCGCCCCTCCTCCACGTGCATCGTCAACTCCGCCTATCCACGGACGCAATTTTATGAGGAACCCTCCACCTGGGTTTTCGCTCGAACAAGAGTCCGGTCAGGCAGAAATCGAGTTTGGAATGCAGAATCTGCAGTTTACAGATCCGGTATGTCTATTTATTTATAGATTTATATGTTTTTATGCATCTTTGTTTATACTCTAATCTGCACCGCAACTTCTAACATGCATCTTGTACTTCCATGACTGCATATGGACATAATTATCTTTCTCTTTTAACTAATAGGAGGATGAATTGGCTATCCAACAGGCAAATGTTCGTAGGCAGCAATACGAGTTGAACCAACAGCAGCTTAAACTACAACAGATGCAGCAACAGCGACAGCTCCACCAACTCCATAAACAGCACTCATACCATGGTTCCCACACCCCAGTCACAGCCTACTCGCCTTATTTTGAGAACCAGACGATGGTTAAGGATCCAAGGTTGATCAATCCACAGTATGGATTGGACTATAACTTAGTGACCCAACCTGGGTTTATGACTCAAAAGGATCAATTTACTCCTATGCAGAAAGGTAGTCAGTCAATAATTTCCAGTTGAAAGGGTTTTCTTTTCTTTAATTTGATCCTTCTGGACTCAATGTTCATCATGTCGATATCTTCTTTATCTGCATCATCTTAGACTTTCAATCAATGTTTGAGGGTCACGACGAGGCATCTCTCGGGTTCAGAGCTAACGATCTGGCATATGATCCTCGCCGCATGACCAGTGCCATGGGACTGTCACCAGAGTATCGTAAAGCCGCCTTACTTCATTTGCAGCAACAACAACAGCAGCAAGGGGGTGTCTATTCTCCTAGTCTACTAGCAACAAATTCTTTTGCATCGGACTATATGGAGGCATCTAGCTCGCGTGGCTCCGGAATGGGTTCACCTAATGTGGCCCATATGGGAGCTCGAGTTGCTGCTGCTAATGCTGCCGCTGAACAAAAGCTTCGACTTCAATCCCAGCAGATTTTGCTCCAGCAACAACAACTTTTGCTTCTTCAGCAGCAGCAGCAACAACAACATCAAACTCAACATCAGCAACAACAACAGCAGCAATCTCAGCCGTTGCAACAACCCCAGGCTCAGCATGCCTCGAAGCATCAACCTCACTCTTCTAGCAAGGCAGGACGCCCCAAGCCACCCCATAGTGGAAGACACTCCAAAGGAGGTCAAGATTCGGTCAGAGGACATGGAGAAGCTGATCAAGCATCTTCGTGGTCAAGCTCGCATGGTAGTCCGCCAAATGGCCCTCATAGGCATTACCATAAAGAAGATGAATCCGATGCGGATGCTCATCCTAATGAAGGGGGCCATGGTCAGCGTAGTGCATTGTTGGAGGATTTCAGGAACAATAAGAGCAATAAGAAGTACGAGCTAAAGGTAAATTTCGGAATCAAAGTTCGACATTATTGGTTATCATGCTTTCAAGTAGTAGCAAAGTCGATTGATTTTCTTTTTCTTTTATTCTTAATGATCTAGGATATTGCTGGAAGTGTTGTTGAGTTTAGTAGCGACCAACATGGCTCTCGTTTTATTCAACAGAAGCTTGAGACGGCTAGCGATGAGGAGAAGCAAATGGTCTTTGAAGAGATTATGCCTCATGCTCTTCAGCTTATGACAGATGTCTTTGGTAATTACGTAATTCAAAAGTTTTTCGAGCATGGACAACAGGACCAAAAGACCGCGCTAGCGAAACAGATGGAGGGTCATGTCCTATCTTTGGCACTCCAGATGTATGGATGTCGTGTTGTTCAAAAGGGACTAGAGCATGTCCACACGGAACAACAGGCAGTTCTTGTCAAAGAGCTAGATGAGAATGTACTTAGGTGTGTTAAGGATCAAAATGGAAACCATGTTATCCAGAAGGCTATCGAATGTGTTCCAGCAGAACACATCCAGTTTATTATCAATTCGTTTACGGGACAGGTCTTCTCCCTGGCCACTCATCCTTATGGTTGCCGAGTCATTCAACGCATGTTCGAACATTGTGCTGACACAAAAACTGTAAGGATCCTCGACAGTTTTTTTTTTCCTCCTAGATTCGTTGCATTCCTATTTGTAAAGTTAATGGTTTTAACTATTCTCGTTTTGTTAATGTATCATTCGTACTTTGTAGCCCTTAATGGATGAACTTCACAAGTACATTCCTAATTTGGTTCAAGACCAGTATGGCAACTATGTAATTCAGCATATTCTTGAGCGTGGTAAGCCCTCCGAGAAGGCACTTGTAGTCTCCAAAATCTTTGGACAGGTCCTGCAACTGAGCAAGCACAAGTTTGCCAGTAATGTTGTTGAGAAGTGCGTTGCTTATGGATCCAAGTCAGATCGTCAAAAATTGATCGAGGAAGTCATTACGACCAAGCCTGATGGCACATCGCCTCTAGTTTTAATGATGAAGGACCAGTTTGCCAACTATGTGGTCCAGAAAATGCTGGATGTTGTAGATGGACCTCAAAGAGATGTTTTGGTGACCAAGATCAAACCTCATCTGCCTTCGCTCAAGAAGTATACCTACGGAAAGCACCTTATCTCAAGTATGGGTCTTTTTTTTTTTTTTTTTTTTCTTCACTTGTTTAGCGATGTGAAAAAAAAAAAAAAAAAAAAAAAAAAAGGAAATGGATCGTCGACTAATTTGTTCCTTTTTTCTTTCTTTTTTTTTTAATATCTTGAACAGAGGTCGAGAAACTGATGGCATTACAAGAAGCACAATCGAGCGCAGATGGATCTGTTAACCCAACATCGCCTATGCCTGCTAATGCGACCGCTGTATAAGCTTCACATGTTATATTTATTTTATATACGCCTCTTATGGCAATTTTGCTTTTGACTTGTCTCCCTCCATTTACCTTATTCTGCCCTACTCTACTCTGCTCATCCTTGTTTATTGTACATAGCTGTAAATATGTATATGACCACATTCAAGAAACACAATAAAGGCAACTTATTCTAATAACGTCTTTCGCCTACGGTCAAAGTCTTCTTTGAGAGAGTAAGTGTCAGATTAATCTAAACTGGGAACAAACCTTGTTTGTAATAGCTCCACATGTACATTCATGCATAAAAGGAATTGAGCTCTTCCTTGTTGTGTTACACACCCGGACGACCACAAGGGGCCAAAGCTTTTTTTTATTTATTCCTTGGTCTCATTCTCTTTTCTTCTCATCATTGTCTTTTCTCATCTCTTCATTGTCCATGAGAAAACCTCTGCTCATTCCCGGGATTCTTTGCATAGTAGCAGACTTCCTACCTGACAGCAAACCCCAGTGGGCAGCCCTTGCACTGGTTTGCAGACCCTGGAACATAGTCTTCAGCTCGATCCTCTACCGATCACTCGAATGGACATCCTCCATCAAAACCAGCCCTTCGGCTCAGGGGTTACGATCCAATTACCGGCATGTGAGGAGGATCAAGTTCCAGTCCATTGCTGCACAACACCTTCCTTGGGTCTATCTTCTCCATGTAGGCAATTTGAGATCGATTGATTGCGATTTGAGTCTGCATCAAATTACTGGCCCTGAATATAGAGTAGATTGGGATGGGTCTTTCGACAGCAAGGCTCGACACCTTCTGCTCCGCTATAGCCAGCCATTGATGACACTGGTGGAACGGAACTCGAGAGTATTGGAGGAAGTGGTGATCACGTTTGATGACGACCTCCTCTTACTGGACTCGTTTCTACAGCTCTTGGATTCCTGTTGTACGAAGCTGAGGGTGCTCAAGATCAACCACAAGTCGACTGTCATAGATAAACTTCTCCCGACAGACCTCCTTTTGAGATTGTTTAAGAAAGTCGAGGTCCTGGATATGCCAAATTACATCCATGTCGATTTGGAAGCTCTTGCCGACATAGATGAAGAAGACGCAAATAAGTGGCTTGAGGTTCAATCGAAAAGAATAGCAGTATCTACATCCACATCTATATCCAAACCCACATCCATATCAACGTCCATGTTAGGACCCTCATTATTGCTTTTACAACAAAAAGAACAGCCACTACCACAACAGTTCTTCAAGCTGGAGTCACTCTCTATTGGGGGACCAAAATATGAGGATGCAGGCCAAAGTCCAGTTCGCAGCCCTTCTTCGCGACTGGATTTCATCCGTCGGTGCCCTATGGTCAAAGCACTCGCTCTCTCTAGAGACCCAAGTTATATACCAGATCATACGGTGGAGGAGTTGCTCGACGTCTTGGTCAAGACCTGTACTCGGCTGGAAAGGCTCGAGCTTTTTTCGAGCGGATTGACAGATCAAGGATTTGCAGAGGTCCTGAATACTTGGGTTTTAAAACAACAAGTGCAACAGCGACAACAACAAGGAGAATCTTCTTCTTCTTCATCATCATCATCAACATCATCGCCATCTAAGCCCTGCTACCTTCAAGGGTTTGGGGCTCCAGATTCGTCATTTGGACGGGATGGGGCTCGCGTGTTGTTGGACCACCATAAACTGACGTTGACATATTTGAATCTGAAATACTGCAAAGATTTTACAAGTGGAATGGTTTTTGCAGTGCTTACAAGCTGTCCCAATTTAGTCCATTTTTATGGTCATACTTTAATGCCAAAGTATATAACATCAAATGATGAAAGGGATCAATACCAAGGTCAAGCTCAAAATCAACGACAAGGTCAAGCAATGCTCGCCAAGGATGTGCTGCTACCATCGCTACCCTTTATTCTTCAAGAGTGGGTCTGCACTCGACTTGAAACATTTGATATCCAAGTTGACCCAACTATAACACGGCGTTATACACCATATCAAGATCAACGGCACATGGAAGAGCTGAGGAAACAATGGTCAACCTATGTCTTGGAACAATTGGGACGATTGACACGATTACGGAGATTGGCGGTTGGACAAGCACACTGTAAAAGATATACTTACGTGATGGGTCTCGATTTCAATCTCCCAAACGGATTGGGCTTGTTAAAGGACTTGTGGCGACTCGAGTGCTTGGACATGAGTGGACTGGTTCAACAATTAGGACTGGAGGATATTCGATGGATGCTTCAACATTGGCCCAATCTCCAGTGGATTGAGGGGGATGTTCTCTTTCAGTATGAAGAGAAATTGTTGTTGGAAAAGGTACTTTGGATGGAGGGAAGAGTCCGATGTCGGGGTACATGATAACTTTAAACACAGGAGGAAAAAAAAAAAAAAAAAAACTGTATATTCAAATTCCAAACATATAACGTATTCCTGACAGTTCAATCGAAAAAAAGCAAAAAAGTAGATCCAATCCTTGATTAAAACCAATGATTATTACCCTCTTCTTTTTTATCATTATTATACATATATATTATTATTATTTTGATGTCAACCTTCTTTGGCTTTGGCAGGTCAAGAAGGCGATCAATTATTGGGCGAATTGAGAGTATGTGACAAAAAAAACCCCCCTGGCTCTCTATACGAGTAAGATATGTGCTCAAGGTATATTGAGGCTGAAGAAAGAAAGACAACAGAAAGTCCCCTTCTGATGGAACATGGGGCTTTTAGACGAGCAAAGCACCTAGCCTGACCGTTACATGGGGAATTAAGCAGATCCAAGACTAAAGTGATCTCCTGGTACGTCCAGTGACAAAGGCGATAGGGGGTTACAGCTCGTCCAAATAAGAGAGCTCTTAAAAATAATATTAATCAAAGAAATGGCGCCAAGTTGCTGAGAATGAGGGTCTCGCAACAGAATCGAGCCAACATTCTTGTAGTTGGAGAAAGACCAAATTAAATCATTATTTCTATTCTCACTTTTATTTTTGGAGGTGCAAGACTCGTATTTACTCTGGTTCCATGCTACGCGGTTTTAGACGAGACAAGCAAGGTTCTACAAACCACAATACGATTGAAGGAAAAATGACTCCAAATGGTACTTTATATTATTGAGAGAAAGAAGCAATAACTGTTTTAAAAGAAAAAACTGTTGGTAGGAGCCAAGTGATTCTAAACTTTCTCCTCTGTATGCAATTTCGCAGTATGACTTGAGAGTTGAATATATTACACGATTTATTGAGATATAAAGACAGAAAATAGAAGTAAACTACGCATAGGAAAAAAATAAAAAATAAGAAAATGCTGCGGATGCTCATTTGAGGACAACTGCTGCGTTACGGAGACCAAGATACTGCTGCACCACACCAATGGGCTGTGTCTTGATCAGCTGGTAAACTTCGGTTGAGTGGTATCGTAAACGCGTCTTGGGATCTGTGTACCGAGCCTTAAAAAACCCCACCCAAGGTTGAGAATTTAGTTGTGTAATGAAAAAAATAAAAAAATAAGGGGTGTTAACGACAATTCGCTTGATCTCGAAAAGAAGGGCTCCCATTGTGTGATTTCCAACCCAATAGCCTTAAAAATGATATGCTATTATAGCTCCATGAGGGCTTTTTTTTTCCCTCTTGATTCTCTATTCAACAACCCTACCTCCAGTCCAGTGATATCACAATATTTTTTCTGTGGTGTCATAGATGGCAGTGCTTCGATATTCCAATCTATGTCATCGTGCGGAAGAATAGTGGTTAACTGAGAGCTGATCTATGTATGCTGAACATACTTTTAACTTGCCTCTTCAAGGAAGCAAAGAAAAAAGTATAAAAAAAATAAAAAAATTACTAGAACAATGACAGTGGTTTCCTTACATGTCGGTATGGTCGGCTTCCATTCCTTGGCCTTTTCTAATGCAATGATCTGCTTCAGGTTTTTAGTTTTCTTGGATGCATGCCGTCCTGGGTCCTTGAAGGGTTTGTGAATATGTGCCATGTTAATAACCCCAGGGAGGCCTTGCCCTATTTGATCGGACGAGCCACTACTGGAGCTGGATGGGGATGCAGTGATGGACGAAGCCATGGACGAAGCCCCTGTGACCTGCTCATCCTCATCGTCGTCCTGATATAAATATATACAAGCATTAAAAAAGTTAGCGAAGAAAAAAAAAGAAAAAAAAAAAAGTTCAGAAGATGGCACTGCTTCAACTTCACTTTTGTAAACTAAGCATTCTAGAGAAGAATTATATTGATATAGTTGATATATTTGACATAATTGATCCCAATCGATAGCTCGAATCTCCCGAATGCAGTCAAAACATTGCCCCGGTGTCGTACTTTGTTCTTACGTCCAAATCTGCCCCTGTTGGAGGATTTTGACTTTGCGACCCTAAAAAAAAAGTCGTTTCCTGAATGTGAGTAACTATGTTCTCTCTCCATATCTTTATTTTTTTTAATACTCTGTCCTTGAAATGTAAATTTACAGTCTCCTTACATGGTTTCTCAGGTTGTAACTTGTACTTTTAGCTGAGGTTGTTGGTGCGAAGCGATGAGGATGTTAAATTAGAACAACAGCTCTCCTTCATTTAAGTAAGGATGTATGGCACCATCAACTATCATGTAGCCAATCGTTCGTGGCTTGACCTTGGATAGGATTGGATAGGATTAGATAAAACTTTAAAAAGAAGACCCTTAAGTAAATCCACCAATAATGTTTCGCGGCGGAGCGATCGTGTCCTGTCGTGGAGAGACACGTCCTTTTTTCACAGGACGATTTAAACTAGTGCAACCAGACCAGGCACTATTTCTCTTTTTTTTTTTTTTTTTTTTTCTTTCTCTTGTCATCATCATCCTTCCGTTGCTTGCCATTATTGTTTATCTCCTTCTTCTTCTTTCCCTCTCTCTCTCTCTCTCTCTCTCTCTCTCTCTCTCTCTCTCTCTCTCTCTCTCTCTCTCTCTCTTTTATTTCTTTTTCTTCTCTTTTTCTTTGTTCAAACAAAGCTTTTGACACACAGAAATTAGTTTTTCGGAGACCCAATCATTAGCACAACATTCAACAGATTAGACAATTCCAGCATAGCGTAAGAAACGCATGAGAGAAAAGAGGCTCGTGCATTCAAATCATTACTGGTCATCTAATCACTTTCTGGTATTTGTAGGCTTACTCGTGCGCGTCATAGGGATCAAAATGTCAGGCTACCCTCAACAACAACAGCAACAACGTCCATTCTATCCAGGACAGCCTGGTCCAGGTCAACAGTTTCCACCCTCTTCTGCCGGATACCAACAACCTCAACAACAGCAGCAGCAGCAGCAGCAGCAACAACAACAGCAGCAGCCACTCTCGCCTTTCCAACAGCAGCAAAGACCTGGTCCAGGACCTTACAATAATGCTCCTAGACCAGGTGCTTCTGTACCTGGTAATCCAGGCGTCAGACCTAATAATGTTCCTCCAGGTGTCCGTCCAATGCAGCCTGGTAAAAAATCTACACAGAAAAAAAAAAAAAAAAAAGCTGTTTTTTTGAGTTCAGTAATTTTTTATGATCATAATCAATTGATCCGTGTCTAATTACTATTGTTTATGGACTTTAGGCCCAGGATCACCTGCTAGACCATCTGTCAACGGCGGTGCTCCCTATCCGCAGCAGCCATCGCCCCAACAGCAGTATGGTGCTCGACCACCCATGCAGGGCCCACCAGGAGCAAGACCAATGGGACCACGACCACCCCTCTCCTCCAACCAGCAGATCAGAAGTGCGTCTCCAATGCCTGGTCAGAACCCAGGAGTCCCTTCGCCTCGTCCTCCAAATATGATGCAGGTACCAACACCAATGGGTACTCCAGGGCCTGCTGGACAGACCGTTCAATCTTCGCCACTTCAACCGCCACAACCTCCTTTCCAGAGATCTATAACTCCTATTGGACAGAATGGGCCACCACCCCAACAACAGCAGCCGTCATACCAGCAGCAACACCACCAACAGCAACCTACTCCCCCATTGGGATCTTTGAACCAAAATGATGCAAACTCTAATGGTCTATATAATCAGATGTCGAATATGTCACTCGGGCCCAATGGCGTTCCTGATCAGCAACAACAGCAGCAACAGCAACAACAACAGCAAGCTGCTCCTGGATTCTCACCCATTCCACCCCAAGGTCCACCTGCGCAGGCAGAGGTATGAAAACATGTTAGCAGATATCAGATCGGATTACTTTTTTTTTTTTTTTTTTTTTTTTTTTTAGTAAAGATTTTAACAAACTATTTCTTAATACCGTTATCATAGTACAAGCCAAAAGCTGGAGCAAGAGCGAAACGTGTGTTCGCTACAGATCCATCCACCCCTTCACCTTCTCAGGGACAGGTTGGAGGTATGCCCCCTATTCCTCAACCTGGTGTGAACACGTTTGATACTCAGCAGCAACCATATGGAGCACAGAACTTTGGACAACCACCACCAATGAACCAAGGGTATCCTCAACAACAACAGCAACAGCCACAGCCGCCATCGGGATCATATCAGCAACAACCACCAGCACCTTATCAACCTCAACAACCAATGACTCAGCAGCAGTTTAGACCGCAGCCACCAGTCCAACCTGGCTCAAGATCAAGGATTGATCCGGATCAGATCCCATCGCCTGTCGCTGTTCAAGAGGCGGACCAAGCAGAATGGGATGACAAACCATTTATCACTTCGACTAGGACGCATGTCACTCCACTTGCAAGCTCAGACTTTATGGCAATCGATGAAGGTAATAGCTTTTCTTTATTACTAATATTCATTTTGCAACAATTTTGAGCTTATGTCCTCACACAATTTAAATACATGTCTAATGGGTCACATCTCACTGGATGTAGGCAATTGTAATCCTCGATTCCTTAGGATGACAACATACAATGTCCCTAACACCGAAGACCTTCTCAATTTGTCCCAGTTGCCCATGGGACTTGTCATTCAACCCTTAGCCAAGCTCCGTGCAGACGAGGTAAATTACTATTATTGTTATTATTATTATTATTATTGTTAAAGACCAAAGCAGAATTAAGAGCGTACTTGTTATCTAATTATTTTTTTTTTCTTCTGAAGGCACCTATTGACACTGTAGATTTCGGTGACCAAGGACCTGCCAGATGCCGTCGCTGCAATGCATACATCAATCCGTTCATGATTTTCACCAATGGCGGCCAACGATTTGTGTGCAACATGTGTTTGTTTGAGAATGATGTTGAATCCAATTACTTTTGTAACTTGGATATGAATGGTCGTCGTCTTGATTTGGATCAGCGACCTGAATTGAGGAATGGCACCATTGAATTTGCAGTACCCAAGGAGTACTGGAATAAAACACCTGCACCTGCGGCATATGTGTTTGCGATTGATGTCTCTTGGAGCGCTATCCAGAGTGGGATGTTGCTGCAGTGCGTTGATGGTATTAAGAGGGCTATTTGGGATGAAAATGGTCTTTCGAGGTTAGCACCTGGGGCACAGATCAGTATCTTGACGTTTGATAAGACTGTTCATTTTTACAATATTTCGGTAAGTTTTTCTTTACATGTCCATTCTTTTCGTTCTCAAAGGATTGTTCAAAGTTGATAGCTAATGATTCCTGTATAAATTTGGCTATTGTGATTCTTTTAGCCAAGCTTAGAGCAGGCTCAGATGATGATTGTTCCTGATGTCAATGATGTCTTTGTGCCCCTGAGTAATGGATTCCTGGTTGATCCCGCCACTTCAAAGTAAGTAAAAAAAAAAAAAAAAAAAAAAAAAGAACCTTCCATAATCAATGTGATAAACTCAACAGTTTTTTTTTTTTTTTTTTTTTTTTTTTGGATTTTGCGCTGTAAATAGGACCATTGTGGAATCGTTGTTGGATATGCTTCCTCAATTGTTTGCAGAAAATAAGACTACAGAGCCAGTGATTGGCGCAGTTGTGCAGGCGGTCCAAGCAGCGCTGGAGAGCCGTGGAGGCAAACTAATTGTGTTCCAAACTGCATTGCCAACATTCGGACCAGGGGCACTGAAGCACCGCGATGATTCAAAGGTTTATGGCACCGATAAGGAGCGCACGTTATTTGCACCTCAAGATGATTTTTACAAAAAGCTGGGTGAATCTTGCGTGGAGGCAGGCCTGTCTGTTGATCTATTCCTGTTCCCGAATGCATATGTGGATGTGGCTTCTGTAGGATGCCTGTCAAGCATCACGGGTGGAGAAACGCAATTGTTCCCCAACTTTAACGCGGCCCGAGATGGCGAGAAGTTGAAGGGCAATATAATCAAGATTTTGGGACGGCCATTTGGATACAATGCATTGTTACGTGTTCGTTGCTCAACGGGACTGAGGATTACGGAACATTTTGGAAACTTCCATATGAAGAACAGTACGGACCTAGAGATAGGAGGTCTAGATTCTGAAAAGGCCTTTGGAGTGCTTGTGAAGCATGATGGCAAGTTGGACGAGAAGACAGAGGTTAGTTTCCAGGTTGCGTTATTGTACACGACTGCGGATGGTTATAGAAGAGTAAGAGTCCATAATTTTAGCACACCAGTGACGACCTTGTTGGGCAATGTGTTCCGATGGGCAGATATGGATACTACGATCAACTTCTTGAGCAAAGGAGGTAAAAAGAGATGATTTACAATCGATTCTTCATCGACGGTATACACGTACTTTTTCATTATCTTCCAAACCATTCTAAAGTGTCCTTTTTTTATTTTTATTCCACATAGCTATCTCGCAAGGGCTCACCAAACCATTGAATGAAGTACGCGATACCATGACGGATAAATGTGTCAAGATCCTGTCAGCCTACCGCAAGAACTGCGCTTCTTCCACTGCTCCGGGCCAATTGATCCTACCAGAGTCATTTAAGCTTTTCCCTGTATATTCATTAACGCTGCTCAAGTCCAAGTCACTTCGGGGTGGTAATGACATCAATAGTGATATTCGAGTACACCAAATGCGAATGCTCAAGAGTATGGGTGTCAGTGAATCAATCGCATTCTTGTATCCTCGTATGATTCCTGTTCATGAAATGGATGAGAAGGTAAAGAGCAGGAAGAAGCTACATCTAAAGTGTTTAGTGAAGTGTTAATGGAAGCTAATCTCAACTTTTTTTTTTTTTTGTTCATTTCAAAAGGTTGGCGTGAAGAATCTGACAACCGGTCGGGTGTACCTTCCTCCATTGATCCGAGTGTCTTATGCACGCTTAAATTCATCCGGAGCATATCTGCTTGAAAATGCACAATCATTGTACCTCTGGCTTGGTCGCGACATCAACCCTCAATTTTTACAGGATGTTTTTGGTGTTTCGACCTTGGATGAAGTTGATTCCAGCTTGGTAAGTTGGAGGACACATGCATACATTGTTCATTTATACTCTATATTTTTTTAAATATTTATTGCTATGTGAAAAAGATAAAATGGTTAATTTTTTTTTCCCGTTTTATTTTCGTTTCTAACAGCAATATCTACCAGAGTTGAACAGCAGGACAAGTTCACAGCTTCGTACGATAGTATCGTACATGGACAGCCAGAGATCCAAGTATCTGAACCTGATTATTGTTCGTCAAGGCAGAGATCAGATCGAGCTAGAGTTCTCAAATTTGTTGATGGAAGACAAGAACAACGATGCGATGTCTTATGTCGATTACCTGTGTGCGATCCACCGTATGATCCAGACCGAGGTCTCTTCAAAACCCCAAGAACTCCCTACAAGACTTTGGACCACACGTTAGAAACCAACTAAGCCAAATCAAACCAAGGCAAAACATATTGTGGACAAATTTTTTATAGATTTCATGATTTCATGTTAGGAAAAAAAAAAAAAAAAAAAAAAAAAAAAGAATTATAATATTAGGCAGATTAAATATATTATTGCTGCTAATTGCTCATAAAGCGATCCCATGCTATCATCAGATGTGCATCCGATGCTGCCCAAGTTTGACTCTGTGACTTAGGCTGCCAGGAGTGTAGTCAAACAGAGGGTCTAGATGCCATGTTTTTATTGCCAACAGCTGATGATGCTGCCCTTCGAGTCAACTCGTTCAAAAAACTTATAACTGCGTATGGGAAAGTGATGGGTCAATTCAACAGCTGCACTTGACCTGATCTTTATCCATTCAAAAACTCGCTGCAAACACATTGCCTAGGGCTCTCTTACACTTCATTTCGTTATAAGGGGTATTTGGAGAGCTAGAGACCAAGCACTACCGATAAACGGTATCAACGAAGTCGATGTTCCGATCAGTGCTCCAATAATACCTGCGAATCCTGCTGAATTAGCGGCTAGAGAGGCCATCAGGACATCATGTGCGAAACACTTACGGATCCTTAGAGCTGAACTAGTTTATATACCGAGATCCATTGCCAATTCTCTTGATGGCTTCCTTTGACAAAGAAGCACCTCAGTGTTATCGCGAAATGACTAAGGGACAATGGCTTGAAAATAACTATAGTGGGTGCTGATACAACGTAGAACATAATGCTTTGGATAATGTGGAGTGAATTAAATTAAAGGTAATCCTAATCCATGGATAGCAATGGACTTTTATTCCCAAGTGGAAAAAAAAGAGTAAATAATCAGTTTGACCAAACTTGATCCATTGCCTTTTACATGACACTGGCGCTATATAAAGTGAAGCAAAGGCCAATGAAGAGAATGAGACCAATCAATGACAAGTGCTTTTCAATGTAATGGAATGAGGATGGCGTGTTTAATGTGTCATAGCGGGAAATAGCCTTTGTGAAGGGAAGGACAACGTGGTGGCAAGTGAGCGGATTAAGTTTGCGTAACCTGTTAAGTTATAATTTTTTGTGCTACATTCATGTAAAAGACATTAACAAGAATCTTAATATTTTTATTATATTTTATTTTTTCGTCAGGCCCCTTCACGTAGTTTTGCAGAAGCCGCTTGATGCATTTGACCCGTTTGTCGCAGATGGGTTACTGCAGCATACACACGAATGCTTGTTGACGATCAGTGTACCAATGGACTAACTCAGCGACTGTACGTATCCAAAGCTGTGGGGCGGCATGTGGTGATCTATTTGGTAAAGCATTCATGTGCTTTTGATCGAGAACCATCAGCTGGGGAGAAGAAACAAGTATAAAAAAAAAAAAATAAAAAAAAAAAAAAAAACTTAGGGTTATCGTAGAGTACGCGTGTAGTTCATTGCATTGTGACATTTTATAGAGCATGGCTATCGTTTCTTACAAATTGATCCAGTGATTGTACATATCCAAGGCTGCGCGAGGCTATGTGGTGATCTATTCGGCAAAGCGCTCATGTGCTTCTGGTTAAGAACCATCAGTTGGGAAGGTCTGGTGGAGCAGGTCTGGTGGGGCAGTTAATTCACACCCCACCAGAGGGCCTATGCCTGTGAGTTACGGAGGATAGGGCGTTCGACCGTGAACACAACTGAAAGTACCGATCGTGGTAACTGGAATTAGTCTGGGCGATGGAGAACCATACCGCTGCTTGTAGAGCAGCGGTGCATTATACTTGTCAATTCTGCCAGAGAACGTACTTTTTCTTTATTTTTTTTTCTTTTATTTCATTATTTCATCTATTTCATACTTAATAAAACAGTTATACCATAATCAACATCAGTCATTACCACTGGTTGCCTGGTCAGGCATAGTATAAGAGTATCTGGCTAGTTATGTTTATTTATATATTTATTTGCGCTCAAGCTGACTTATCTTATTATATGGGATGTACAGAACACGGATATGGTAAGGGTCCACGAGCCACTTATCCTGCTAGAAGGTCTAACGCTTTCGGAAGAAAGAAAAACGCGGTAGGAACCATAGGCAGACTTCCGAAGCCGGAATTGATTCAGTTGCCCTGATAGAACTCCTTGGAACTTAACAGAACTTTTAAAACAAGGAATGGTCAAACCGGAAAGTGTGTAATATCACCCTGACATAAACTAAACCCTATGCTTTAATGTATAGCATTTGTGCCAAATGCATGGCGCCTCAACCTAAAGGCAGGGCTGGTATCTGTTGGTTTGCGTCATAAGTTGACCAGCAATGCCGGTATCACAAGTTAAGTGTAGCTCTCAATGTGAATATGCAGCACTTTTGGGGACTAAGAAGCAAATGGCTCAACAAGCCATCTCGAGCCCTCAGCGGACCACTTTCGCCGTTGCTGGGGACCCTCGGGTGCTACTTGATTAATCGGGTGCTACTTGGTTAATCGGACGCTGCTGGATTTATTGAATTTGGATTGTTGCTTGTACTAGAAATCCTGCCTTAACTGGAACAATATACCATATAAATGACTGTTAACCGCAACACGCTTCGAACGATCCACTCATTGTAAAGTTTCTAGCACCTTATACTGGATGATTGATAACACACTGAGGCTTATTCGATAATTGACACACGGCTTGAAGATTCAGTTCTAAGAAGCCCTTAGCATTTTCCCATTCCGTACATGTGATGTTATTAGGTAAGGCAGCTTCAAGGCAACTATCATTTACATTCAAGCGACCCAGCCTTTCTCTTTAATAATGCTCAAGCTACATAACTGCTAGTAAACTAAAAATAAACCTTTCTTTTTCTTACAGGTGTGGTTGCCAAGAGAAGAATGAGACATGAATGTAAGCTCGCCTAGAAGAACTCAAGCATAAAAAAAGGTATCAACCCGCAGAGACTCCAAGGTGTGCATCTACTACAACTTTTCTTTACCGAGAGATGCAGGAACTTGAAAATATATGGCATTGTTAGATAGAAAAAGGACGAAGTAAATAAATATTTGTATATTATTTTTAATATTGCCTAGAAAAATTTTCCATTCAAGATAACGTGTCATCCATGGGCCATACTATGGCCTCGAACTGCCACTGACATTAATAATAAAGGCAGATCACTTTCTCTGTTGAAAACAAAAACAGACCATGTATATGACTTTGAATGCCATACTCATTCACTAGTTGATTGCTACGACTACTATTCTCTCTAGCTTCAGCAACAAAAACCTCAACGAACAATTCCAGGAGTTGTCCTTCATGTCCAGAAAGTGATACGTATTCATACTTTTTTTTTTTTTCTTTTTTCTTTTCTTTTTTTTATTAGACTTATTAGATTGCTGTCATCCATACCCAGCCCTCCATGCACAAGAAAGTCAAACTCTGCTGGTCAAGGCTGAACTCTATCATGTCTTTCATCTCTGGAAGCTTACATAAGCTTAATTCAGTCTTCTTCACGTTCGTCCTTGTCACTACAATCAAATGTAAGAGAGTAGAGAGTAATCGGGAGAAACAACTCTCTATCCAGCGCTATATTGCAGTTGAGTCAATCTCCTTTTCCCCACTAGAATATATTATACATTTAAACAAGCCATTGGCGATCCTGTTTGCGCCGTCAGTTATACGACAGGGATAGTAACTCGAAGAAAAGTTGTACCTGTAGCTTCTGGAGAAAGTCTCTTACCCACCTCCACTCAGGATTTTCATTTCTAATCGCGCGTAGGCTCGCTCAGAATGCATCGGTTGCTAAACCATGGTCCTTGAACTCAAAGTGATTATAAAACACATTGGCTCAGCCCCAGAGAGGGTCATATGGTTGTCCATCAGTAACATGTTTTTGTTGGATGAAATAATGTTGTGTTGTTCGAAGTTGTGAATACATTTCTGGTTGTCATGTCAAAAAAGAGAGTGTTCTAAAATGCAAATATGCCTCGTGACAAAAGTGATTTTGAAGAAGATATAAAAGTCCTTTTTCTATTACACAATAAAGATCCTCATTCTTTGTTCTTGTCTCGTTATTTTCAAGTTCGCTCACCAATAAAAAACTATGACTCAATACTCTCCCTCTGACTTGACTGAACTCGGTATGATACCTCAACATAATTGCAGCATAATAGAGTGATATAGTATATGAATGTGGTTCTTGTCTGTAAGAGTGCAGGAGTAAACTGCCTCTGTAAAAAAAAAAAAAAAAAAAAAAAAAAGAAAAGAAAATTAGAAAACTCAGCTTGGAAGCTTCCTGTAATCATTGTCTGCACCTTACTTGTTCACTCCAACTAACATACCAACACTCTATTGTTGTTATGGCCGATGCTCAGGCAATATTATGAATATAGTCTTGCAAGACCACGCAGTAGTTTTTGACGAAGACGACTTTGAGCACATGTTCTTTGCTGTAAATACCACCCTTTATTCATTATCGTCTGTTCTTTTCATACTCTGCTCAAATAACCTCTCCCTCTTGTGTCTAAGTCTGTTGACACTAAGCGCTTGTTATGATAAATAACCATTCTATTTCAGTCATATCACGCACAGCGGTATGTTTGTCCTATCACCCATTTCATCGCAGCCCGGCACACGGTTGTTGAAGTGGAGGATGTTAGTGCGGGTCTCATGGATAAGGCAAGCTTCAGAAAATTACAAAATATCATAAACCAAAAAGGGAAATAAAAAGAATGCGCTCCCCAGACAAATAAATGCACAGGTGTCACATTGTTTATCCTAACGGATGGCTTCTTTTTATCTTGTTACAATCCTCTCTTGGCAATTGGTATTGTCTAACTTATACAGCAAGGCATCACTTGGCGAGAAGGAAATCTCGGAAGAGGTGCTTATCGCAACTTCAGAAATCGGTAAGTCCATCATTCAATATAGTAAAAAAATAAAAAAAATTAGTGATAAGTAAAATCACAGCTGAAGGTATTCATATCTTTTTTTCTTCTTCTTCTCAAAAGCGTCTATTCGTCTCCATACTATGGTGGTGACTCTAGCACGCTCCACGAGGTATGTTTGATAACCCTGCACACATTGATTCATTATTCAGGATTTAGTTTTTATATAGACATGCTTTCTGCATTTGCGAGTTAACTCCTAATTAACTTTATTCTCGTAGAACCGAGAGGAGTTAGATTACACAGACAACGAATATTACCGATTCCGATACACAGATACAGCATTCCATTGCAGCCACCGACATCCTCAACTACGGAACTTGGTTTGCGCTACAAGCAAAAATGATGTCTATTATTTATGTAATAGTGACCTTGCTCAACATATGATCGGCAGTTGTTTTTCATTTCTGCTTGAAATCATGAACCACACCACTTATAAAATACGTTCTTTTTTTTTTTTTTTTTTTTTTTTTTTGCGGTTCTCCAGACAATAACACAATTCAGCATTGGTGCCCGCAGCTCAGGACGTCAAAAACCATTCTCGGTCATCCACTCAAGTTACCACATTCATCGGTACCGAGGAGGATCACCACCATGGCCGCTAAAGATGACTTGTTGTTGGTCGGAGGCGAGGACGGCTCATATACTTTTATGAATCTTCAAACTTGTGCAGCACCAGTTCATGATTCGTTCACTAATGGCAAGCATACTGAGGTGAATGGGATTGAAATATCATATTCGAGGGCTGGAGGTACGTTTGATATATTACTTTTTGTTCAACTCTTTCTTTCGTTCTTTATTTTTATTTTTATTTTTATTTTTATTTTTAATCTTTTCTTAAGTTATTGGTCCTTTATAATATATTTTAGGTCCACATGCGTTCATCTCGACAAATGATGCTCTTGTGCGATGCATAGACATGAAGCCGTTATCTATTTGCGCAACGTATCCGACAGGATGGTTTGCTAATGTAGGGTTTACTTTTCCTATGGAACAAACAGGAGCATTGCTTATTACACTTGTAAGGGCTCACCATTTCCTTTTCTTATTTTCTTCTTCTATCCAGTATACTTCGCAAAGTCCAGATGGACATATGATTGGCATTGTTGGCGATGACCCGGATGGCCTAGTTATGAGTGTCAACTCTAGGGAAAAGATTGCTACACTCAAAGGCCACCAGCGATATTCATTTTCGGTGGCATGGTCACCAGACTCGACTATGTTGGCGACGGGGAGTGACGACTTTTCAACTTGTATCTACGATACACGGATGATGGAGAATCCAGTCCACACCTTGAGTCGTGAAGTCAAAGACTCTATCCGATCTTTGCGTTACTCTGCCTGTGGACGGTATCTAGTTATGGCCGGTAAAGTTAGATTAAGCCACGACAGTAACAACTTTTTTTTTTTTTTTTTTTTTTTTTTCATTGTAAACCTTTCACAGAGAATTGTTTGTCCTTATTTTTTTATTTTATTTTATTTATACATCTATATACTATATACGCTAATATTACTATAGAGGACAGCGATTTTGTTCATATCGTTGATACAACAAGTGGTTACTCAAAGGCACAAAAAATCGACCTTGTGGGCGATATTTCAGGAATTAGTCTAACGCCTGATGGAGATGGGCTTTTTGTAGGCGTATCCAACGTATCCACAGCGTTTGATTTCTCGTATGTTTTTCCTTACAATTTTTTTCCATAATGCTCTTGCAAGAGATGAACGGCTTGAGCTTACTTTTCCTTAACTTTACTTTTTAGATCTGTTCTTGAGTTTGAAAAGCTTTACAGAGTGCCTGACAAGCTAATAGATGAAGATCACTGGGCTTCATGGCTCTGAACCACCGTTTTTTCATTCTTATTATTGTAACAATAAAAAAAAAATATTTATCCGCCTTTTTTTATATATATTTAAAAAAAATATTTAAAAATCTTCTAGTAAAGAGTGTAAAAAAATTGAACTGTAATGCTCAATAATGGACTTGTACCTCAGAACAAGAAACTAGCGGCAATGTCCACGTTGCCTCCTGCAGCATCTAAGGCTGCAACAACTTCAGAACGTGAGGCACCGAGCGCCATCAATGACTGAATGTGTTCCTCCGGGTATCTTCCTATAAGGCCAGAATTGAATAGTAATGGTATTGCAATAGTCAGATCAAGAAGGGCAAACTTAGTCATAAGACCTTATTACTGATTCATACTCTTTTTTCTCCCTTGTCTCTTACCTGTGGCGGCTGTTGCTGTTGCTGTTGCTGCTGTTGCTGCTGTTGCTGCTGTTGCTGCTGTTGGGGCCGCAGCAGACGTCGGTATCTGAGTAGAAGGTGGATTGATGGGCGCACTAGCCCCAGCAGATGTCTCTGTCCTTGATGAGACAGGAGTTGTATCCGCACGTGTCGATGTACCGGACGCAGCTGAATACGAAGTCGCCTGAGCTCCTCCAAGTTTGCCAACAGTAGCTAATTCCTCAGGCGAGAGTTCTGGATTATCTTTTGCGCTGTTGGGCAGTTCGTGTTCCGATAAGAACCTGATCTCGGACTCGTTGATGATCAAGCAATTCTTCTTCAAATCAATACAGGCTTGATGTCGCTTCAACATATCCAATCCAAAAAGCAGGTCCACGCCTTTCCCTTCCATAATAGTGAATGAACATGCCAAGAATTGATCCCTTCCAACACGGATTTGGGCACTGTGCACGCGTCCTAAAATCTTGGCAACACCAACACCACGTGCAATACCTGCGAAACGCGTGTCAACAAGTCGCATGATTCCACATGCCTCTGCGCACTCTGGGCTCACTAAAATTGAGCGTTGTCAAAATAGGGGCAAAAAAAAAAGTCAAAAATACCGTCCACCTGGTGAAATATTGCCATTTTTTTTAAAAAAAAAAAAAAAAAAAAAAAAATTGATAAGCCTTACTGATGGTAGCTTGAGCTCCAGAGTCAACGAATGCTTTGACAGGATGCCCATTGACTTCGGCATCAATATAAAGCATCGTAACTCGTCCAAATGACTCTGGATTGTATTCCATTGCAGCCTCCATATTCGCCGCCACATTTTCTAATCGAATCGCCTCCTCGATCCTCCTCTGTGCCTCCAAATCAAATGGGTCCGCGTTCAATTGGTTCTATTTTATATATAAAATAAACAAGTAAAAGCATAAAATAATCTGTTAAATATTTTGCTTTCATCTCACTTAACGAGAGTGCCTCCAGAATTAGAGGGCACTCGTTACTACTATATCTACATTGACATTTATAAGGGATCAAAACATTACAATTTCTTGAAGTCGGGCCATTTCTGCACTACGACGCTGAACATCCAATTCCCGTATCATTTCATGAAACCTATTGGGATTGTTTTGCGCGGCATCTGCAAGCTCTGGTTGTGTCTATACCGTGAGCATTTGTGTGTGGGAGAGAGAGAGAGAGATAGAGAAAGAAAAGATTGTAAATATCTTATATATTAGTTGACTAGTTTATTATAGTTGTAATTATTATTCTTTTTTTTTTCTTTTTTTCCTTTTCATGTTATGCATTATTACCTCACGCAATTGTCGGAGCATGCTTGGATTACTAATGACATGCTGACGAATTTGTTCTGCGTTATGAGGATCTCCACCTCCCTGAGCTATCTGTCCTGGATGAACAGAGGGCCCAGCTCCGGAACCAGTGTTGATCGCTGCAATGTTGGTGCGTTGCTTCTTGGAACGTCTTTGAAGGGTCAGGATGTCGTCTGGGGCAATGCTGTTAGCCTCCAACGTTGATTTAGGATCTTGTAATTCGATATTGTTGTGCAAAAGAACTTGTTCATCCGCTGGGATATTACACTATACAGCATTAATAGGTTATGAATAAAAAGAAAAAGAAAAAGAAAAAGAAAAAGAAATAAAGCAAAAGTTAGTTTTAACGAAGAAAACGAAGCAATAGTCAGTTTCTATTAAATGATAAAAATGGACTACACACGTCAGCTTCTAAAAGCGCCTTGATGTTTTCGAGTTCCATTTGTGAATCGACCTCGATGGTATGGATGTCGCCCTGGTCTGTGAGGATGGAAACACGCATTCTATTAAACTTGTTGGGGTTGTGGTGTAAGGACGAGTGTGCAAAAAAAAAAAACAAATGAGTGCGAGTGAGTGAAAGTGTGAGAGTATTGGTCAAGCGAACCAGAAAGAAAAATCACGTGATTTGAAATAGTAATTTAAATGGGGTGAATCTATTTGACAACCCGGGTTGTCACTCTTATTTGACAACCCCCCCCCCCAATTTAGCAGTCACACCGGCTTATTTGGCAACCCAAGGTCTTCAATTTTCACTTTTTTGTTATTTGACAACCCGGGTTGTCAAGAAAAGAAGAAAAATTGTCTTTTTCAACCTGTCACATGACAAGTCTTCACCCTCTTGCACTTATGGAGGGCCTTTCTCAGCTGGATTTCTAAAATGGTGGCAACACTCCGTTATCATGACTGTGGTTATAGCTTCTTCTGTCTCTCTTTTTTTTCCTTTCCGCGTCTTACGCATGCGCCATCAAGCGTCGCATAACCACTCCGAATTTTTGTATGCTTATATATCCAAAAACCCCTTAGTGCATGTTACCCGTATAGGCACATTTTCTATAAAGCAAACCCTTGTTTTAGAAATCAGTTGTAATAAAAAACAACACCTCGTAACCAAAAAAAAAAGTTTGTTATTTGATGGAAGCTTTTAGATTGCTGGAGGGATTTCGTGTTGCTGAGGGATAGCAATAGAAACGATTTTCACATAATAATCTTGCCAATAAAAAAAGGGTTGTCAAATAACAGTGAGCTTGGGGTTGTCAAATTAGATATTTTACTATTTGGCAACCCGGGTTGTCACGCAAAGAAAAAAAATTGAGAAAAATAATTAAGGGGGGGGTTGTCAAATAAGAGTGACAACCCGGGTTGTCAAATAGATTAATTCGAAATCATTATATTCTTCATTCTTTTGCATACTCAACGTCTGGATCCTTCGTTCCATTTCTCAAAAGTAGAAAGTCTTTTTTTTACAGCACAGGAATGGAATCAAAGCCAACTTTAGGTGATCAATTGCTATTAGACTCAAGCTTAACAGCAACATCCGCAGCGCCTACGACGCTGGTATCTACTAATGTCTTATCAATGACGCCGGCTCCGGATATAGAAATAACCAGTATCATTACTACAACGATCATCACCACTGCTTGAGCGTCCCAGAGGACGTCCAAGGAAGGATCCTCCGCAGGTATTGCGACATTAGCCCAAAATGGCACGTCATTCCAGGTGATAAAGAGGCGACAAAAAGCTCCGTCCATCAAATGACTTATCGTGATGCAGATATCCTTATGGCTTGCACAATGTCAACAGCCATCGAAAAGCTCATGGAGGCCATCATGCTAGCACTATTGAAGTCTATAGGCTAGGCATATGCCAGGTGAACATTAAAGCAGGAGGACAGTAGACCACAGAACGAAGTCACACAGAAATATTTTATTCGACATGTTTGCCTTCGAGATTCGCTCTTGGAATGGCAGGGTCCTTTGCCTTCCTCCTTTGCTCGAAACTCTGTCGGGCTATCAAGCGCCCTCCAGTTAATGGATTTTTCTTGACTTGAAGATCTCTTTGGAAAAAATAATCCGTGGCAGAGAGAAGAATATTTAAAGGAAGTGGACGAAGTGGATCCAAACATCGTGATTAACATTCGTGCTGTACCAGAAACAAGGGTCACAGCAGAGATCATCCAATGAGCTGACTATTCGTCGATCACAAATCTTTATTCTGAAGCTGATTTCCCGCGTATAGATTTCTGAGGCTGGTTGTGCGATGCTGGCGAATTATACTTCAAAGCGTTGCATTTCAAATACATCATGATCACCCTCTACTGACGGTACCCAGTTCATCAAAGGCATTAAAATCTACACACCAGTTGCATTTATCTCTGCAATTGACGGTCCAGCTACCAGAGGACTCGACAGCGTCGGTAGAGAAAAGGAAGAAAGCGAGAAGCATAGATCTCTTATACACCAAAAAAAAAAAAAAAAAAAAAGTACGCGCTTCATTATTCGATTGTAGGGGGGTGATACGTGGTCCATAGTCTCACAAAATTATATAAAACTCGACATTGTTGTTTCTCTGGCTTTCACTTTCGCCACTTGGCTAATCACCTTTTTAATTCAGTCCTCTCTCTATAAAGATGATTACCAATATGAAGATCTTTTACTTGTTGATGGCCGCCCCTTGTCGCGCGCGTTTTCCATCAATGCCGCATCTTCTGACACCATTGACATTTTCAAAAAGTTAATTAAACATAGGTCGCCTGAATTGAACGATGTCGATGCAGAAAGGGCCACACTCCGGCATGTATCGATTCTGATCACGGACGATAACCAGGAATTGCTCATTATACCCAATTCTCTGACTGACAAGAAGGAGCTTCTCCCAATGTACCGTCTTTCGATACTTTTCCCCGAGGATGAACCAAAGGGATCTATCCACATCGTTGCCCAATGGCCTACCTTTTTACAACGCACTGAAATGACTTATACGTCTCCCTAATGCTCATCCGTTTCTAAATTTGATATCTTATTTAGACGATACTGAAGTGGCTACTTGGAAAGAATAAACTGAGATGAGGAAAATGAAAAACGAATCAAGGAGAATCAAAGAAGTGAAGAATCAAAAAGACCACTTCGATTGGTAATAACCATTTAGAAGCACTGCATTAAGGGCTATTTGTTATGGTTTGATATTTTATACACAAACTAGTGTTCTGCAAAAGAGTATGTCGAAACTCGGAATCATAGATACTAGGCAAGGAAGGAAAATTCTGTGCCAATATATTGCAGATACAAAACAATGACTCTCGAAGATCTGCGGAAGCTTCTTTACCCAATGTTTGAGAAAAAAAAAAAAATTACAATTTTATGGGTGATGACAATGTTCGAATTTTTGTCCGCCAGATCAGTAAACAGCCAACCATGCTGGATGCAGGCGATCACTCAACTACTGGTTTAAAAAAAGGAAAGGGAGAGAAGGCTCTCCTCGTGGGCTTGGCGGGATATTAAAATATGTCATCTTCGCCGTCATCCAGTCATTCAGCCATCTAAGAAATGAGCAAAAAGAAAAATGTACCCCTCATCTTTATCATCAGTAATTAGTATATTTAAATAGCAATTCTTACTTTCAACCCCCCCTGTAAATGGAATAGAAAAGCTGGATGTTTTATAATGAAAGCAAAGGCTTGGTTGAGCGCTGTCTAATCTGCGCTTGCTCAAAGGATCCAGCTCAATGGCTTCTTTGAAGAACTGTGTGCCACTTCTCTAAGCGCATCTACGATTTTTCCCCACCTTTTAGGGTTTGCGTAGGGAGAAATACTACTTCCACCAAGTGCTACTACCTCTCTGTTTTTTATTTTTTATTTTTTATTTTTTGGTTAATAAAAATGATGAAGAAAATGATGGCTAGGGCCTAGAGTGAAGAGAATAGAGAAGAGGAGGGGAGAGAAAAAAAGGAAGAGAGAAAGAAAAAAGAGGAAAGGAGAAGAGGTTGACAGGGGAAGCTTTTTCAATCATACTGCACCAGAGACATTTGTTTCTGAGCCAAGCAAAAAATACCATCCAAACATCTCCCTGTCATTGGTATATGAAAGCCTCTCTACGCGGCTTTAGTCCGGTGTGCAATGAAAATTTTAGACAGAGAGGTAATTAAGTAGCTGGGGAGCAAAAGTTAGTGAGAATAAGATATGGGTACACGCACCAGATCCATGAGATATTTATTCAATTCATATCAAAGCATAACTACAAGTTTATCTGCGGACACCACAAATAGAGCATCCATGATGCATGTTGTATAGAACCTAGAACGTGTATGTTGGGGATCTAGAACGCGTATATTGGGAAGGTGGTGTGGTGAACGTTCTTCGATACAAGGTATACTTCTGCAAAGTATACAGGTATCAGTAGTCAAGGGACATTAACTTTGTATTTTAGAAGTTGATATGATGGATGGATACAAGTGACATGAATGCCTCTGAGTCTTTTTATATTTTTTGGCAATGTCTTGTTTGATCGGCCTTAGTAGTTTTCGTTAGCCGTTTTGGTTGTCATTGATAGACTTTACTGTTTTGGTTTGGTTGCAGCCACTGTTGGCTTGGTGCAGCTGCTGTTGGTTGTTTTGCTTCTTCATTTTTTGGATCCGCTTATGGAATGTATCGCCTTTTGATTATTCAAAGCGAACCTTTGGGTGCTCGCTGGCCCTTCTTCAGCCCTTCAATGCGGCTCCTTGATCTATGTTCGAAGGTACGCATCTAAGAAAAAACATTTGCAAACCGGATGTCCTTATCGCTCCAAGTTATCTTCGGATCGAGATGGCTTTTCTGTTCTTCATGGCAGTTGTTTGGGGCGATTGTTCAATCCTCCTTCGAGGCAGTCATTCGAGGTAGTTCTTTGAGGCGACCTCCTGATTTGGCTCATCGAGACTATCCTTTTTATTTTGTCAGTTAACTTTTGATTGTTCTATTCCTTTTATTTTTTTTTTTTTGTTGTTGTTGGTATTCTAGATTTTCTTTATTGATGATTCGGATGACTTGGGTAGTGGTGCAGGTTTGACGGCTTGTGTTCTCTTTCTGTCTTGTTTTATTTTGTTTTTATTTCTTTCCTTTCCATTTTTTCATTTTTTTCATCTTCCAGGTATTTCGCTTTTTTTTTTTCTATTATCTTTTGTTTATGTATTTTGGTCTTCGATGTTGTTTTGCTTTTTATTTTCTTTTTGTACTTTTTTTACTTTTTTTTTTTTTTTTTTCTTTTGGTGGATACCTTGTTTTCGTTTCTCTGGCGCCTCCTGCTACCTGCAGGTGTTGTTGGAGATTAACGTTGTTGAGAATTAAAAGGAAGTAATTATGAGTAATGCATTTCATGAAGCCACATCAGGTTAATAACCCAAAAAAAAAAAAAAAAAAAAAAAAAAAAGGTACAGCCATCTGATAAAGCCAACACAAAAAATAGAGGACGATTAACACGATCCAAGAGAAAGGCAATATAAAGCTCATAGGTTTATTTTTTCCTTTGAGAGGCTGAGACCATGCACAAGCAATATTAAGGTTTTGTTTTTTACATTTTTGCCTTGTGGCGCAAACACAACAATTGGACGTTTACATTTTTACAAACACAGCAATTGGACGTTTACATTTTTACAAACACAGCAATTGAGATTTATTTTTCAATGTACATGTACAAACAACATTAGGCTTTTTGTTTTTTTTTACCCTCCATCATTACGCAGGTTTAAATTTTTTCCTCATATCACAAACACAGCAATTGGAGGTTTAATTCTTTTCCTCACCTGCTTTTAACCCATCCACGATACACTTACCTTGCCTACATGCTTAACTATACTACTCCCGGCTTTTGTCTCCCCCGTGGGAGAGGATTATGCACCATGTAGACAGATATAGCATATATGATTTAGAATACTACCCACCGAGCAACCGCACCCCGGTTCTCAGTCTACCATACCCCACAGTTCCTTAAACACCTTTGTTGATATTTATTACTATAGGTTACTTCTATCTGGTTCTGCAAGAAGTGTCGCCTTGGCCCGCCCTTACTGAACTAATTTATAGCAGCACCCGAATCTGCATTGCATGTTAAAAAGAATAAAAAAAGAAAAAAAAAGAATAAAAAAAGGCGGGGGCGATAATTATGAGTGTTATGTGTAAGTTATCATCGGCTTGGCAAAGGAGATCAGATGTAGAAAACAATACTTGTCGCGTCAAAAAAACTCTCGACCCCTCCCTTATCCATGCAATCATTGAAAATTTGTCTTAGAGAGCATTGAAGCGACAGTCTAGGTATATAAACCATGTGGAGAGAGGAAAGACGATTGGACAAGGGACCAATTGGCATGGGAGTAAACATCTTTTGGAAGCACAAGAAGAGACTGGGGGAGGTAATGTCGCACAGCATACTTCTCAGCACATGCTTCTGTTGAATCGGACGACATATAAATTAGAGAGTATTGCAAACAGCTGTCGGATTGAACGACAAATAGACAAACCATGTTCTACACCTTTTTAGCCCCTTTGCCTTTACCTGACATTGTATAAATCTTAAGCCTTGTGACCATACCTCTGCCTTGACCTACTTGCCTCCGTTCGACTAGTATATATACGGCGTGTTTCCCCCCCTTCTTGGCTCTTTTCTTCATACTTCATCCCAAAATCTCTCATCTCTGCCTTATTCTGTTTGCCTTGTCGACTTTATTAACCTGTTACAACATATAAGGTAATTGTGCATCTTGAAAGACTTCATAGATGCGTTATCAAGTATGTCCAAATAACCTCTGAGTACGGAAGTTATGTTGATAGTTAGCAATTGTACTGAGAATTTATTATAAACTCGATAGAATACAACTGTCGTAAAGTCATCATGGACACGGACATTAGTATTGGAGTACTTGGTGATATCAGACCAATTTCTGTCGTCGATTGCGCCAAATGTTGCTATAATACATATCCCGGTGATCATCCGTACATCAACGGTACACACATGATAAACGGAACCGACGTTTTCCCAGCCAAGCTCATGGAAATCGGATATTTCTTCAACGATTCCTTAATTCTTCCTTGTGTACGAACCTATAACGTTCCCAAATTATACTATAGATCTGATGCTAAGAAGAATGTGCCTAAAATGGGCATTTTTTTATTGGCTATTGTTATTTCTAGTATGATATAATTTCCGGTTGTTGTTGTCAGGGACCGGAACTACCGGGAAGGAAGAAGAGTTGCTCTATATTTTTATAAAATACAGTGCTGAATATAAATCATTTTAATTTCCTATCCACATTGCTTCTGTTCATCATTTCCTTTTATAATTATTATCGCTATTTATTCTAGCTTCATTCATTCCATTTTATTTAATTCTGTATAATAAAGAAAATTTCAATGTTACCTCATCCACCCATCACTTAAGGCCAAAGGAAGAGGTTATACGCCACGCTAAATTTGTTGATTCCACGTGGCTACGCACGTACGGTAGCATTTACAAGACGATGTACGCTAAGGGTGAATCTATTTGATAAAAAAAAAACTAGGTTGTCGCGTGTAGTTCACGAGGTTATAATTGCATTGTGGCATTTTTATAGAGCATAGCTATCGTTTCTTACAAATTGATCCAGTGGTTGTACCTATCCGAGGCTGCGCGAGGCTATGTGGTGATTTATTCAGCAAAGCACTCATGTGCTTCTGGCCAAGAACCATCAGTTGGAGGAGGAGAAAAAGTAAGTGAGAATAAAAAAAAAGTGAGATTGTCGCAAGGTATGCGTGTAGCTCATGATACTATAATTGCATTACGGCATTTCATATAGCATAACTGTGGATTCTTATAAACAGAGGTACATTACCCATAGACCAACTCCTCACAATCTCCTTAATAATAACCTATTCAATATAGCCTTCCCAATATAATCTCTACAATGTCGGGCAAACAAAACACTTGACGCCACGCCGCCCATTCCGAAGACTGCCACGGCCACGAGCAGCGCTTACAGTAGTGGGATGGAAGCTTTATTGTAAGTCTTTTCTCCCCATGTTTTTATTTCTTCCGCTTCCTTTATGCTTGTCTTTATGCTTTTTTTTTTTTTTTTTTTTTTTTTTCGTTGCTATTTTGACTCTATACAAGGCTTAGTGCCTTTGCGTATACACACAATGCAGTACCTCACGATCAGCGATCTTAACCGGCGAATTTATCCAAATTATATCGTGCTGTTTCCTGATATAGCCCAATCACCGGATATGACTAACGAACCAGGTAGTGGGGAAAGTATTCAGGTTGTTGGGCGATGAATACTTTCCCAACCAACTGAATACTTTACTCTTTCCTTCCCCATCCAACTTAATACTCATACAAAGGGTGGTTGTCATGACCCACGCCGATGCATCTTTACAATCAGATCAAGGACCATAGCTTCATCCTCACGGACTTTCGCTTAATCGAAAGTAAGCATCCGTCGGACTTTTTAACGACTTTTCTTGGAATGCACCAACCTCTATCACTCGGAGGGTAACAATGATATCGATGTTGCGACCGACCTATTCCTTCAAGTCTGTAAAGAGCTTGGGTACTTGGAATTGGAGCATGCAACCATCCACCAGCTCCCTATCAACGTCCTAAGTAGTGAGAACAGCGAATATATCCTCCCTGCTAGTAAAGAATAGAAATAAAAATGACGGATGCGGATTTTCCCAACAAGATAGAGACTTACTGAATATGAAAAGCATGGTTTAATGATGTCAACCATGAGCTTACGTCTCTTTATCCATAATCTCTGTTCTATACATTTCTTTTGGGGAAGTATCGCCACCTCTAATCTTTGCTATGAGGGAGAGATGAGGGCTTGACACCCTACTCACCTTGCGTGTCGAACACAGGTTTGTCTGACTACATGTATTTTATTCAAACGTGCACATGTTCCTCTATAATTAGACACATTGATATGTTTGAACCATTTTATTCCCACTTTTACTCTTATGAAGGCCACAGAGGCCGTTACCCTGTATCCTCAATCCCTTGCAACAAGCAGAAGCAGTTAAATATGCAAAGGCGCGACGATTCTTGTATTTCAATAACACAAACGAATAGCACATCATTTCTTTAATGTTTTTTTTTTTTTTTTTTTTTTTTTTTTTTTGATTTTCTATTCGCTATTCTCTATCCTCTATCCATACCTCCTGTCCATACAACCCAACCATAAGCATCTTTCACATTCAATCATCGTTTTGCTGACGACGGGCCGCAAGCTATCATTTAATAAAAAAGATAAAAAAAGAGTAAGGATATATTTTGTGTTATATCAATGCAAATAATATGTTCAAGAACTTACAATTTCCTGTAACGATTTTCCTCCAGTGTTCGGTCTAGCAGGTAGAGTTGGCTTGGATCCTCCCACAGGCGCGCGTGGCGGAGCAACGGGCTTGGGTCCCACTGACGGCTTAGGTGCCACAGCAGGTGCGGGTCGTCGAGCTGCTGGTGTAGGGTTAGGGCTGGATGCCGGTGCCGGCGCTGGTGCTGGTGCAGTATGACCACCACCACCTGCAGCGGCTGCAGCTGCAGCTTTTTTGGCTTCTAGAGCTACCTTCCAGCCGGGGACACCGCCTACGTTACCAGGTCCACCAAAGCCTGAGTGCAGAGCATTCGTATTGCTTGTTGCTGCGACAGGAGTGCGGTCAGCAGTATGGCGACTAGCTGCGGACGGTTTATCACTAGAAGTAGGCTTGGAGGCCACTGCTGTCGCAGCCGCTGGTGGGGGTGGAGGAGGCTGGCGTTTAGCTGGAAGGCTTGGAGGAGCTGTAGCGGGTTTGGGTGCAGGGACTTCCACTAGATAGTTACTCGGCACCCAACCCTCCTTTCCATCCTTCTTTGCCAACCACCAACCATTTTCATCCTTTTCCAAAATTTCCATTACATCGTCCTTGACAAACGAAACTTCTCCTGCGTCTTGTGATTCAAAGTTATAGATAGCCTTGTACATAGGCTTTGTTGGGGGAGAAGGAGGTGTTTCAGCTGCTGGTGCTGGTGGCGGTGGAGGTACTTGACGCTTTGCGGGCGACGATGCAGGCGCGGATGTATGTGCAGGAGCCTGGGCAGAGCTACGTGTATTAGAAGTAGCAGAGGCATTGTTAGATGTTGGGGGGCGACGGCTACTTTGAGACTGGTTCATCCTTTGGGGGCCACCCTTCTTGATTAGCTTGCCCGAGGTGATGGGTCGAGCAGGTTTCGCCATACGCTCACATGGAGGCCACGAGGCGCTGTCGGCAGGCTCACCACTAGGAACTGTCACGACATGGCTCTTGTAAGTCTCTGTCTTGATGCGATCATCTTTCACAAACTTGATAGTTCCAGTTTTGTTCTTTTTCTTGACGTAGTCAAATCTAAATAATAATAAAAAAAAAAAAAAAAAAAAAAAGAAAGAGAGAGAAAAATAATATATGTATATAATGTTAGTAAGAAGCGGCAAACAATATATACTCGTGCTCTTTGCTGGGTAGAAATGGGGAGAAAGAGCTTACTGAGGCCCAATGTTGACGCCAATACGACTACCAGAGCGCTGTAGGAGATGAGCAATGAGTTCGGTTTTAAAGTCGCACTCGAGAACAATATCACCCTCTTCAGGATTCATGGTATCAATAGAAAAGATCATCCAATCATCCCTCAAATTAGAGATGGAAACTGCTTTAATGGTATTGAGCATGACAGCTCTCTCGCACTTCATGGACAGGACTTTGTTGACTAGCTGGGACACCACCAAGTACATGTTTGAGGCAGTCTAAGAACACATAAGTAGTTCAAGAGGTTAATCCATTTTTCATCCTTCTGAAAATGAGTAAAGTATGGAGTTGACATCAGCATACTTACAAGAACAAGTGTCCGAGGACTGGGTTTACTTGATCGCATTGGTCGAGCAACCAGCAGTTGTACTCTAGCAGAAAATACAACATAGTCATGATCTGCAAATAGTAATTACTAGTGAGTAATAAGAACAAATAGCCTTGCAATCCTTGAAGCTTTCGATCATAGCTGTAGACGTCAGGTTTTTTTTTTTTTTTTTTTTTTTTTTTTTTTTGATTGCGTACCAGAAATGCCAGTGGCTTCCTTAATAAGTTGGCCTTGGCCTCCTTTGTTATTGACACCAAGGTAATCTCCAATGTATCTACGCATGCTCACGAGAGAGAAGCGGCGGCGCTCTTTTCTTCCAGCAAGAACCTGGTGACCATAGTCACGAAGTTGGAGCCAGCCAATTTGGTCCTTGTTCCTTCTCCAGCACCGTTGAATGCGGGTAGCACATTCATTCTTATATTTCATGTAGTTTCTCCAAGCACGCTGGATGCGAATAGCCATATTGTGCCAGTAACGGTCGCGCAGATGCTCTAGCGAGAACAGGGTTTCTGGATGACGAATAAAGACCTTGGTCGTCCCCATCTGCCATTCTTCAGGTGCAACACTGGTATCTTTCAAAATACGCTCAACACCACTTCGTGCATCTCCTTGCCATATATACTCTCCAGCATAGGCGGTTTTTGGTGAAAGCAAGTAAAACCGCTCCAAAAACTTTTCGTATGTTTGGCGAGAAGCAAAACCTGCACGTCTGACACGAATGTTTTCACACAAACCCAAATATTTGACTTGATGGAGAACCATCTTTGAATCAAACTCAGTAGGCGACTTGTTACTATTGGGCTTGATTGTACGGATATACGATGGAGTACACTGCATCAGATTCTGGACGAGCAAACCTGCGGAGGCTTTGATTTTGTCACCTGCAGTAGGAGGTCGCTTCTTACTGTCAAGATCAACAGGTTCAGGGAAGAGTGCTGCAAGGAATTGATTGCTAGTGGAAGCAATCATCGTCAAGATATCCTTGGACAGTAGATCCTTATTCTTGTCCGTCATTCCAGAGATTTGATACATTACATCACCAGCATAATGCTTGACCAAGAAAGAAGCACCACGAGATTCGAAATGTGGATTGGATGAGAGACTGTTAAGACGTTGTACTAAAGAGTTGTCAGCAGCATTTGAATCAGCATGGGCTGTGGCACAAGCATCGTTCATAGCAGCGAAAATGCCGGGTGGACGTTTTTCCTCGATTAAGTCGCACACAATCTTGTTGTTGAAAAAGTCGATAGGAGTCCATTTGATTTTCTCTCTCACGTATTCTTCCTGCTCTGTTTTGAGGGTCAATTCAATAAAGATCTGCTGCAGCTTCTCGTTGACGTAATTAATGCAAAGCTGTTCAAACGAGTTTTCTTCGAAAATCTCAAATCCGTAAATGTCCAGGACTCCAATGGTGTACGCATGTGCTCCACGCTGGCGAAGCGAAACATTGACTCGGCTGACAATCCACTCGAAGAGATTATTGTAGATGGCCTTGCAAAGCGCATCCCTGACGGCACCAGCCTATAATGGTATCATTGAACAGCTTGAGTAAAAACAGATATCTCTTTGACAAAAATTATCAGTCCAGGTGGCTTTATCTATGCCTCATCTATATACCTGAACGTAATTGAGTGGTGACTCAAAAATGGACCCACGTCGTCCTCCACGCTGAGTCTCGACAACACGGATGGTCAAGGTTTTAATTAACAGCTCAGCGTCAACCTCCATAATATATGCGATAAAGGCAATAACTAGAGACGAGAGCAGCGACACAAAGAACTTTTCGAGTGAGATAAAGCCTCTAGCAATTAATGAAACCAATAAAAAAATAAAAAAATAAAAAAAAAAAATCATACATAAAACAAGGAACCATACCTTCATTGTCCGTAATTTCGGCATACCCGTTATCATTCTCTACAAACTGGACATTTCCAAGCCAGAGAATGATGGCAAGCATACGAAAAATCTCATCCTGTTCCTGCTGCGAAAGTCCAATGACCTGCATTGCTTGCTATAAAGAAAGATGACATCGCACCAGTCTATTAGTTCCGTGCCGGTTGCTATTCCTGCCAGTGCATCGAACTCTACAACTAACTCCATTTACCAAAGTTTCACTGAAATCATGAACATCGTCAATTCCATCTACGCTCAAACATCCACTTCTATTAGTGAGTAAAAAGCTCTCAGGCCCCGTCATGCCGAATTGTTCTACAAAAAAAAAAAAAAAAAAAAAAAAAAGATTAGCCAATGTTTAGATGTGCAATAAACAAAGGGGAAAAAAATACAAGCACTTTGCGCCAAAATACCTTGGTAATTTGAGGGCGCCGCCTTGCAATACTGATAGAAGATATGAAAGTTTCTTTCATTATCGATTTGGCCAACCACACGATTCTAGAGGAGGGAGGAAAAACCACAATAAGTCACAGCTTAATAGAATCTAAAGTACTACCGCATTGGTCATGATTGATACCTTTTCAAGCAGATAATTTGTAATGACAGCTCCGACAGGTTCACCTTGAGCATTAAACTGGATCTCCAAGTATTTTCCCTGTAGATTTCATATAAAGTATATGACTATTAGCGTCACTGCTGCCGCATAGATCAATATATATGAGAAGTTGACCAATCAAATACGACAAAGCCTACATGACGACTAGAATTATTGTTCCTGAGTGTCTTGGCGCATCCAAATGACTCTAGAAGTGGGTTGGTTGCAAGCACCATGTCCTTGATTTCCTTGATCTGTGATGATTCTCCTCCAGAGACTGTGGCAATATATTGCATAATCTACAAAAAGAAAAAAAAAAAATCGAAATTATGAGATCGAGGGGTTTTCAGCGCAATATAAACAATTGCTTGGCCTCGCATGTGTTTGGTAACTTACTCGCTTGGCAGCCTCTATCATGATTGAGAATTTCAGGGTATTTTTTTTAAAAAAAAGAAAAATTTAGTACCAACTCTTATGTAAGAGCGATTCTTCCCAGCTTACTGTAGACGATTTTTCTCACCAGTTTTTCCTGCGCCAGATTCACCACTGATAATAATACATTGGTTTTCCTTGTAGGCGTTCATTGTATAGTAAGCACTCTCTGCAATAGCATAAACGTGAGGAGGTACCTGAAAGCCCAGAATAAAAATAAAAAAATGCGTCAGATTTCAATATCTCTTGTTCCACAAGAATCCAATGTCACGCGCAGCTCAGTTTCGATTGCGTGTTTTTGTTTTTTTTTGCTTTGAGTCGACATCATTGCTGTACCTCGAGTCGATTCTTGCCTTGATAGCTTTTTAAGACCTCATCAGTATAGATCCCAAGATCGCGAAAGGGGTTGACACTAATCAACACATGTCCAATGTAGGTCTAAAAAAAATAAAAAAAAAGAAAGACATTAAGGAACAGAACGATAAATTATATATTTTTAAATATGCAGCACATATTATTATTATATTGCTCTTCTTTTTTATTAATATTATTTCACAAGTCTTTGTCGTCCCATTGAACCAGTTTCTTACATAGATCTCTTGGTTTTCAAAACGTTTTTTCAGATTCTCATTGATGGTCTCGTTCTGAACCTTTGTCAAAAGAGTCATGTCGCTCACTCCAGCCGACTTTTTCTTGACACTCTCCTGAAAAAAATTAGCCTTTTGTGGGGCATTTGTGGCATTGCCCTTCTTTGACTTTGGTGCCTATGATATGAAATAGCAATAAGAAAGAAAAAAGATGGGATAGGTCAAAACTCTAGGCTCAACGATGTCCTTATACTCAAACACAGTTGAGATGCTCAAGAATTTGACCATGTGCATGTGATTCCTTTTTGAAGAATGATGTAAAATTGCATCTTTTTTTTTTATTACCATGACTGTCTACAAAAATAAATAGAAATAAAAATAAGTAAAAGAAGAGAAGGAAGAGAAGGAGAAGGAGAAGAAGAAGAAGAAGAGGATGAAGGGAGAAAGGGAAATGAAAGGGAGAGCGAAGAAAAGAATAAAGAGATGAAGAAACGAGATGAAATGAAAGATTATGATGAGGAAACGAAGAAGAAAGAGAAAGAGCATGAATTACTGGGATATTAATGACGTTTTTAGTGCAACCGTGCCTGTTTGTTTAATTTATCGTGCTCATATCTCTGTAGGCTGTGGTGCATTGTTGCAGACAAATCAGGTTTTTTAAGGGCCCATGTAACCATAGTGTAAAGACCTACTTCAGTAAAGTGGACTCATATGCAATGTTGGATTATATATCACGGAAAGCATTAGCGTCTTGGGACTTAAAAAAGGTGTATACGCGTGGTATCCGACCATGGTGGAGATGTGGAGATGTGGAGACAAAAATGTAAAAAAGAATCAATGCACCATGGACTTAATATTCACTCATCTGGACCCTGGAAGGTCCAACACTCTATAACATCAGCACGGTGTTAGGGGACAATGCTTATTATGCATTGCATCGTTGTTTTATGTTTTTTGGCAAAGGTGTGGATAATGTTTGATTGCATGCACTTATTGTACTGTACGCGATATGCTTTGCCTGTGCATCCCAAAAGACTTTCCATCTTTGGCCTCTCTTTGCCACTTTCTTGCAGCCCGCCTTTTCTTAAAAAATTATTATTTAATTTTATTTTTACAAAAAGTGTCAAAGAAGACGTTCATTGTCATCAATTTAACATCAATAATCCAAACAGATGACTCTAACAATGCATATCCAACAATACTTAACCAACACCCATGTCTCTTCTTGTGTCAAATGTGGCATAAAGATCTTTTCTTTTTTTTCTTTTTTTTTTTGCCTTCTCTTCTTTTTCTCCCTTCGTCCAACGACCCACTTTATGACCCAAAGCTTCCGTTGTTTCGTCTCCTCCTCCCTTGGCGATTTGTCTTCTATATACCATAGTAAAACACTGCAAACACACAGCAACGATAGAAACGATAGCAACGATAGCAATCACAGCTAAAAAAAAAAAAAAAAAAAAAAAAAAAAAGGAAAAACCTCCGCTCCTCTTCTTAATCATCTTTTTTTTTTTTTTTTTTTTTTTTTTTTTACAAATGCCTCCCAAGCTCACTGTTACGATTGCTGGTGGCGGCATAGGTGGTCTCACCCTAGCCATCATGCTTTCAGCCGCTAATATCGACTACGTCGTCTTAGAGCGCTCCTCAGGCCTCCGGACCATGGGCAGTACCATCGCACTCAATGCTTGCTCACTTCGGCTCATGGAACAACTCGGTCTCTGGCCTGAGATCCAAAAGATTGCTAAACCTATCGGTGCCTTTCACCTTCAAAATGATGATCTCTCCCCTATTGGCACAATTGATTTTACATTTGGCGAAAAACACTATGGCTATCACGGCTATGTGATGTCTCGACCTGAACTCTTCAAATTACTCATGTCGTACGTCCCAAAAAGTAAAATCCTTCTCCAAAAGGCTGTGGTGGATGTGGCCGAGACTGACTTTGGGGTACTATGTCGATGTTCTGATGGTTCCGAATACTGGAGTGATATGGTTGTCGGTGCAGATGGAGCGTATAGCAAAGTTCGCGAAAGGATGTATCATGGTCTGCAAATGGAGGGCCGCTTACCACTTGAGGATGCTGAACCCCTGAAGCTCACGCATCTGTGTGTCCTCGGAGTTTCCACACCTCTTGACCCCAAGGTTTTCTCTACAGTGGAACAAAGGTTTTCGGAATTTGAGCTCGTCCTGATGAGAAAACGCAGTCTTTCGGTAAGCCGCGCCCTTTGATACCTATGCAGGCACGTCTGTATGCATGAGAAAATGTACGTACATGTCCGTGATCAATAAGCTGACTTTTGCCACTCTTTCTGTTTCTGACGATCATTTTTTGCTGTTCACGATATCAAGATTTGGTTGAGTCCTATCGGTGGCAATAAAATCTCTTGGTGCTATGGTGGCGAGATCGAACCTGGATCACATAACCTGATGGAGGGTCTGGATGGATACTGGGGCAAAGGATCAACGAACACTCTGCAAATACTCGAGGAGATCAATGATGTTCCTACCGTCTATGGCTGTAAGGTTGGGGACATTATCAAAACAACACCCAAGGACTTGGTCTCATCCGTTCTACTTGAAGAAAAGTTTTTTGAGACTTGGCATAGTAAACGCATTGTCTTGTTAGGAGATGGTAAGTAACACAGCCAAAAAAAGAAAAAAAAAAAAAAAAAAAAAAAAAAAAACATTTCTTATTCCTTTTTTCTCTAATGCTAATTGTAAGAAGCTTTTTTTTTTTTTTTTTTTTTTTTTTTTTTTTTTTCAAAGCATGCCACAAGGTAAATTTTTTGATGGACGTAAAAACCTCTTTTCCCAGTTTAAGTTCCCTCACCTAACTTTTTAGTTTTTCTTTTTAACGAACCCAATTGATTTTTCCAAAAAAAAAAAAAAAAAAAAAAAAAAAAAGGTGCTCCCATTTGCAGGCCAGGGAGCTGTGCATGCAATGTTGGATGGTCTCTGTCTTGTCAACCTCCTTCATGAGATGAAAGGCACAACCACTACTGATTTCGAACGTGTCTTCCAGACCTACTATCAGCAACGATCTGGTGCAGCACGAAAAGCTGTGATCGGCTCTAGGATATTTGGTCGCTTTGTGGCTTCCAGAGGCACCTTCGCTCACTGGGTGCGTGAGATTGTCCTAAAGTTTTTCCCAAAGTGGTTCACAAGGATGTTGGCTGATCTAGTCATGCGTGACCGGCCACAGCTTTCATTCCTTCCTCGGATCGAAGATCGGGGCATGGTCAAAGCCTTGTATTGAAGTACATCCCCCCTCCCCCCCCAAAAAAAAAAGAAAAGAAAAGAAAGAACATTGTATCGTTAAATAGTGTTAATATAATTTATTTCTCCCACCACTCCCATCTCTCCTGCAAGAAGGCAGTGTTGATTATTATTGTTATTATTGGTATATATTTGGCTATGATTATAACAATGTTGATGTTGATAATGTTGATGATGATATTGATGACGAACATGGATGGATAGGATAATATATAAATATGTCTATATATTTCAGCCTTTTCAGGAAGGAAAACCCTGGCTGACCTGGGGGCGTTCCGCAGAATGAGGCTCTCCCTTTCGAGGAGTTTTGCTTGCTATAAAAGAGGGGAACGGACGCAAGGCCACAGAAAGACCAAGCGACAACTTTAATCTCCCTAGGTCTCCCGTGTGTTTACGGGAGAGAATTGTTCAAGGAAAAAAATTTAAAAAGTTTGCCGTGTCGATCCAATATTTATACTCTTCTCATCCCTCGTCCAATCCTCTACTCCCCATTAAAACCAGTCCCACTTTTCTGTCACACACACACAACAATTTAGAAAAACTTTTTGCCCTTCAAAGACTGCTTTTAACCATACACCACTTCTTGTCAAAAAATAAAAAAAAAGTTTGTTGATAAAAAAGATCTTCACAAATGGAGTTAGAATTAGATAAATCCAAACGGGTTTGTTGCCAAAGTCTCTCATCCATTATAGATTAGCTTCAATATACACTTCAATCAGGTAGATTTATTTTAAAAATAAATAATAATAACAATGATGATAATGATAATGATAATGATAATGATAACAGTGATAACAATGATAATGATGATCACAATAATAATGATAACGATAATAGTGGTAAATATATACAATATGAATGGTTACTGATAACTGCAATGACTATATATCTAATAGCTGACGAATAGCGAAATGAATGGTATTGAAACTATTAAAGGCTTCGTTTCGTATGTCTTCCCCACATTCCGTTATCTGATGGAATATTAGGGTAATAAATAAAAATATGTATATACTATTTAGTGATCTAATTCACCCCGATATGCCTTTGCGAGTTCCTTGACAGCATCCACCGTTCCAATGGCAGATCCAGCTGTGCCCACAATAATGATGAATACCATCACAGCCAACTCGAGCTTGCCAACCCTCTTAAAGCCATAGAGTTTGAGATAAAATAGCACGGGGAAGACAAACGTCAACATGCCATCACTCAAGGCCCCAAGCAATGCCATCATCTGACCAAAGTACGGGAAGAACAACGCAACAGTGGCAACAAGGACCATGGACAGAGTACGGATGATGGCACGGTAAATGAATTCAGTCTTGGTCGACAGTCCACGGGAATCAAGCTTCAGTGCGGTTTCCACCTGGAGATTAAAGGTGGTCATGAAAAGAGGGATCGCCAACAAGACATGGAGTGTGATAGTAATCGTGGAGATGGTACGGGTGGCTCCACCAGGGAGATTCAAATAGATGGGTGATTTGACAATATCGCCATAAACTGCGTATCCAGAGATTGAACAGAGAAAGTAGAGAAGAGTGACAGTCAATGTCCCCCAGAGGACCATCTTGTTCCAAGCACGCTTGTGCTTCATACTCTCCTCTACGTGAGGAAAGACAACGTTGCCACCATAAGAGAAAGCGAACGTAGCGAGGGCGAGAGGCAGGTTACGGGGAATGACTGCAACATGGCTTACAGGCTCGATCACCCCATTGGGCTTAAGAACTTCATCAAATTCTTTAGAGTGAACAATGGCTGCGACCATGACAATGAAGACGACAATGGCCGTAGAGAGAGCACCAAAGATACTAAGGAAAGCGACCTCACGCATGGTCTTGGTAAGAATAATAGGTACTACCATGATGCCTGCAGCGATCATGATCCATTGCTTCAAAGTAATGGTACTGCCGACGGAGGAAGCAAGATCGTGGATATTGGTTCCGGTCAAAATGAGGTATAGGATAGGTCCACCCAAAGCAATGGAGTTGTAGAAGAATGTGACAATGATTCGCCCTGGCAGCCCAAAAGCCGCATGGGCAACATCGGGGTATTCTCTCAACCGAGTCTGACTACATCAAAGCCAATCCAATTTTTTTTTAACACAAATGATAAAATTAGTATAGAATTTTTTTTTTTTTTTTTTTTTTTTTTTCTTTTAAAAGATAAACAAAAAAAAAAAAAAAAAAAAAAGTCCGAATTAGATAATGCAGTATGATTTACCCGTTATAATATAGACACTTGATTAGTTTTTGATATGAGTAAATCGCCATGGCACATGCAAGAGCAAGGACAATAAGACCGACCCAACCTGCATCACGAAGAGCAGCTGGAAGTCCAAGAGTGCCTGCGCCAGCAAGTACACTGACAATGTTGACGTAGGCTTGAAAGTTCGTGGCTTTGCCCGCTGGTGCATTAGCATAGATGTCTCCATCAAGAGATCCACTAGAGGCATCACTCTCTATTTCGCTCTCGTTGAATTTCTCTGTATTCTTTGACATTCCTTTTTTTATGTCTGCTGTTTGAGATTGTTAGATAACGACGAGAAGAGGATTCAATGTAATGATTGTAGTGATGATATGGTACTAAGTGCTAGTAATAGTAGTTGTAGTATATAATAGTATTAGTGGTAGTGGGTATTGGTAACGGTATATATTTATGGTGGGTGGCGGTGCTAGTGGAAGTAGTGACAGACGTAGTGGTAGTTATCGTAAGGGATGTGGAGAACGGAAGAGAGTGATAGGAGTCTGAAAGCGTAAATAGATGAGAGTGAACAGAAAGAAGGATTATGGGGTTATGTGTGTTGTAAAAAAAAAAGGATTTGGGATCGATCGATGTCCTTTTTAAATGCCTTGTTATTAGACGACAATCAAGGGGTTGTTCAAGAATAATTGCAGCGCTATGTGGCCGTTTTTTTGTCGAAGCACGCCATCGAGCGCTATATTCCACAGGAGTGGTTCTCCCTGAAGGTACCGGAGTTTGATTGTTTTGAAACGGGTTTAGGGCAGAAAATCCACTTGTAGGATAAATATTTATACTTATAAATATTTCTATATTCTGTACATCCCAAGACCCTGCTTTCGTCCTACATGTACACAGATATAATTATTGTAATTTGTCGTCATATCATTACATTTTGTCCTCATTAGGACAACCTCCAGGGCATTGCATTAAAACCGAAGTAAGCTCGCCATTATTTAAACCAAAAGCTATTGGGTATTTCCTGAGAATCAATGCCGAGAATAGCCCGTACTTCTGATTGGGCTGAGTACCATCAAATGCTTATCCTCAACCCCACTTTCGTCATTGATCATATTCTGTATTTTATTCCTTTCTGCTGTGCTTCCTACATAAGTCCATATGCGCTTTCATACCCTTGAGTACTCTCCTATTATACCCTTACAAACTCTATACACATGCTCGCAGCCCCTTCCTCTGTGTCGTCGATAATGGTTACTGATATTGATATTATCCAGAACCCTGGATGTGTCCTGTGGCCCAGACAAAGGATACGAGGTGTATAAGGAAAGTTAATTTCACAATGATCTTTCAACCTATCAAGTCTCGACCAGTACACAAGACAAGGATATGAAGTGCATGTGATCAATTGAGGATGAAGACGAGTAGACATCGCGCCATATCGGAGCAGTCTAATTCAAAAAAAAAAAAAAAAAAAAAAAAAAAAAGCCACCATGGAAGAGATGGAACCTAGAACATTAGAGTCATTGGTAATAGAGGGCTTTGGAGGACAACTGGCGGAGATTACTATCCCCACAAGGCTCATTCACACTTTTTCGAATCGGAAAAAATAAAGCCCTAGTAGTTGTACAAGATAGACTATAAATTCTTGATCGCAGGGAATTCTCACCATCTATTTAGAAACGTGTGCTGTTGTGTTGTAAACAATTGTGATGAGGATTGTAAAGTCTAGGGATAGGTTGGGGGATTTGAGATTGTGGAAACTTGTCTATCCTTATTATCCTTATTCCCACGATGTAGCGACTATATTAATTATATACAAACACGGTGGCCTTTGCTTCTGTTTGTCACACAGATCGTATTCACGTGAGAGTACAAGTGTGGCTCGGCCAGTTTTTATTTTTTTTTTGGACAAGCAAATCATTTTGAGTAAAAAAGTAAAGAAACACTGGAGAATGTCTGGTCCATTAAACTCCGTGTGGAAATACCTATACTCGGTCTATGAAACCAATCATTCATTCGGGCCACCAACAAGTTGCGTGCGGAAGAAGTCGTGTAGTCTCCTCTCGTTCGATCAAGAGTCAAGAGTTGTAAAACTTACATGTGAACTTAATTCAGATTCCGACTTATCTATGGTTTTTTAAGAGAGCCAAAAAAAAAAAAAAAAAAAAAAAAAAAAGAAAGAACAGCTTGGTCGTACCTGCAGATGGTTTCCTAGTATGGTATTCTACGTTAATAGGGAACCCTACATAGCCTACATGTTGTAGAATAGAACTATATTAGCAATCCACATGGACAATCGGAACCTTGAAATAGACATCCTTTACATCATAGACAGCAATAGTATTAAACTAGGGCCTTCTCTCCAATACCATTAATTGACAGGAATTGTTTCGAGAAGGCCACTGTTTTTTCATTTCTTTTTTTTTTTTTTTTTTTTTCGTCGAACATTGCATTCAGTCTGATCTACTTGCTGAGATATTGTATAGTGCATAGGTTAGTTGAAGAAAAGATTCTTTTTTTTTTTATCTCTTTGATGTGCAATGATTTTTGCGAATGAGCCCTGATAAACAGGTAATGTTTGCTATGCTGGTCTTCACGATTTTTCTTGCGAAACCAAAGGATCTAAAGGGGCTATAATGGATAACAAGGGTACAGAAGATGAGTGCGAGGTATAAATGAAAATATAGAGTATGTGACATGGATTCATAACTCATGGATGGCCATTGTGTCATTGTTGAAAGGTGGGTTGGGAGAGCGAGTTGCTTTTTATTTGAATTGGTACTAAGAGATAGCGTGTAAAGTTAAATTAAAGCGTTACCCATTTCCATGACACGTTATCACAGGACTTTGAGTCAAACATTCGTGAGAGCCAAGAGATCCAAGACATTTTTCTGGACTAAACAACCCTCGATGACAGCCACTCACATAGATAGCCCTTTTTCAATTCTTTTATTTTTTTTATCTGTCTCTTTGTCTACTGACCGATCTTGATACCAAAATCCTTTTGTTTTCTACTCCACTTTGATCTCTTTTTCTTTATCAATCTTGTTCCTTCTCGCTCTTTCCTTTTCCCTTTTCCTTTTCCTTTTCCTTTTCCTTTTCCTTTTCCTTTCCTTCTCTCTTCTTGTTACCTCTTTCTGATCTTTCTCTTCGCTTCAGCCTCTGCATTGTCATTATTTATTAATCCACATGGCCGAAACGACCGTGACGGGAGAGAAGCTCCCCAACAATCAATCAGAGATCCCTCCAATGAAGGAGATCGCTGAGGATACTCCTGTTGATAATAATATACAGGCCCCTGGTCCTATTCCTATACCTGCCTGGCTCATCATCGTCAGTAAGTGTTGACGCCTCTGGTTTCATTCTTGACTCTCTGATCTCTATTCTTTGTCAAATCCAAAAAAAAAAAAAAAAAAAAAAGTACAATCAACTTTTTTTTCTAAAAACAGGCTGTTGAACCCTTCTTTTCTTTCTTTCTTTTTTTTTTTTTTTTTTTTTTTTTTTTATTACTCCTTAGCTGAGCTATGTGAGCGTTTCTCGTTTTATGGCGCTTCCATGTTGTTTCAGCGTTATATGCTTTTCCACCTTGAACTGTCCAAGGGCAGTGCCACTGCGATTTCTCGTGGCTTCGCATTCTTTTCTTATATCACCACTATTTTCGGTGCCATCGTTGCCGATAAATGGCTCGGAAAGTTCAAGACGATTTTGATCTTCTCGATTCTTTACACTGCTGGTCTTGTTCTGTTGACGATTTCTTCAATTGATTCTCTTAAAGACAATGTGGGCTTGCCTGGGTTCATTGTTGCGCTGTACTGTATGATTTCCTGGGGAACCGGGGGTATTAAATCCAACGTTTCCACGTTCGCTGCCGAGCAAATCCCTGCTGAGAATTATCCTCATCCAACCAAGAGTGGAGTGACAATCAACCATGCCATCACTGTGGAACGTGTTTTCAGGTATTTTTACATGTCCATTAACGTTGGTGGAATGTTGGGACAGGCAATCACGCCAGCTGTCTCTGGGAAGGCTTGGGATTTGGCATTCATGATTCCAGCCATCGTCTTTGTTGTTGGGATCATCATCTTTGCTCTCGGCCGTCCCAAGTACTATGATCGTCCGCCTCAAGGGAACATCCTCGGACAGACTTTCCGTTGTATCGTCTTTGCTTTCAAGAACCGTCGTAGCCATCCCCCGGGTACTCACTGGATCCAAAGTGCAGCTGCTGCCAATGACGGTACACACGAGTGGAGCAACAAATTTGTGAATGACCTTGAACGTACCTATCATGCATGCAAAGTCTTTATGGTGTACCCCGTTTATTGGGCACTTTACAACAATATGAACGACAACTTTATCAACATGGCTGTGAACATGACTCGTCCGAGCTGGCTCAAGCCCGAGCAACTGTCGTTTGTCAACTCTGCGGTCATTGTCATCTTTATCCCTATTCTCGATCTCATTATCTTTCCTCTTCTCCGTAAAGCTGGTTTTAAACTGGGACCGATCAACCGTATCATCATTGGTTTCACCATTGTCACGTTCTGCTTTGTCTACGTCACGGTACTCCAGCATTTCTTGTACAAGAGCCCTCCATATTATGATTTTACAGGCAAGGATCCCAAGGACCCTAACCGGATTATCCAGATCCCGACCAACAAGGAGGATGTGATTAATGAGATCACGATCTGGACTCAATTGCCTGCGTATATTTTGATTGGAATTTCAGAGATTTTTGCATCGGCTACGGGTCTTGAGTTTGCGTTCCGTTCAGCGGCGCCGGAGCTCAAGTCGGTTGTGATGGCGCTGTTCTTGGCGACGAACGCATTTGGATCGTTGATTGGAATGATTCTTGCCATCTGGAGTAATGATCCCAATTTTGTGTATGTGTATGCTGCACAGGCTGTGGCCATGTTTATCATGACTATACTCTTTGCATGGAAGTTTTCATATCTTGACAGGACGATTTAAAAAGAAAGAAAGAAGGAAAAGAAAGCAAAAAAAAAAAAAAAAAAAAGAAAAAGAAACAATGTTGTTTTTTCGATCAAGATTGAAAAGACTTTTTTTTTTTTTTTTTTTTTTTGTTTAGTTTGCTTTGCTTTGTTTTTTTCTTTTCTTTTTTCTTTTTTATAGTTGTGTATATAACGTAGAAATATGTGGTTTACCTTTTTGTTTTATTGTCATTGTAATTGTACTGAAGAAATAAACTTTCAGAATTTGGATATATATTTAACCATATTACATTTTTATTCATTAAACTCAATGAAAAAAGGCAGTCGTCGTAGCACATTCATTCTACAAACATGTCAAAAAAAAAAAAAAAAAAAAAAAAATCGCTATGCTTCCCATTCCATGCTTTCTGGAAGAAAGAATGTCCAATGCCTTACCGAAAAAAAAAAAAAAAAACTTTCGCCGAGGAGAAAAAAAAAAAAGAGCGGTGTTGATGTTGATGGTGACACGAAAAGAAAAAAAAAGTAAACAGTTCCAGTTTCGTTTATTTATACTCTTCTTCTCTGTCTCCTTTTTTTTTTTTTTTTTTTTTTTTTTTTTTTTCATTTCAACAAAAGATGGTGTAGGGCAAATGGGATCGATCACATCTTCATATCATAGCGATCAAGTTCCGGATAATGCAAGCTGTGTCAGATTCTGTTTGAGGACAAGGGGGAGAAGGATGCCAGATACCAAAAATGTGTTTTACGTGCATGATAATGTATATACATATTCATGTATATCACATGCAGATATAGTATCATATATATTTATACTTTTAAATACAAATAAGATATATATAATATATACATGGTATATATATATATATTTATATACTTTATTTAATTATATGAAAGAGTTAATTAATTCTAGTATCTCTACGTTTTAATTGGGTCCTTAAACTGGATGAATATAGAAAGAAGATTTTTATTTTTTATTTTGTTTCATTTTGTTGTGCTCACTTTTTTATTTTGTTCATGGGATTGGCCGATCAGGTTCCTAATTGCCTGCAGACATAGACTTTTTCAGTCCAAAGCTCCATATTCGTACTTTTATCGTGTCCGGTTTTTTGGGTGTGGTAAGCAAATTCAAGATCTAACGATGAGTTTAAAAAAGGAGGTGAGAGCGCAGTTGTACACCAAGAAAGAAAGAAAAAAAGAAAGAAAGAAAGAAAGAAAGAAAAAAAAAAAGATAAAAAAGACGCAAAGAAAAAGAAGAGCATGAATAAACCAGTGGAAAGAAAGAACGCTCCTATCTCCTCTCTCCTTCCTTTCCGTTCCTTAGTCCATCATTCGGTTGAAATGTCCGCATTTGTCAATGAACGAACAATGAGACGAGGAGAAGGGGGAGAGAGATGTAAAAAGCACATGTGGTTTGTACTAAGATAGCAAAAACATTATGGAGTAATCCTTTTTTTTATTTTGTTTTTATATATATTATTATTATTATTATTATTATTATTATTATTATTATTATTATTATTATTATTATTATTATTATTATTATTATTATTATTATTATTATTATTATTATTATTATTATTATTATTATTATTATTATTATTATTATTATTATTATTATTATTATTATTATTATTATTATTATTATTTCTTCCTATCAAGCTCCATTCCATGTAAAAAAGAAAAGAAAGAAAAAGAAATGTATTGAGATATGATAGAGTCATGACATCGTTGTTATTTTAGTGTATTTAGACGTTAGAGTAACCAGCAGGGTCCTATCACTAAATGCTTTGTGACGATAGCAATTGCGTTTTTTTTTTATTTTTCTTTTTGTTTCTGTGAGATCGAGCAATGGTTGGATCTGGAATCTGTTTAGTAAGATTGACCTTTTTCTTTTATTTTTATTTTTTATTTTTTTTGGTAAGAGGATCTGGTTCAGCTGGATGGACGGCAAAGAATAAAACCCTTTGACAACATATTTATATATTCACAAAAGGGAGAAGGAGGGGGGATATCGTGTGCATGCAAGTGGGGATGCATTTTTAATGCAAAGGCTTAAACACTAAAAAAATAGTTGATGTTTGTCTAATGGGGTCTAATGGTGTCTAATGGGGTCTAATGGTGTCTAATGGGGTCTAATAGACTATTGGAATATAAAATATAATACATATTACATCTAACAGAAGATAGGCATTTGGGTTTGTTGCTCATCATTGTTTGATGTCTTCATAAAAAAAAAAATTGCTCAAGCACAATGTTGCGATTCAAGGCCAGAAAAGACTCACTTGACTCTTTTTTTTTTCATTCTAATATGAAAATATGAATGAATGTTGTGTGAATGATGAATGATGAATGATTACAACTACAGCCAAGCCAAAGACAGTATAAACACATAAACAACATCGATAGGACACATAGGACATTTAACCCATATAGCCCATGAACATGTAAACATATAAACATATAAGCATATGTATATATATATATAATAACAACATAACCAGTTTTACTTTTTTATACTTTTTGCTTTTTATTTATTCTCAGTGAGAATGCTTTTGGCTTTGTGTCCTTATCTCATTCTCTCTTTTCCTCTTCTCTTTTCTTTTTCCGCATTGGGGCTCTTTCTTCCCTTCTCTCTTTCTTTCTTGCCTCTTTCCCACTACATTCCTGCTTCTCATTCGCACCACCCACTCACGCTTTGCATCCATCCCTTTCATTCTACGCTCTGAAAAACAACACTCTCATTCACTCTTCCCCTCCAACGATCCTTTTCTACTCACCCTTTGACCCTTTTCTCTATCCAACGTAAATCCTGAACATTCACTCTTTATTTTTCCACAACAGCCAGCCTAGCGCGAATCTGTCCTTGAACTATTACACACGCAACACATACACTTACACTATTTACACACATATACATACATATACAGCATATACAGCACAGCTCTTCAGTAGTTGATCTTTCATTGACCCAACAAGAGAAACACCAAAATATCCCTCCATTACTACTTTTCCTTCATCCACATCTACATCTATCTACATCCACATCCATCAAAGCCATTTCCTCCTCCCACCCCAACTACCAGTTTTGAGGTGGTAAGTAAAAAAAAAATAAAAATCAAAAAAAAAAAAAAAAAATCATTCAAAACATAAGCACAGACAACAGACATAGACACAGGCGCCCATTTACACTCCCCCTGTACACACACGCCCTTTCTATTCTTGTCTCCCGTCTTGATCCTCAGGATTTTGCACTACTTTTCCTTTGTCGGTCCTTTGTCGGTCTGTGTCTTCCCGGAGGATAAGAATAAAAAAAATGTATATTTGTGTGTATATAAAAAGAAAAGAAAAATAAAAAAGAAAAGAGAAAAGGCCTACAAGGCACCCCTTTGCCACACATACAAAATACAAAAAAGCACAAGCATTTGATGACCAATTGCATCGTCAATGGTCTGTGGTCAAAGATTTTTCCGCGTCCCTGTGCAATTATTCTTGGTCCCTGATAATCCCTTTTGCTTTTTTACTTTATTTTATTTTTTATTTTTTTTTTTTTTTAATTGCACCTTTCCCTTCTTCACATTTCTCTCTTTTCTTTTCTTTTTCTTTTCTTTTCTTTTCTTTCCTTTCCTTTTCTCTTCTCTTCTTTTTCTTTTTCATCTCAATTTTCGACCCAACTGACATCTAACCGCGCGTTTGCCCTTTTGACTTTTTGGTAGAATTAAAGTCAAACATTCCCACTGTGGTCACACCCTCGTTCGACTCCAGACCAGATGAGTTCATCGTCTGTCATCAACACCTATACTCCTCCTCCTCCCGATAAACCATCCGAAGGATCCTTCTCTGTATTTAAGGAGATTCGCTATCCTATCGCGGCAACCCCCTTACCACCCTCTTTATCAAAAACAACAACATCAACGGCTGCAGTAAAAGAATCATCTAATAATCAATCCCCCCAAATCCGTTATTGCTACTTCATCTCTGCTGCATCCGTTGCCACAACAAATCCTTCCCACAGCTCAAAGCCCATCCTCGCATCACATGTTCAGGAACCAATGGACAACTCCCCCAACTGTACTCAACCTCGCCCTCGCACCAGCAAGGATACATCCAGTGTCTTTGTCCTGGGCTCCAATCCCCCACAGATCCAACTACAGTTTCTAGAGGACCAACCGCTCCCCCCACTCACTTCCTCCGAACACGCCACGGCTGAGACAACAGCCCTCAATGGCTCTACGACCCAAAAGATCGGCTCAGACGTTGTCCTCGTAGAACGCAAGGACAGCGGCTATGGTGGCTCCGTCTCTAGAAGCTCTTCTTTGGCAGCCTTCAGTCGGGGGATCCGTAAAGTGTTTTGGCGCCATTCACAAAAGGACATGGTTGCGCCAGTCATTGCAGCGGACCCACCTGTCCTGGATTGCGATATTCCACAGGATGTTCTTGACCATGAGGAATGGGCACAGGACCTTGCAGAGAAACTTTGTCTTGCCTCCACTCCTGATGCAATCACCGCTTGGCTTGGACAGCTGCCCTCGGAGCCCTCCATGGAAGAATCATTGCAGTCCCAGGATGACTCGAGTGAAATAGATGTCAGTTCAGTCCATCCAGACGATATGGATTCGCACGACTCGGGATTGGACGTGGAGGAGATGGTGTTTGTCGTTCCTCAGTCGTTCGCGTCCGAGACATCGGCCCTCCCCTTGTCTAAATCAGAATCAACTCTGAATCTGAACCAAGAGTCCTCTGCCACCCAAAGTGCCAATCATCCAACCCTTCGGAAAGTCTTCTCAAACGAGCAGCTCAATAAGCCTCAGCCCCCTCTTCCATTGGAGGCGTTAAAACACAAGCGCACACCAGTACCACCATCGCGCTCAAAGCGAGCATCCAATAACCTGTCCCCTCTCCAGAGCATCGCACGAAAGTTGACTTTTGTGGCCGAGATTGGTTTCAGCAGAGGTCCTACCCGTCGTCGAGCGCATGTCCAGGACCTGTTTTCAGAGCCAACAGACACTGCCCAGGCCTCTTCTTCCCAAAGGACTGAGGAAGGTCAGTTGTCAAACGCCGGTAGCACAGAACCTTCTGAAGAAGTATCTCCAAGGCTATCATCTGATCAAGTGACATCGACTGTGGAACTGGAGGGATCATACTCAAACTCAAACCATCTCCGATCCAACCGACTCTTCAGGTCCTTGTCCCCTAGCTCTGCAAAGAGAAGCCTCCAATATGAGTCGCGCCCCCTTTCGGAGGTTCTTCTTTCAAAGTCCAACTTGAGTCCGGAGGAGATTTCGGCAGAGGTAGTAGAGGCATCTCGAAGTGCTTCCCTGCGCCTACCTCATTCATATCGGGCTGGGATTCCACAATGGGAAGGAAGTGAGGGTTCGTTTGTGGCGGCTGTGCGTCAGGGCAAGGAACGATCAAGCTCTTACCCTCTTGTGCCGCCCAAGCCTTTGTTTTATAACAAGGGTACAGCTGCTAGTGTTTCATCTTTGGGTGGCGTATCCTCCTGTGGCTCCGTTGACTCGTCCGTGGTCGATAGCAGCGCTGATGAGTGGGAGGGCATGTCCCGGATGGCACAGCATGCTAAAGAACAAAATGCTCGGTACTTAGCCAACCTGAAGGATTTGCAGGCACTGTTGTCTCTATCCGATCCCAGTCGTCGCCACTACACCCCTTCACATTCGACCAACACCTCCACAGGGTCACTCTCACTTTATTCGATGCCACCTTCGCCCAGCAGGAAAGAGAGCAAAGGTAGCAAAGGAATATCAAAGAAGGATGACTATATGAGCCATCGCATGAGCGGATGCTCCCCAAGGACAAAGCCTAGAAGTAAAAGTCGATTGAGTATGACGTATGGTGGAGGAGAATTGGAGGTTGTAAAACATGCAAAGGTAAACAGCAGTTATAACAGCTTTTCAAGATGGCGTCATACGTTTGATTCATGTATGATGATGTTGAAATGTGCCTGAAACTCACACTAGCGTTTATTTTGAATCTGCTACCCAAACAATAACATTAGTTTGATACTCCCGAAGCCATTGCTCGTAATAAGGAGATCCGCAAGTTTATCTCTCAAGAGATCTATACCACAGAGCAGAACTATCTCCAGTACTTGCGCACCATGAACGAGGTAAAAATGGCCACATTGCATAATTTGAAGATTTTACAGCATCAATGACATTTTTGTTTGTTTAAAAAGAAAAAAGAAAAAAAAAGAAAAAAAAAAAAAAAAAAAAAGAAAGAAAGAAGAAAAACAGACTAATGATTAAGCTTTCATATATTTGTGTAAATCTTTCGAATGATACAGGTGTTTGTGGAGCCATTGTTCAACTCTTTTGAAACCGAAAAGTCATTTATACCCAAATCCAATCCTCTTTGCCAGCTATTGGCCCATATTCCCACATTGATGTCGGTCTCGAGTGATGTGGCTCAGCGTCTGGAAGACTGTGTTCGCGACGAGGTGTGGTCGGATGAGACGAGCATGGTTGGTACCATCTTTTTGGATGCCAAGGAACCCTTGTCGATCTTTTTGAAGTACGGTCAGTCCTACGGCAAAGGCATGAAGGCTCTCAAGGCATTATTAAAGTCGAAGCGATCTTCACTCGCCGCTCTACCCACTCCTGCTCCTGCTCCTGCTCCTGCTCCTGCTCCTGCTCCTGCTCCAGTCCTTACGTCCACTCCTCTGGTCCCTCCTAGCCCTCGTCTGGAGAAACGTCGATCTTTACCGTCTCTCTTTCTTTTGAACATGTCCTCTACGTTACCCTGTCCTGAAGCGTTCGCGATTAGTTACCAGACCAGACCATCCAACGCTGACACTGGTTGCTTGGAGACTGATAAGAATAAGAAGTCGAGAAGAGGGGTGAAGTCTCACAGTACGTTGGGATCGTCCTCTCTCGGTTGCAATGGTGATGGCAATGGTGTTGAGCTGTCCGAGTACGAGCGGTTCCTCCACAACTGTGTGGGAGGAACAGAGATGACGAGTCGATTTAGTCTTGCAGATCTGCTGATTCTTCCGATCCAGCGGGTGACTCGGTATTGCTTGTTGCTTAAAGATTTGAAGAAGCATACAGATGTCGAGCATCAAGATTATGTTTGCATCGTCCATGCGTTGGAACAGTTGCAAACGCTTGCTTTGGCCACCAACAATGTCCAATCATCCTCCGTCCGCATGTAGATTTTCCTTTCCTTCTATTCTCCTTTTTTTTTCTTTTACTTTTTTTTACTATTGACTTAATTACTTTTTGTCTTTTAGAATTACTAACCTCCCCTTCCCAAACTTGTATTATAATATGTAAAATAGCACTTGTAAAAAATAAAATTAAGATAAAAAAAAAAGACAGCGTGGGAGAAAGTGGAATAATGCTAAAAACAACAGCAAATAAAAAAAAATGCCATAAACGCTTTTTTTTTTCTTTGCCATTCTTTTTGTTTCCTCATTTCTCATTCTCTCTTTTTGCGTTCCATTCATTACCATTCCTATTTCGTTCATTCTAAACCATGGTTTCTAGCATTGTTGTCTATGGTGGCTCTGGTGCCCTTGGCCGTGCCCTTGTTTCGACATTTATTCAAAAGCAATGGGTAACTATTATTAATATTCCTATTATTATCATTCCTCCCTTGCTTTCATTCTTTCATTCTTTCTTTACTCACTCTCAAGACTTTTTCTTATTGATTTCCCTATATTTATATGTACATCATCTTACTCTAGATCGTGACATCGATCGATTTCTTTGCCAACCAAGAAGCGACGACCAACATTTTGCTCGAGAAGAATGATACGCTGGAAGAACAAGGAAGGCGCGTCATTGGCGCTGTGGGTGGCAAGGTGGACGCGATTGTTTGTGTTGCTGGTGGTTGGGCTGGTGGTAATGCTGCATCCGATGGTAAGGAAAAAAAGAAAAAAGAAAAAAAAAAACCAACCCTCTTTTTTCACTTTTTTTTTTTTTTTTCTTTTTCTGTTACTTTTATTAACAATTCTTTTTTTTTTTTTTGTATATTATAGAATTATTTGCTACCTCAGAGTTGATGTGGAAGCAGTCTGTGCATTCGTCTTTGGTTGCTGCTCACCTTGCCTCCAAGTACCTCAAGTCGTAAGTAAAAAAAAAAAAAAAAAATTATTATGAATGATGATTATGAGTGTTTCTTTATAGTTGTCCAATTGATCCACTAAGGAATTTTATTATTATTATAATTGTTATTTTTCTTGGTTATTAGTGGTGGTCTGTTGACCTTGACTGGAGCTTATCCTGCGCAGAAAGGCACGCCTTTTATGATCGGGTATGGTATGGCCAAGGCTGCAGTTCATCAACTTGTTGCCAGTCTTGCTGGACCTGACTCTGGTATTCCTGCTGATGCCACCGTCAATGCCATTCTACCGTAAGTGGGGGAGTTTTTTTTTTTTTTTTTTTTTTTTTAACATTATTCTTTGTAATACACTACTGTATAAGGCTTTTGCAATGTTACCTTTCAATTTGTCATGAAGTTTCCTTTTTCTGATTACATTTTGTGGGTGGGTTGCGGCTCATTTTTATGCACTTGAATAATTTTTTTTTTTTTTTTATACAAATTTTCCTATAGTGTCACCCTTGATACACCCATGAATCGCTCTGGTATGCCCAATGCTGATTTTACTTCATGGACCCCTTGCAATGAGGTTGCAGAGTAAGTTTGATGGCTCTAAATTTCATTATCTCCCTTCCCTTCGCACGCGTCATTCTGAGCTTTATCAAGCCCCATTTGTCTTTTTTTTTTTTTTTTTTTTTTTTTTTTTTTTTTCATTTATCTCATTTGTTGTGTATGTTTTTTTTTTTCTTTTAGGACTATTTATTCCTGGGCAACAGGCGTTAACCGTCCCACGTCTGGCAAGTTGATTGAAATAGTGACCAAGGACAACAAGACCACTTACACTGAAAAATAAATATGTATACATTAGTTCCTGTCAAAAGGTCTAAGCAAAAGGAAAAGGAAGAAAGCAATTAGGAAAAATAAATTCAATTAAACTAAAAATTAAAACTAAAGTTAAATAAAAAAAGGCTAAACTGAACTACACAGCCCTTAATGGCATCCATCGAGTGAGTCACAAAAAATAAATCGGATGTTTTATCCATGGATGGATGGCATCCGCAGTTTTTTTTTTTTTCCTTTCTTATCCAAATTTCATCCATCAACCATCCATTTCCATCCATCAACCATCCATTTCCATCCATCAAACATCCATCCATCAGACATCCAGAGACATCCATCCTTAACAAGGTATACATATACTTATATTAAAAGGGTATTGCGCTGCATGCTATGTTAGTACACCTATCCACCCTTCTCTACTTGATGGTTGGTGTAAAGGGTTTCATCATCGCTATCGTTCTTTCTTTCTTTTTATTTTTTTATGGGAGTGGTAGAAAAGAAGAAGGGGTGACGCGCGACCCTGAAATATGATCGGAGGAGGAGGTTTTCTCTGTCTTGACATGAGACCATGACCATCCACACAAATGAATGCATCCCATTGACCTGATGAGCTCGTGTAGTGTGGGTTGCTTCTAAAATACAAACAAAAAGCCCTTTCTGTTATATTATTTATTTATTGGAGCAAGAAAGAATGATTTTTCAAATTCTTTGACTGAGCCGTGGGTGCATTCATTCTATCTATGCTATGCATACCAACCAACGCTCCGTCCGCGTGAATAATAAGGGTCTAACTACTGCATCTCCTAGATTTGATTTGTTAACGTTAACGATTTTTCTCGATTGTTGTATGTGCTGCTTTATATTTACTACAAATGAAATGTTAGACATCAATATATATATTATATATATACCACAATGAGTGACACCAAGACCATTGATCTCGACAATATTATTGAAAGATTGCTTGAAGGTATAAAAAAAAAAAAAAAACAAATGATATCCTAGAAAAGGACTTGTTTTCGTATATCTATTTTCTTTCTGCTCATAGTTCTCTCTCTCTTTCTCTTCAACTTTTTTTTTTTTTTTTTTGTTTTATTCAAATAGTTCGCTCTTCACGTCCAGGCAAACAAGTCCAGTTGCTCGAACATGAGATTCGGTTCTTGTGCGGGACTGCGCGCGAGATCTTGATGTCTCAGCCCACGTTACTGGAGCTGGAGGCACCGATCAAGATCTGTGGTGATATCCATGGTCAATATTATGATCTACTACGATTGTTCGAGTATGGTGGGTTCCCACCCGAGGCCAACTACCTCTTCTTAGGCGATTATGTCGATCGAGGCAAACAATCGCTCGAGGTCATTTGTCTGTTATTGGCCTATAAGATCAAGTATCCCGAGAACTTTTTCCTTCTACGGGGTAATCACGAGTGTGCGAGCACAAACAGGATCTATGGGTTCTTTGATGAGTGCAAACGTCGGTACAACATTAAGCTCTGGAAGACCTTCACGGACTGTTTCAATTGTTTGCCTGTGGCCGCGATTGTGGATGAGAAGATCTTTTGTATGCATGGTGGTCTCTCACCTGATCTGTTGAGTATGGAACAGATCCGGAGGGTGATGCGACCGACCGATATCCCGGACTCGGGTCTGCTCTGCGACTTGTTATGGTCCGATCCAGACAAGGATAGTGAGGGTTGGAGTGAAAACGACCGGGGGGTGTCCTTTACGTTTGGACCAGATGTGGTCAGCCGGTTTTTACAAAAGCATGATCTGGAGCTCATCTGTCGTGCCCATCAAGTGGTCGAGGACGGATACGAGTTCTTTGCGAGGCGCCAATTGGTGACCGTGTTCTCGGCTCCTAATTACTGTGGAGAGTTTGATAATGCAGGAGCATTGATGAACGTTGATGAAACGTTGATGTGCTCGTTTCAGGTAAAAGTCCATCCACAATGCTATTTTTTTTTTTTTTCTTTTTCTTTTTCTTTTTCTTTTTAAACAAAAAGAGATTTGACAGTAACTCTCTGATCCAATGCACATTTTGGATGAGAATCACAATAGATCCTGAAACCTGCTGTAAAGAAGGTCAAGTACTCTTATGGTCCTTCACACCTTGGCAAGAAGAAGAAATAGAGAGATGGTCAAGATCAAATGAAAGAGATATCCAGTATAGTTCATTAAATTAATTTAATATTTTAATTAAAAAAAAAAAAAAAAAAATCATAGTCCTTCGCTTAGATGCTTAAGGGCTCTCGCTCTTTTTTTTTTTTTTTTTTTTTTTTAATTACTATTCGGGTCGCTTTCTCATCTTTTTTTTTATTTCTTTTTTCCCCCCATCCATCGATCACTCATCGATCACCCATCCATCATCCATCCATCATCCATCCACCAACCATCCATCCATCACCCATCCATACACATTCTCTTTATTCCTTGTGTAAGTTACTAGTGCTACTACTACTACTACTACTACAAGTTATCTAATCTAATCACCAAATCATCATCGCTGCAACAGCCTCACCTTGAAAAACGCCTTTCATCTCTGCCGTTTCTTTCTTTGATTTTGCTCTGTTGTTTCAGCCGTTTCAGTTCTTTCAATAGCAATATTCGGGCTGGCTTGTAGGCGTTGTTTTTTTTTTTTTTTTTTTTGAAAGGCTGTTCTTTTTTCAAGCAATATTAAAGGAGAAAGTTGTTTCTTCAAAAGCTGAATATGTTAATTTCCCTAAACGGATACGGGGGTGGTAGTGTGGATCCTTTTATTACTGCCTTTTTCTTTCTTTCTTTCTTTCTTTTTTTTTTATGGTGTGTGTGTGTGTGTCTCCAGAAATAAAAATGACATTTTGAGCAAAAGTTGTTAAAAGTTGTGTGGGGTTATGTGGCAGGCATCTACGTCCAAGGGGAGCTCTCCTTTAGTCCAAGTCTCAGTCTTCACCCTTGCCACCTTTTTTTTTTTTTTTTTTTTTCTCTCAACTTTCGACGTTAATGGATTTTATATCAGTTGAAGAGTATTATTGTTCACACCCTAAGACGACTTTCTTTGACGATTGATTGAACGTTGTTGGTCGCAATAGGTTTTTTTTTTTTTTTTTTTGTTTGTCTTCTTCCTTCTTGGTTGTCCTCTGCTCTTTGACCGGATCAGAAAAATACACTCCCTTTTTTCCTCCTTTCCCTTTTCACTTTTCCTTTTTCTCTTCTCTTTTTTTCAACATCCAACTAATCCAATTATATTTCCTCTCCCTTTTTTTTTTGTTGCTTACCTATTCATCTATAGTTTTGTCAACTATCCTATTGATCACATACCGCTGTGGTCCCTCATTATAACATGGCTGAACCGGATATCGACATTGATTCTATTATTGAGAGGCTACTGGAAGGTAAAAACAAAAAAAAAATAAAAAAAACAGTATCGATTTCCTGAAGTCCAGATGTATCTGTGTGTATGTATGTATATACTGACATGTCAATGTTAATGGCATTGATTCTTTTTCCGTTCAAATGAAATGTATAGTCCGTGGCTCTCGTCCAGGAAAGCAGGTGCAGTTGGTTGAAAATGAGATCAAGTTCTTATGCACTTCGGCTCGTGAGATCTTCATCAACCAGCCAATCCTTCTAGAGTTGGAGGCACCAATCAAAATCTGTGGTAAGTATGATTTAATTTATTTGGGGAATTAGGAAAAAAAAAAAAAAAATGCTTAGCAAATTTTTTATTTTTTTTTATTTTTTTTACTCACTTTCTAATTATCTTTTTATTGTAGGTGACATCCATGGACAATATTATGATTTACTTCGTCTATTTGAATATGGTGGTTTCCCACCCGATGCAAACTATCTATTCCTGGGAGACTATGTCGACCGTGGCAAACAATCGTTGGAGACCATCTGTTTATTATTAGCCTACAAGATCAAGTACCCCGAAAACTTCTTTATCCTCCGTGGGAACCATGAGTGTGCCAGTATTAACAGGATCTATGGCTTCTATGATGAATGTAAACGTCGGTACAATATCAAGCTCTGGAAGACCTTCACCGATTGTTTCAATTGTTTGCCCGTGGCTGCGATCATTGACGAAAAGATCTTTTGTATGCATGGAGGACTCTCACCCGATTTGTTGAACATGGAACAGATTCGACGGGTCATGCGTCCGACAGATGTTCCGGACACGGGTCTGCTCTGCGACTTGCTATGGTCCGATCCAGACAAGGATATCACTGGATGGAGTGAAAACGATCGGGGTGTCTCCTTCACCTTCGGTCCAGATGTCGTCAGTCGGTTTTTACAAAAGCATGACATGGATCTGATCTGTCGTGCCCATCAGGTCGTAGAGGATGGATACGAATTCTTTGCGAAACGTCAATTGGTCACCCTTTTCTCAGCCCCAAACTACTGTGGAGAATTCGATAACGCAGGCGCAATGATGAGTGTTGATGAGACTCTGATGTGCTCATTCCAGGTAAAGAAACGAAAAAAAAAAAAAAAAAAAAAAAAATGTTAGCGCTACATTACGGCCAACTATGTGTACTATATATATCCTCGTCCTAATACTGTATTTTTTTTTTTTTTTTTTTTTTTTTTTTTTTTTGCGATTAGATTTTGAAACCAGCAGAGAAGAAGCAAAAATATACATATGGTGCATTGGGCGCAGGGAGGCCGGTGACACCTCAGCGTGGCAAGAAGAAGAAGGAGATGTCCAAGGTTACGTAAACAGGATTGTGAAATATTCATTCTAGGAGGAGGGGAAAAAAATACAAAAAAACAAAAACAAAAACAAAAAAAAAAAAAAAAAAAAAAAAAATTCAACATTATGGAGCTTGATTTAAACATCCACCAATAATCCACAATAACAAAAAGATAATAATAAACAAATCAAACTCGGACAGTGTATAAAGAAAGGATTTTATTTTTTATTTTTATTTTTTTTACTTGTTAATCAATCATTTACAATCAAACGTTTTGAGGAATCGTTCTGTGAGGAAAGCATTCTTTTTGCCTTCAAACTCGACTTCAATGGCCTTGAATGGATATGCCCAACGTATCGTATAAGTCACCTCTGGATCATCAATGATGACACACTTGCGCAAAAAGTTGAAGAAACCGTCTAAAAAATTGATGCAGACCGTTGAATCCTAAATAAATAAAAGGAGGAATTCAGTAAAATTCAGAGGTCCAGGTTATAAAGAAAAAAGAAATACTTCAAATGAGGCTTTTTTTTTTTTTTTTTTTTTTTTTTTCTTCAATACCCAAGCTCCTTCTCTACCACGAACAAGACGTGGGAGTTCCAAGGTTTTGAAAGTCTTGACGTTAACAACATTGCCATCATCATCTCTAAACCCAACGATGATCGTTGGGATTCCAGGCAGGAACGACTGCGCCCAAAATTTGAGTAACTTGTGCCTATGATACGCAAAAAAAAAAAAAAAAAAAAAAAAAGATGCTCGTAAGTTCCAATCTTCTCTTCAAGGAAAGTTTATAAAGTAAAAAAAAAATTAGGAGGTTGTAGTTTCTTTTTCTTTTCCTTTTTACCTCTCAAAGTTGTTTCGCTCTCGATCGTTGCGGATGACGCGTGAGGTCTTGAGTTCAATGTAATTCGAAAGAGGGTTTGACCTCGCTGGATCCTTGGGCTCTAAAAGTTACAAAAAATAGTCAATAGTAAACAGTGGAAAGTTTTAGAGTTGTAGTAGTAGTAGAGAAAAAGTATAAATAGCTGGCAGGCTTTACAGAAATGGAGTCCTGGTCATTTTCTGAACACATACCGGACGTGCAGTCAACCTCTGCTCCCATAATGATACTGTTGCCTCCAATCTTGGTCCGAGCAACGGTGCAATATTGAAAATTAGTATTCACAATCCCATCCATTCGTCCTGTCAGCTCAGGATCTTCCAAGTCAATTTGCTCGACCATATCACTATCACTATCACTGTTAATGTTATCCTTATCGTAATTACTATCATTGTAATTGTTCTTGTTGTTGTTGTTGTTGTTGTTGGTATCTTGTTCATTCTGGTCTTTATTGGTTGAACCAGAGTTAGTTTCCTTCACCGACACATCACCTTCAAGACGCGCTACTTTATGAGGCTTAGAACTGTTATCCTTCTTCACCACTGTCAAGTCTGTCTCGCCAGAGCTGACACCGATTTCATTATTCATTGATGGCGCTTCAAAGGAGGCTAAAACTGTTTTATCAGGACCAGGATCAAGAGTAGAGGAGGCACGTCGTGTCCTGGTCCTGGTCCTGGTCTTGGTCTTGGTCTCGGTCTCGGTCTTGGTCTTGGTCTCGGTCTTGGTCTTAGTCTTGATCCTTCGTAATTCTGACACAGGCTTGGAGATGTTGCAAATAGTCTCGAATCGATAGCCCCAATATGACATTAGTTTGTTCCGCTCATCGGATCCTGCTGCATTTCGGCGTTTCTCTGCTGAAACATGCTCCTCCATATATCTTTTTAAGAACAGGGTCAGACAGACAGACACACATGTTTAAAAATAAAAATATATGTTAATATAAAGAAACAAAATATAATGTAATAATAATAATAATAATAATAAAAAAAGAGGAAAGGATGAGGCCATATTATATTGTGAGGGGGTACATTAGTAGGTTTTGAACACACATTTACAACATGCTTATCATGTCATCCACGAGTATTTTTTTTTTTTTTTTTTTTTTTTTCTTTTTTACATTGAGCCCTTGAAAAGAGTAGCTCCTAATTCCCAAGGCTCGTTCCTTGAATAGGGCGTACACATGACCTTGGTCAGGATACCTCTATAACATATAAAGTCTGCACTCGTAATGCTGGTACTGGATATCATAGTTCCTCTGTCTTCTGATGGCTGTTGTGGTTCCTGTTGAGGTTCTTCAGCTTTATTAGGTAGAGCTAAAGGACCTCTTTGTTCCCTTTCACGCTCTTGGATACAGATTAATGCATCCAGTAAAGCATCGATGTGCTCATCCACCATCAAATCCCGAGAAATGTACTTGTCGTAATTCACAGACAGATTATTGGCTTTCCTCAGATCCGGTGGGAAATAATATTTCTAAAAAAAAAAAAAAAAAAAAAAAAAATAGTAATAAAAGTAATAAAAGTAATAAGAATAATAAATATATAGTAGAGAATAACGACAATAATAGTAATAATGATAGTAACAATAATGATAATAAAACAACAAAGACATTATTGCTGCTGCTGAACTTTACGAGTTGTGAGTCGTCCATGATAAACTGACGGTTCTCATCATATGAAAAGCTTCCGATCTCCATAGGCTGACGAACGGCCACACACTTGACTTTAAATCGATCTAATGGTTGGATTGGGAACTGGTTCTCTGGCACAGGTCCAGATAGTTCACGTCGTGAGTGGTTGGTATGATGGCCTTGATAGGGTTGACGGGGTTGGAAGGACGAACCATTGGATAAATGGTAGTGATGGTATGGTGCTTGCTGCTGCTGTTGCTGCTGTTGTTGTTGTTGACGATGACCCTGATATTGCAGGAACGGTCGGGGGGTTGGAAAAGGTGGAGGCTGTCCTGGTGCAAGGCGGATTGGGGCTGGACGCTCCTGCGGTTGTTGTCGATGCCTATAGTCCCTAGGACGATGGCTAGGGCGTCCACGGCTATGGTTTGGATATGAATCCTGGCCGTTATTGTGGTGGTGGTTGCGGCTGTTACTGCCCTGTGACGCGTTCTGCGGGCGTGGGCGCGACGAGTCCTCAGAGTGTTGAGACATTCTTGACACCTTCAGAATCAATAGTACTTTCCTAGCAATCTAAACTTCCCCTCTTAGCTTCGCTTGTCCCTGAAATGCTACAAAGTCAAATGAATGCATTCGCAGAAAAAAACTCATTCATATAAAGGAATGTAAAAAAAGTGCAGTGACTGCTTCTAGTTTTCTAGTTCAATTTTTTTATTTTTTTATGACTAGGACTAAAAAATACTACCCAGGGCATCGAACCAGCCCAAGATGCCAGCATCTGTAAGCACATACGCTCTGAATTCTTCTAGAGTGATGTATCCAGGCTTTGAAGGATTCTTGATTGCATTGAAGGTCTTGTCTACCATCTCATGGATCGCATCCTGGGAAATTGACTCCATAACAGGAAACGTGCTCGAGAAATAGGACGGATTAGCATATGACCCTGCTGGTGTGGCTGATGAGGTAGACGCGAATGACTGATAGGGGGCTCCAAGTGGTGGCCTGTGGCTGGGATCATGGTTGCTTGGTAAGTATGTGGCCGATGACAATGGTGAGGATGATGTAGATGGTTGTGATAATCCAAATCCAAGAGCAGGCGAAGGAACTAGTGAAGGTGTTCTTTGAGATGATTGTGAGTGAGGGGTAGAAGATGACGGGCGGTTTTGAGGATGATCCCAAGCAAAATTCGTATTCGAGATATTAGGCGGAACCGCATGTGACGAGGGGGCCATTGGAGGCAAAGGCTGATCTTTTCGTGGCTGACTAGAGCTGCTTTCAGCAGACGAACCCTCCTGAATATCCAATCGAGGAGGTAGGGAAGAGTTGCTGGACGCATGGACATCACCGGTATCCTGCGACGATGTTGATCGCGACATATTGTTTGAGTACAACTGCTGCGTAGGCGAGGACACAGCACCGCTAATAAGCCAACCACTGTTGTCGACACCAGAATCCTCTCCTTCGCTGGAATCCCCTGGGAGTTCTTGGCTCGCCATTTGGGGTGACAGTAAGGTCTCTGACTCATTCCCATGGCTCTTCTCTGTATCACCATCTGTGGCTACTGATGTTCCAGCTTCATCATCATCCGAGTCTTCGCCTTGGTTGATGTACGTATCAGGGCTAATGAATCCATAGGATCCTGATGAAAGTGTGCTCTCCATAATCGCAGGGTTTTGGTTGGAGATCTCTCTCACTTCTTCATATTCCTGGTTTGATGTCGTTACCATCTCCTCGGGGGTAAATACACTGTGCCGGGCGGTTCCATGCGAAGTACCATCGATAGAGGAGATGTTGGGTATAGCAGAGCTGCTCTCTCCATTTGGAATCAACGAGTGTGACCGGTCTGCTGGCAGAGAGACCTGCTCTTGGACTTCCCTGACTTCTTCTGTTGCTGAGGTATTAATGATGATGGTGTTATTGTTACTACTATTGTTGTTGTTGTCATTACTAGTTGCGCTGCTACCGTTCATTTGGTTAGTTCCGGTGGTATTGTTCCCATTGTTCCCATTGTTGCTCCGGGCACCAATTTCTCGTGGAATAGGAGCAGTGAATGTGGAGGAAATAGGGATTCCGGGCTGGTATTCAAAGTTGCTAATGATATCATTTTCCATGGTTTTCACTACGTCCCGAATCAACTCCATGGATAAGTAAAAATATGCTTTGAACATTTCATGCAGTTCCTCCCGCGAGATGTAGCCATCACCATCCAGGTCATATCCTTGGAAAGCATCTATAAAATAGGACACGTCGAGATGTCAACGATGTGAGTGAGAAGACTGAAAATATAACAGAAAAGTAAGTATAAATATATATATATAAACTTACAATCGATCTTTTCATCAACATTGCCCTTGCAAAGCACGCTCAGTCCACAAGCCATCTCCTTGAAATTAATCACTCCGTCATTATCTTGGTCAAAAAAATGGAAAATACGGTCCGTGATAAGATTCTTTTCCAGTCCTAATGGACCTAATGCTTGCTCAAAAGTGAGACGCGTGATTCCTCCACCTTCTTGATCCAGAGTTGATAATGAGAGATATTGGTTGTACATGGCGTCCAACTCTACATTGTCAACTAGTAGTAGTAGTAGTAGTAGTAGTAGTAGTAGTAGTAGTAGTAGTAGTAGTAGTAGTAGTAATAATAATAATAGTAATAATAGAAAAACTCGTCAGATTCTTCTGAATATAGCAAAGCTCGATCCAATAGACTCGAATACTGAATACGTATTCTATTTTTGCTTTTTTGCTTTTTTGCTTTTTTCCTTACAATGTGTTGTTTCGAGTAGTTGCTGTAAAAGATGATCTGGGGTAGTGACATTTCCTTGTGGAATGCCAGGATAGAACGGTGGCAATTTCTTTGTCCGACTGTTGGCAAGAGGTGGGATTGGTATCCTGATCTTCATGAAAACATGGGATCTGATATGTACTTCCGCAGCCTCACATCCTTCACATAGATCATAATCCTGACAGTTGGCACATTTATAACGTAGCCCGCGGATTGGAACTGTACGACAGCTATTGCAGGTAATGCCGCCTTATGGACAAGAATAAAAATAAAATAAAATAAAATAAAATAGAACACAATCATTACAAATTTGTCTTTTTTTTTTTCTTTTTTTTTTTTTTTTTTTTTTTTTTTTCTAATGATAAAGCCATAAATGCGATTCGGGCATACTTACGATGAATATGGCCTTCTATTGCGAACAGCATAAAGCAAATAAACAAATAAAAAAAAAAAAACAAACAAAAAAAAGAAGCCGCGAGCTTATTAGAACTATGCTTGATGTAGAGAGCATGTTTGACAACTCTCAAATTAATAATAATAAAAAAAAAATTAAAAGAAATAAAAAAATCATTGTTATTACCTTTGCTTGCCTGATCTTCCGCTATAGCGTACAGGAGGTTCATCAATTGTAATCCATCATGTTTACTGTCTCCAAAGTCATCCATTCTCAATCGTTCATACCCATCCTCATCCACCAGTACACTATATTCATGGTCTGTTGTCTCTTCTGTTTCAGTGTCATGACTGAATGCTCGCTCTCGTAGACCGTGAGGTTCCTCATCAGAACTTGTTCCTTCACCATGGTCATCTCTCCTTGAACTTTGCTGCTGTTGCTGCTGCTGTTGTTGTTGCTGATGTCTGTGGCTATTGGACCGACGTGTAGCATTACTTCTACGAAGACTATGAGCTGCTCCTGAATCCCTATTGCGATTAGACGATCCCTGTCGATGACCACCTGCTCTTCTATTACTACTACTACTACTACTATTACTATTGCCACCACTGCCTCTTGAATTATTAGAGTTTCTTCGTTGAGCAGCGGGCCAAACCCAATAGGATACGTAGAGAAGCGCGCCTCCTGTTATAAACCCGAGGAGTAAGAATGGAATAGGACTGGGTCTGCTCGACGTTGACATTGTTATTTACAGATTCATTGTTTCTGAAGAAAGAGGGAGGGGGATGCAATGCAGAGGGGCAGTGGTAGTTGAACTCTTTCTTTGACAAATAACTTCAAAAGTCACGTCTATCCTAACAGTAGATCACATGCATACATTGACTTCTATTAAGCATAATGGCATTCTTTTTTTAATAATATTTTGCATCCAGAATATAAAAGAAAAAAAAAAAGTCGCTACTATCAGAGTTACTCAATGTTACAGATCGTTGCAAGTTATTTAGTAGACTATAGGATACATTGTTATCTTGTCTTCACCTAAACAGTGAAAAAAATAAAATAAAATAAAAGAAAGAAAAAAAAACAGTTGTCCTGGGTTATTAAACCACGTCTTGTTTATCTTGATGTTATTACAAAACGTTCATCTTTTTTTTTTTTTTTTTTTTTTTTTTTTTTTCCTTTTTACAAAACTCGCTCAGAGAGAAGATTAGACACATTATTTAAAATCATTAAAGACCAAAAAAAAAAAAAAAAAGGGTTACTTTTTTCTTTTTGTTCTTTTAAGAGTATATCTCTAAAATATCGTATAATCATTGCGAGTAAGGGAGGGGGATTCCAATTATAATATATCATATCAATCCTAATATGTTACGCGTTGACATGAAGATAGAATCCGACTCTTTTTTTTTATTTAAATACCTTTTTTTTTTCTTTTTGGGGGAATCGTTTTTTCAAGGTTTTTTTGAAAAAAAGAATGAAAGAAGTGAGCAAGCTTTCAAGTTTTTCTTTTGTGCTAAATTAATCTAATATGTTTCAAGCCACCATCACAACAGGAGGAAGGGAACACACACTTTGAAGGAAAGTTGATCGCGAATCTTTTTGTAGATACTTTCAAAAAAAAAAAAATAAAAAAAAAAAAATAACCACGACGACACACCTTAGCAAACCACCATGGACTTCTCGCAATTCAACGATGCTGAACGCAACCATCTCCAGCGTGTCATGGAGCAGAAGCAGGTAGCGGAATAGCTTCATTTTATTTTATTATCATTTATTTTATTTATTTTGGTTTGATTTCGACATCTGCAGTTTGGCAAAAAAAAAAAAAAAAAAAAAGTCTTTACAACCTAGAGGCAACTTTCCTTTCTACCGACTTGTTTTTATATATTCACAAGCATCAACCATCAATCATTAGTCAGCTCTTTTTTATTTAATTATTTTTTTTTATTTTTATTTTTATTTTTATTTTTATTTTATTTTTTCTTACTATATCCATATACTTATATATATTCGTATCAATCATCAATCATCATAGATGAAAGACTTCTTGAAGCTCTACAGTGGACTGGTCGAACGTTGCTTTAATGACTGTGTCAATGACTTTACCTCCAAGACTCTCACTTCAAAAGAGGTAAAAGCAAAATATTTATATAAATATATAAAAACGCCCTTCTTTTCATCAGTAAAAAAAAAGATGCCATTGCCCAAACTGAATAAATATTAACTTTATAACTATTGTGACTTCCCTTTTTAAATAGGAGGGTTGCATACAAAAGTGTGCTGACAAGTTCTTGAAGCACTCGGAGCGTGTTGGTCAGAGGTTTGCAGAGGCTAACGCTGAGATGATGGGTGGAGCCAAGTAGAAGAAATATTCTTTTTTTTTTTTTTTTTTTTCTTTTCTTTTCTTTTCTTTTCTTTATCTCTCTTCTTTGATAGCAAGCTCATGCTCTTAAAGCAGGAATGTAATAAAACCATACAACCTTTTCCCTTTAGTCTATGGATGATTGCATTTTTCATCTGTTCATTAGATACAAAACAATACCATTCAGATTGTCCTCAAGCATTGGAAGCATCTTTTTATACATGACTTGCCATCATCAACATGACCCTCCCAACGTATTTTATTACTCCACACCGCTTTCTCATCCCCCTTCTGTACACTCATCCTTCTGATCTTCATCATACCATCTCTATCGTATGTTTTTGGCAACAGATTGATGGGGAGCATTGACTTTCCTCAGGTACTCTGATCCTGCTGTAGCCCCAATCGTATTCGAGCCTGCAGCATACATACTCGTTGTATTCTTCCTGGAAGACGACGATCCTCCATAATATGATCCGGAATCATTGCTTCCTCCTCCACTTCCTCCGCCCGCTACTGTCAATCGTCTTGAGGTCGCAGATGAGATGGTATGCGAAGGTGATCCCGCAGGAGTTGCATAGAGACTGGTGTACTGTGATCCATATTTACTACTCTCTTGAGTCAATGATGTGTTGTTACTCTGTTGGCTGTACCCTCCTGTCGATATACCTGCGCTGACATAGGCACGTCCTGAACGAATCGACCCAGAAGATGTGTTGGCTGCATTATCAGGCTCTGTTTTCACCTTGAGTGGGCGGGAAGAATGCAAAGTAGATGACAACGATTGACCTCCAGAGAAACTTTTTTAAAAGAAAAGAAAGAAAAGAAAAAAAAAAAATTATAGTGTCAGTATGAATAATCATCTTTGATTCTTCTGGCTATATTTCATCCGAGTATTTTTTTTAAAAAAAAAAAAAGAAAAAAAAAAAAAAAAAAAAAAAAAAACACGACATAAAAATTCAACAAGGTCAAATGAATTTACATGGAACTACGACGGCGAGCGCTTAAAGAGCCGTTGCTGCTTGTACTGCTGTTCAGTGGATTCTCTGAAGAGCTTAAGGGTGGACTGAAGGGTGAGCGCACTGGCGCACGAATTTCCGAGATCCATTCGTGCTGTAGACCCTCTTGAGGCTTCATCCGTTTTTCTGGGTCCCAGATCAAGCATCGGGAAATAAAGTCTAAGAACAGAGGATCATTACACTTCAGAACCTGTGCCAAAGTCTTTGATCCTGGTCTACGCTTCTTTCCTTTAGAATTGACTACAAGTTTAGGGCTTCCCAATGCATCTATCATGGATGAAATTTTTTTTTTTAAAAAAAAAAAAAAAAAAAAAAAAAAAAAATAGAGTATTAGTATCAATTCAAAACGCAGAATGATAGTTTTGGCTTTTCAAACTAAGGTACGTTAGTTGAAGGCAACAAAGGTGAACAAAAACATACCAAAGAACACCTTCTTGCGTGTACTCCTCTCGATGAGATAACGATCTGGGACACCTTGGATCTCCATAATACATGAAAGTTGCTCCTGCTCGTTTTCACCTGGGAAAAGAGGGTATCCGGTATAGAGCTCCGCTAAAATACATCCAAGGGACCACATGTCGATCGCCATGTTATATGACATGCCCAAAATGACCTCGGGCGAACGATAGAACCGAGATTGAATATAGGTATACACCTTTTCATTTTCCAAACAGCTGCTTCCAAAATCAATCACCTTGATGCTGGATTTGGTAGGATGCTTCAACAGAACGTTCTGTGTTTCATAAAAATCGAAGAAGAAAAAAAAAAAAAAAAAAAAAGTTAGGGTTGAGTGGAAATGAAAACAAGAAAAACACTGTAAATGACTCGGATGTAATCCATGTAATGCCAGGCTAATGAGTAAATCTAAAAGTTACCTCTGGCTTGAGATCACAGTGAACAACGTTGTGCTTGTTTAACAGATCAAGAGATTGTAAGAGTTGGGTGCAAAACCGCTTGATAAGTCCCAAACTGAAGCCCTGGAACGAATTGCTTTTGATAAACTCGTACAAGTTGATCGAGAGCAGCTCTGTCGCAATGCAAAGATGGTTTCGGAAATAGAAGTGATCTGTCATACGGATCAAGTTATGCTTAGCCTCAGGATCCCATTTGTTGAGGTTATCCAGGATCTTGACTTCCACTACAGCCTGGCAATGGAATCGCTTCTTATTCCTGATGATCTTAATCGCAACGTATTCCCCAGTTTTATGATCATAGCATTTAGCCACCTGTCCGAACGAGCCTTTGCCGAGCATATCCAGGACTTCATATCGGTACATAAGGTGGTCATGATTGACAATTAAATAATCACCTCGGTCATCATCATAGCCTATAAGGAGATAACATAAGAATCATGATTAGCAACAACAACAACAACAAAAAAAAAAAAAAAAAAAAAGTAGCAATATCAAGCAATAAAAGCTGTAAACAAATGAGCCAATTACCAAAGTTACTGTGACTGGCCTCCATGCTTGCAGGCTTTTTATTTCTGCAATTTTGACCCACATAGTACACTTGTTGATGCTCGCCAATTTCTGCACGCTCGTACATGCTCAGATAAGGCGCATAGAGCTTCAGAGCAGCATACGGTGTCAGCGGTGGGAACGGGCTGACATTGGATGTCGGAGTCCTAGAAGCCTTTTGCTCTGCCGACGTAGGTGCATTTTGTCCATATAATTGTGAATGAGGACTAATGGGGCTGGAGATGTTGCTAGACGATGAAGGCTTTGCCAGTGATTGTTGGCTGCTGGAAGGTGAAGAACGTGCTGTAGGTAACTTGAGCTCGCCTGTCAAACTCTTCTTTGGTTCTGCCTGTCCCAACAAATGGCTCGATGTTAAGGGACTTCTAGCTGAGATGGGTCCGGAAGACGACTTTGAGTAAGATCCATTTCTAGATGAGGTTGAAGTGTCGCCTGATGCTGCAATATTGCTAGTCGAAATGGTAAGAGGATCAATAATTGCAGAGCGGCGACGATTCAGTCCACTTAACAGGCCACTTGAGAAGCTTCTAGCCGTCTTTGGTTTGCCATCTGGTCCGAGAAAGGGAAGGGTAACAGCCGAAGAAGCGGTCTTTGTTAATCCAAGGGATGAAGGTGGGGTTCCTCCACGGATAGTCTTGATATCTTGAATGGAGCTCTCCGCAGCCAGTACTCTGGATGCAGATTTGTTTGTAGCATCTCTAGGTGTAACAGAGCCTCTACGAGACATTCCTGAAGGGCTCGGGATCATGGAGCCAGCAGCACGCGAGGAAATCCTGGATGAAGTCTCTCTTGTCCTTGAAGAAGTTGACATGTACATCGGAGGGAGAATTGTCGGCGCAGGTTTCGCTTTAGGAGGGTCCATTGCCGACAATGTCTATTTTGTTTGAAAAGGGATTTTATTAAGAATACATGGCTCCATTTTGCAAATTGATTTTCTTTTCTTTTTTTTTTTAAAAAAAAAAAAAAAAAAAAAAAAAAAAAAAAATTACCTTTCCTCGCTTTCGTGTCGCACTAGATGTTTGAGAGTTACTGCTGCTGGAAAAAATAGATGTTCTTGTCTTGCTGGTAGGCACTGCAATACCTGTATCCTTCTTGTTTGTACTGGCCCCTGTATCCTTTGATTTGTTTGAACTAATGCTTTCATTGCTACTACCTGTGTTGGTGTTGGCTCCAGAAGTACGGGTCGAGCCATTAGGAACATCAAAGATAATGCTCCTGCGATGTGAGTTGCTGAGACCGTTAGCATTGGGTAGCCTAGATGTTGATGTGGGTGCTGGCTGCTCCACAGATCCTAATGGAACTTTGGGTGCAACCTCTTTAATATCCAATGAGCCGAGATGCTTTGTGATACTGGCAACAGGCACTGGAATAGTATCGGCTGTCTGTGGCAGTGGCGTACCCGCTTTGCTGCTGTGAGCGGATGAAGCTGGGGAACGATGCTGGTCTGAACGCTGCGTTGGCGCTGTACTATCTTCGGACATGGTAACTGACTTGCGAAGGATGGATTGCAATTCTGTGGAGTACTGTTGAGGTACTTGAGGTTGTTGAGGGGCGGCTGGCGCGATCTGTACTCCAGCTGCAGCGCTGCCAGCGGGCGTACGCGATCTAGAACGTGGCGGAGGCGTGGGGCGACCTTTATACTCTGCTGTTGGGGTCGATGGAATCCCACTCCTGGATTTTGTTCTCAGCTGTGGGATGCTACTTGGAAGATGAGGCGAGGCAGCTCTTGAGGGCACTCTGGCAGTTTGCTTTGACTCCTCATGGTTACTATTAGTGCTGTTGTTGCTTTCATTAGTTGTGCTGTTATTGCCAATTTGAAATGCTGAATAGAAGCTTTCTCTTTTGTGCCTTGCCCTCGCCTGGTGGTCTCGTTGTTGTAAGTGTAGCAAAAACTGTTCCTGCTCCCTCCAAGAATCTCGTCTATTCAATGTCTGGTCCATGCCGGATCCGTTTAGATCAGATGCCTGAGGCTGAGACTCTGCAAAGGATGGCGTTGGCGGGACAGCATCCTGTGCAGCTCCTGGGCTTTGTTCCAACAAGCTTGTGTTACCATTTTGTGTGGACCGTGTTGAGAGAGCGCTGTAGGACTCTGAACGCCTATAATGGGTCCGCGGATGAGGTACGTCTCCAGTAAGAGATTTCCGGGAAGGAGTCAGAGTGCCTTGGGTCGGATGCTGCTTCGAGGAAATGTCGTAGTTTGAGGATCCCTGCTCTGGTAACCTTGGTGAGAGCTCCAAGGGGTGAGTAACAGGAGGTTGAGTAAGAGGTATAGGTCCTGACGAATAGGATTTACTCCGATGATGAGCATAGGTCGCTGGTGAAGATGGGGCTTGTGTTGACTGCCGCTGATATTGAGAGTGTTGTCCTGAACTGCTCCTACCGGAGCTCAAAGGACTTGTCAAGGCGGTCATAGGCGATCCTTCAGAGTTTGAGACCGAAGAGGGCGTCATCGGAGGATTGGGAGACATAGGCATGTCCGAGCTATAAAGTATATGCAATAGACGGGGTTAATACAAATAGACTTTTTTTTTTTTTTTTTTTTTTTTTTTTTGTTTGTTTGGTTATACTAAAAAGATAACCTTCAAGAGAAAGAGAGAAGGGAATATATATATATAATATATATATAATAAAGGAATAGCAAGGCCCCATTCATCTAAACTACGTGTTGACACCCACGAAAAATGTTCCAGACCAAGACATACCCTGAACTCGGACCACGTTTATGTGGTGAAGGTGAACCTTGATGTTGTTGTATGGGCATCCTATACTGCACCCCATCCATAGCACCGTTTGACTGTACAGGTTGTTGTTGCAAGAATTGCTGCTGGTAATACTGTTGTCGAAATGCGTCCTCCTGCTGGAACTGCAGCTGTTGTTCGTACTGGAATTGACTCTGGTGATGTTCCGATTCGTGAAAGCTCTGCCTTGAAGACGATGATAGTTTTCGAGGGCTTTGTTCTGGCTGTGACAACTGCCTCTGGTGCTGATCTGGCTGCTGAGGCTGAATCCAGGAATAGGGCACCTGTGGAATGATATTTCCAGCAGATTGGCGAGATGTCTTTGCTGGCAATGACTTTCGATGGCTATCCTTGGGATCAGCAGGGTATTCTACGTAGAGAGTGAAGCGCGTGAGTCGTTGTAGCAAGAGTAAATAATATATGATATATTAAATATTAAAAATATAATTGATAGAGAAAAAAAAAAAAAAAAAAAAAAAATGAATGAATGACAGAGGAAGAAAAAAAAAGAAAAAAAAAAAAAAAAAAAAGATTATGAAAAGGAGAGAAAGAGAGAAAGAAAAAAGAGAAAGAGGGTTCCATGAAGAGTTACATTGGGAAAAGAGAAAACCAATGTCGTGGCATGGGAAACAACTCATTCCCGAAATACAAACACACGCCTTTGTACACAAAGACCCCACCCATGCATGTGTGCAGATGTGCCTGTTTGTTGTGTGTATGTATATGTATATATATATGAAAATATATATGTATAGATGAGTGTTTGTGAATGTGTAAATGTTGTTGACGTGTTGGCGTTGTTTTTGAATGTCAAGGGCATGCAATGTGGAGCAAAAACCAAAAGTCAAGTGGGGGGCGAGCAGCGAAGAAAAAAAAAAAAAACTGAACTAAACCCAAACCAAGCAACTTTTTTGCTGCTTTGCATACAACTCTTTGAGTTCAAGATGGTCTTAATGAGCAATGGATTCTTCCTTTTTCTCCTCTTCTATCTTCTTTGTGTATTTCACAAGACATTGATGTCCATGCTGCATGTTGAAAAGGTTCGCTGCTCTCGCTCGACTGAATCTTCATTCCTCTTATTTCATCGATTTTTTTTTTTTTTTTTTTTTTTTTGTTGGATTCCAGACCCAATCCAAATCAGGGCGATTCGGACTTGCATGTCGTACCATTGACATGTCCTCTGTCTGTCTGTTTGTCTACTATCCCATGGCCAATGGGTATGTTTTTTTTCCCTGATCCTGTTGATTGGATAAAAAAGAAAAAAGTCCAAAGCACTCACATTCACACTTTCAACTCTCATCATGTTGCTATTTCGCTCTCTCCCACCTTCCTTCTCTCTTTATCCATTACACCCATTATGCATATGCGCATGGACAGTCTTTAGCATTTGCGCATAAAGGGAAAAAGGAACGAAAGGACAAAAAGCCTTGTTGTGGCATCAATACATTCCTAGGTATCTTTTCCTTCCTGCGTGCTGCGTGAGGCTCAGTGCGCTGCATTTTAAACCCCTGTTTCTCAGAGCTCTCGCCATGCCGTCAGGGATTGTGGTCCTTGTCATCAACAACAACAAAACCAACAGCAATAGCGACAAACAGCGACAAACAGCGACAATAGCCGCAGCAATGACAACAGAGTGGGCACAACTTTCTT